TTCTCATCTCTGCTACGCCTATACACATAGTGTCACCAGTGCCCACTTGCAAGGCACTGCTTTATCATTTGATCATTTGTTTGCCCACTCCACTTTGACTATCAGTCAGTAAGTGTTTGATCTTTGAAGTCATAGGCTTAGTCGGCGCTTTGCGTCCTAAGTTTGTGATAGTGTGCTGCGATCGCTCTGGTCCACAGCTCATTGACGGCGGGCCCACGCAGGCCCGCAGCTCGTTGACGGCGTGCCTATGCAGGCCCACAGCTCATTGACAGCGTGCCCACGCAGGCTACCACTGCTGGTTCGTCCCGCCCTCTACAACCACACAATCTGCCACCTTTCGTGCATGTCTCCTGCCCTTCCTCCCTCTGCCAATGCCTCTCGCCAACCATTCTCGCCTCTCTCTGCGCTGACCTCGCCACACACCCCTCCACGATGCTCGGCGAGGTCAGGATCGGAATCGACTGCATGTGCCATGTTTCTACACTCCCCTTGCAGAGCCACCGTACACGAGTGCAGATGGACGAGAAGGACAATGCAGATGGACGAGAAAAATGAGTGCGGATGGATGAGAAAGATGAGTGCGGACGGACGAGAAAGATGAGTGCAGACAGACAAGGAGAGAGAGCTGTCACCTAGAGAGCTATCGCCGTGATACCGCTGGAGCATCAGCTCGCCATCTTCGAAATGACTAGCAGGTTCACGCATCTGACTGCCAGCGGCAACAACGTCGTCCGCCATCGCAAGATGCTCGGTTTCGGACCAGTGCTGCCGCATTCCATCTACCGCAGGGAACCTCTCGCTACTCACTCTCCAGCCTCCTCGGTGAGCCTACCGACCCATATGACATGGCACAGCGCTTCGTCGAGGACCTCACCCTCGATACTGCTGCGGCCAGCTCCTTTGTCATTCGCAAGGACTCGTCCACCGACAAGAACACCGGTGTCACCCACGTGTACGTTTCCGTCAAGGCCAGGCTCACGTTCGTGCAGGTCCCTCAAAGTGAATCCACTGCATACACTTGGAACATGGTCGATTCACTTGGAACATGGTCATCTGCATCGTGGAAGAGAAGGGATGGAAGACGAGGTATTGGGTGGGTGGAATCCCATATCGTCTGGATCTGCCGAAATGGGCCGTGAGCGTACGCGGAACAACATGAATATGTATAATATTATATGCTCTAAAAATATACTAGGTTGCCCTATTGCTCTGGGGCCCCAAACTGCAGTCAATCGAGATCGCCACCACCCTCATGAGAGGTAGAAGAACTCGCAGCCTTGCTGGGTTGCCGCTTGGGCTGTGTTCTCTTGCAGAACTGCGACAGCGAGAGCGTACCTCGTCCGTCGTCGAGCTCGTGCATGGCCTCGGCTGATGTCTTGCCATTGTTCAGCCGCTTCTCGATGCGTGAGACGAAGTACATGAAGTGGGCCCACAGCTGACGAGCCTAGTAGGAGTGGTCAGCCGGGGACAACTTGACCATCCAAAGCCTGAAGGGGTGCACCATGGCATCATTGCGTGGTCGCCAGCTTTGCTGCTGGCCCTTCCTCATCGTCGTGTTCTTCTGTGCACCCCACAGCCACTCGAGGCCACACAGAGGCGGCTTGCGACCAACGCCCGCAACACGCTCGCCTTTTGCCCAGGCTTCCCATATCGCAGTGACAGAACTGTAGCTGCCCAAGGTGGCTGGCTTCCAGCAGCTCCAAACGACATCTGGTTGCCAGATCCAGGAAAGAATGGCTGTCCAGGAGCAGGTTGCACTGGTGATGGCAGGGTATGTGTAGGGTGGCACAGCATGATGGTCATGGAATGCAGATGCGTCAGGCAGAATGGGGTTAAGGGCAGTACGAGCTGGAGATGGCCCAGGGGACAGAGGGAGAATGGTGTAGCAGATGCCGTCATGCACCAGGCTGTAGGGCACGAGCATCGCCAGTTCATTCACAGTCTGCAGAGCAGTGGCTGTCCACATCACATCACTCAGCCCAGCCTGGTGGTTGTTCCAAAGTCGTCCACTCGATGGTGCCGCATGCGAGACGACAACATTCTCACCTTGATTAGTAATACCAGATGGAGGCGCTGCAGCATCCTGATGATTGGCATCGAGACCAGCCTCCAGTGCATCCTGCGTGTGAGAGTCCGAAGCCAGCAGAGGTGTCGTGTGAGAGGCAGGTGAGCAGGAATGTCCGCAGAGGCAGTGTGTTGGCTGTGAAGCACTTGAGATAACAGATGGGGGTTGCCGTGACCGTGCAGGTAGAGACGGGGACCCATCGTGAGTGAGGATCACCTGCGATATCTGCTTCAAGGGGGAGAACACGGCCGTGTGTCATGCAATGATGCCGAGCTGCTGCGAATGCTCACAAAGAGCGGACTCAATCTGCCGCGAACCGATAGAGATTGACATGAATGTGCTCTGCGTTGCACTCTCCGAGAAGGCAACGGCAGTGTCCATCACATCTTGCGCCTCGGCATCCTTCACCCGGCATGCAGCGGGCCAGCTTGCAAGGAAATGTCGGGCTTGCTTGCTCTGCAGAACCTCCATCCGCTTGAAGAGCGCCAACTCAGGGAACACTTCATGGATCGCTCCCATGGCCTGTAACAATGGTCAGAATGGTCAGCTAACTTGCTAGATGCATCCTAAGGCTGTAGTGCTCACTCACCCGCCAGAAGAAGGGCCGGAGCTGCTGTAGAAGCTCCAGGAAGTTTACTGTGCCATGGTTGATCTTTTCGTGGGCATCCATACTCACGAGGGCTTCTTCCACGAAGGGGAAAAGTTGGCTCTGCAAGTCTTGTGGCACGTCTACCGTCGCCCATGGCACGCCATACTGTTCTCCTACATAGAAGCCAGTGAGTGCAGTCACAGCCTAGATACAGTCTACGTGAGCTGTAGACTCCATGGGAAAGCAAAGTGATGTCTGATTCACTCACCAATATCGGGATCTTTGATGCATATATTTCACGACGCGTGTTGCCCATCCAGTGGCCCACCCCATCGATCTCGTCCATGTTCACACTGTGCGATGTATCGACCATCAATTCACCCATGATCAGATCAAGTGATGACTGACCCCATATCTTCTATAACACCAGGCAGAGTACGGCGTGCCAGATGCATCTTCTTGGCTGACTTGATGCTGGTCGGCAGGAGGAACATCTTGTACATCTTCTGCATCACATCTGCGCTGCACGGTTCACCCACTTTCTGGCTAAACAGAAGTGGCACCTGGAATGACAGGTAAGCTGTATGTCAGGTCACTGAGCACAAAGCACAGAAGGGCACATCATACCTTCCACCACGTCAATGCACGAGACCAGTCTCAACCACCAACCTGTTCAAGGATCTTCTCTCGGTCGAAGATGTAGTGCAGCAAGATGGCGAGCACACCAATCGAGCAGCACAGTGGGTCACGATGAGGCAGAACAAAGTTGTAGTCAGGTTTCTGACGCTGCAAACACAACGTGAAGCTATTAGCGTCCGCATCACGATGATGATGAGTGGCTGTGCTATCGTAAGCATACCCCTGGCTTGGCCACCTTCGTCTCATGATACAGTAACAGGACACCAAACACAAACTGACCGAGCCCACTTCGCCTTCCGTCGGCAGCGGTGTAGTCAGATATGTAGATCTGGTGAGGCTGGATGCAGCATATGAGTAGGTTAACGAGCTCGTCACCACGATTGAGCGTCGTGCATTGCCATGTCCACGAGAAGTGCGCCTTGATGATGGACGGCACTGGTGGCAAAGCCGTCCATCAATCAGTCATATCTGATGTAATCCACTCAGAAACATCTGCACTCACGCTGATTCAGTCCCGTGAAAATTGACTTCTTGACCTCTTCGAAGTGGTGCGGGAGGATCTGTGAGTCGAGAATTGTGTTGGATGTGACATCGAAATCTTCGGCACTGTGCGATCAAGCTGGTCAGCTCATAGAGTCTCTAAAACAGTGGATGAGAGACATACTCCAGGTGCACTCGTTGTGCCATCACCATCAGTGCTCGATAGAAGTCGAGTGCGTGGGATGTCATCGCCAGCCGTGTTTAATCGAGAGCAGGGTCGTCATCTAGCTGCTGCCTCCGCACGTGGCCGAGCATTACCATGATCTTCTTCAATGAGCTTTGAAGGTCAAGAGAGAGTCAGCAGGCCAATGGCAACAAATATGGATGGGAAGACATATCACAGAGAGCCTCTGGTTCCTTTCTCTCTCACAGCCTCGACTGATGAGAAGCCTGCATGTTGCGGCATACTTCAAGTATGCAATCAGATGGTCAGAGTCGACGATCACATCGGGTATGATGCCCTTGGTAAGGGCCTGGTCAGCCCATCGCTACGAGGCTGTAAGGATGAGATTGTGCACATTAGCTATAGCATACTATTGGCACATACCTTCCAGAGGCGAAGGACACTACCCTCTGTCACACGCCCGCTTTTGCGTTGGGTGTTGAGGATGAACGCGTCGACCTGCAGGCACGAGAATGGATCAGTACAGCGGTAGAAATTCAATACTGCACAAATAAGATCGACTCACCCATGCTCTAGAGCCATCCTTCGAGCTGTTGCATTGTCCTGTGAGTGACTCATGAGCGATGAGTCGATTGATGGCCATCGTGGTGACCTTACTGGCATGGTCGATGCACATGCGATTGCCTGTGCTGGGCGTCATATTGTCCTCGCTGTCCAGTAGGTCGTTGCCATCGTCTTCATTGGCATCTTTGTCCTCGAAGTTGTCATCGCCATGGAGCCCCCAGCCAAACGAGTCGCAAAGGTCGCTAGTGTCACGCGTCAAGCATTCAGGGTCAATTTCCGGCATTTCCTTACTTGAGCGGACACTGCTCTGGCTGTGGGCTCAAACAGCTGAGTGCATGATACGATCGAATGCATGGAAAACTTACAGTTTACCGTGCGCTGCTGTCGATTCAGGGGCATCCCAAGCTGACTTTGTGCGTCGCCGATGATGGTCCTCATTGAGCTGTAGAACGAGCATCGCCTTTATGCTGTAAGCAGCAGGGACCTCCTGCATAGCTCGTCTTTGAGCTGCAGGACCTTCAGCTTCCAACTACGGAGCATACGCCCTCGTCAGCCTCAGTCGAGAGGGGGCTCCGGGTGTAGTACTCACAATAAACTTGATCTGGCTGGCTGTTCCTGCACAGTGCCCTGGGAGTCTTTGGGAGTGTCTGATAGGGTCCATTCAATGCATGGCCATGATCATAGGGACATACCGGCTCGCAGCGAGGATGCAATGGTTCTGATAGGCCCTATCTCGCTCGGTATCTCCGGTGCTTCCATAGCCAACAAGACAGGGTCTATTACAGCAGTGAGGTCACCACCAGAGTCTGACAGAGTCATTATATGCGAGATTAAGCTAGCTTTGAAAAGAACAAAGCAGCAGGGGAGGAGGTAGAGGTAGCTGACGACATCGAGAGACAGGAGGAGGCAGATGCGCCCTGCGGGGCATGTGACCATGTCGCTATCATATGAGGCAATGCCCGGTGCTTGGGGGAGAACACGCCAAGTCACAGCACAGCTGTGAACCCATGCCAGTTCACATGGTGAAAACGTGAACCGCACCGGTGGACTTTTCTTAGGATTTTGAGATCTCATGCCCTGTAAGTGAATTTATCCTTCACATGGTCTATTCTAAGCATTGTCATGTTGAAGACATCTCGCCGGTGACACCAAAGGCTGCAGATGTCTTGCTGGAGGTGAACATCCTCACACAGCTTGGTGGTAAGCCAATACCTTAGTGTGTTGGCTAAATCTAATCTCTGAAATATAGCTCTTCACCTTGATAAGCAGCAAGACCTCCGAGACTCAGACAAAGCTGGACAGGTGAGTGTCATTGCCTCTGCAGTGTCAGTGTCACATGCTGTCATGGCGCATTGTGATTCCTACCTCGAAGGGCAAGGGACTGGCATCAAGGTGATGCCTGCGTCCTGTGACCCATCGCCTGTGGTGGATGGTATTATGAGAAAAAGGGAACTCAAAGGGTCCCTAGCCTTATCTCACATATAAATGAGGGAGATGGCCGTGGTAGGCCTCATAAGATAGGTGAATAGAACTGGGGTACCCAGTTCCATCCAAGGGCATATATATACATGTGGTCAGGACCCCTGGCATGTGTGCTACTATGGGACCTCTGGTACCTACATATGAACATAATGCCAGAACCAGTAATGGTTCTGGTCTCGCCATGACAACTATCTACAAATGGCCGTGAGGTAACCAATAAGATAATTGTATAACATGGTGCCACTTCTCATGAGTGGCTTATATAATACTACACAGAGCTCTGTCACTCCGTGAGCTATTGTGGTGTCACTTACTAAGGTGCCTCGGTGTCACATGTGGTAGCTGAGCCTTGTGGGCTTTGGTGATCGTGGTTGGGTGCTAGTTAGAGGTCACATGCTAGGAGCATCTGTATGGGTGCTTGTCTAGGTCACGTGACTTGGATGCATCCGTGGTTGATCGTCAGTGGCTCGTTGTGACATCTCACCTTGTGTCATGTCTAAGGTTTATACCCTTGTGTGATACAAGAGGTATGTTGTAGTGGGAAAACAATGACATCACCCACCCCTCAGGTTCAAACTCCAGGTGAACCATCAGAAGTTTTGGGTGTTTATAGGTTGGCAAGGTGTGGGCGTGGTGTAGTGACATTTGTAATAGTTTAGTGGACATGTTTAGGTCCTTGGGCGCTCGTAGCTGCCAGTTGATGCAGTTTGAAGTATGTGCTCAGGTACTTGGATAACATTCTTGTAGTTGAGAATGTTATTGCCAGATGGTACCAATGTATCGGTTCTGCCGTAATCCGTAATCGGCATCTAGATTGACTTTCCTGATCGATCGTGATCCGTGATCTGTGGTGGTGATCTGTTCAGGTGGCTGTGCCTGTTCCATTATGACGTCAGTCTTGTAGGTGGCCAGCGAATGTTGAGTGAGTTTTGTGGATGTCCTCAGGTCCATGTGCATTTATGCTTCCATCTTCTTTATAGGTGAGCAGCTTATGGTTCGACTCGTTGTCGCCTTATACTTTCTCCCTTTGTAAAAGTGGGCTTGTATGCAGAACAGTTTATTGACGTTATTCAGGTCCAGAGGCGCTCAAAGCTGCCTAATGGAATAGTTTTACGACTTATCCAGGTCGATGATGGTGCTCAAAGCTGCCTAGTTATTCCCGGCTGCTCTCGGTCTAAGAGTCTGACACTTCATTGCAAGTTTTCTGCACAGTGATTGTGAGAAATTGCCCTATGTGGTAATCTTATTGCCAGAAAAGGCATCACTATTTTCTTTTGTGGTCTTGCAGTGTAAAGTAGATGTCAAGTCGCCATTTTTTTGTGTTAGAAAATGGTGCTTTGACGCAATGGGTTTTCCAGGCCCTTGCTGGTAGCAATAGTCTCTTTTTGCTCCATTTTGACATTACTTTTGGCAAAAAATTGCTGTGCTGTGCTTTACTTGTTTAATTAGGGCTTGGCTTTGCCAGCCCTTCGGGGATGGGGACGGGGATGGACGTCGCTTCATCACTGTCACTGGAAAGGACCCACAGACTATGCTGCAGGTCTCCGTTGGACAGTTCCTTGCTTGTGTGTTGCACGTTGTTTACACACATTGTAGCCCTTCGTTTCCCTCTGGGCTATATCCCCTCTTACCCACCCCTCTGCTGGCCTTGTCCCGAGTGCCAAGCGCATAGCCTGAACTGCACCCCGGGTGCAAAGTGCACAGCCTGAGTGATAAGATTTGTGGTGCACAAAATAAGGGAGGGCGGGTGGAAGTAAAATTTTCATTATACCGAGTTTGGAATTGATGTGGTAAATGAAGTCCATTTGACAGAAATCATAGTATATGCGCTGTTTTGATGTAATTCTGAGACTAATCAATGGCAGTGGGTTCCCCCCATCCTGGTGCTATTCTCCCTTTTGGTGAAATCTTTTTCTGGGTGTCCTTGTAAATTATTTGTTGGGTCTTAAGTTCACCCGCAGTTAATAGTCACGTAGACTATCGTGCGCTTGGATGCCGTCAACAAATTATTACTTTGTAGTGTTTGTTCTAGACTTGTTATCCCAGGAAGTGTTTCGTAGGTGTAGTAATAATGGTGGTTGACCAAACCATCCATGTACGTGCTGAGGTCTCATATCTTGGATATAGAATGCCATGCACAAGGTCTTATATTTCACCAGTAATGGAAACTGCCTGTTTCTGCAGTGATGGTAACACAGAGGTATTGCTGCAGGTATAGTTTAATGTCTTTGCAGATGCATGGTCTGCGGTGATGGTACTACAGGGGTATCGCCGCAGGTGGGTGGTAATGCGAATGATTTGCGCTGTCCAAATACTTGTAATAATGCTTTATTATTTTATGTATTGGGGTGCCTTTCGCATTGGGTGATATTTTGTATATTCGCTATGTAGGATACCGGTCTACTAGCGAACTAATTGTATATATATTACCCACCCCTCTGACTCCTTAGAAACATCGTAGTTTCTTTGCTGTTCACCCTCATGGAGGCACGAAGGGAGCGTTACCTGCACTGTTACCTTGTTGAAGGCAGGGAGTGGCTTATGGTGAGGTAGACGTCGGTGTATGGGATAATGTGGAAAAAGCGCTGGGCTTGCGCTGAATGACTTTGCCCTGAAAATCACCAGTCCCACATTGGGTACTCTGGTGTAAATTGGACAGTTTATGTGGACGTTGTCTAGGTCCAAAAAGCCAGTCCCTTAAAGGGTACTCTGGCTGTAAATGTGCCTGGTCTGCATAGGATTCCAAGGTCACCCTGCCAGCAGCGCATTGCTGAGGGCAGTATGGAGTTCTATTCAAATGTCATGGCGCATTGTGATCCCTACCCTGAAGGGCAAGAGACTGGCATCAAGGTGATGCCTGCGTCCTGTGACCCATCGCCTGTGGTGGATGGTATTATGAGAAAAAGGGGGCTCAAAGGGCCCCTAGCCTTATCACACATAAAGTGAGGAGTATGGCCGTTGTAGGCCTCATAAGATAGATGAATAGAACTGGGGATACCCAGTTCCTCATAGGCATATATATACATGTAGTCAGGACCCCTGGCACGTGTGCTACTGTGAGACCTCTGGTACCTACATGTGAACATAATGCCAGAACCAGTAATGGTTCTGGTCTCGCCATGACAACTATCTACAAATGGCCATGAGATAACTAATGAGATAATTGTATAACATGGTACCACTTCTCATGAGTGGCTTATATAATACTACACGGAGCTCCGTTACTTCGTGAGCTGTTGTGGTGTCACTATTGAGTGACCCAATAGTGTTGGTCCTATTGGATGTAGCCAATAGGGTAGATGGTTTGCTATCTGTCATGTAGCAATTATAGCCTAAAGGTATAAGCCCCTTATCTGGTCACATGACTGGGTGGTCGGATCGGATGCTCTGGTGGTCCTGTGGTAGGCACTGTCAAGTGCGCGAGGTATTCAGCGTTAACTTGTGACAGATCCCAGTATCCACTTGAATAGGCCAATATGAAGGTGGGCGCTTCCGTATCCAGTTATCAGTTGACTTATATAGGACTTGTGTCATGAAAGTAAATATGTCTGGGTAAAACCGTGACACATGCTCTCTGTGGGAACGAAGAAAAGTGGTGTCTCAAGCGTGAGTAGTGATGATGCCATTGTTATCTCCAGTAAGGCTTATGCTTTTGATAGCTCCCAGCCATCTCAGAAATGATGAGCCACATGGCAGAAGTCAATGCAAGCTGTCGGTATCGCATGCACCCTTACCCATCTTCGCTTCTTTGTCATCTGGCACAACTTCCACCCCTTCCACTCCTATGCTTTCACAGTTGCAGAGCTTCGTCCCTCACCTACTTGCTCCCATGGACTGGTCATTTCAGTGCAAGAGAAGTCTCAGTGGTCAGATCATTTTAATGCAAATTGGACATCCTGGTGAATGCAGGGACGTTCCCATGGCATCTCTTGGGGCTGAACTCGACTTCTTCCTCAAGGCCTATGGCTATTCCATTGAGGCGTGCTTGTATATCATCGATGCTACTCAGAAATCATGGTCAGAGAATGACTTTATCACTGCTCTCGCATCATGGAGAGCATCGATCACAGACCTGCAATTTATGTGGTGGTTATATCAGTGCTCCAGGCAATCCGATAAGAACTTGTAGCTGGATATCATTCGTAGTTGTCTCGTAAACTGATGTAGCAAGTTTCCGGTGCAAAGTTCGATGTGTCACTGCTGTGGGGCCCCTCATTGAGGAAGTTATATGCCATACAGGCAAGACTTCGATCCTCTAAAAATTTGGTATGCAATGCTCTTTCTTCACGATGGCCGAGTCTACTGATAGTATTCTACAACATCTGCTGAGCAAAAATCGCAAGAAAATGAACCTTGTACATCATCCCTTCAGAACGAGGTCAAAACCACGTGCTCTGGTCCCATGGACGTCAGCGGAGAAGGCCGCATTGAAGGTGAGGATCCATCAAAAGAAGGAAGCTTATGCCGGTGCTCTCTCTAAAGCAAGAGACTCAGTATGGGACCTTGCACAGTCCCTCAATGAGCAGTTCAGCTCCCATGATACCAACTACTACTATCGTGAGCTACTGCAAGTCTCGCATCTGAAGATGACACAGTGTGCTGTCAGCGGATGGAATGCATACCTGCATCAGGAAGTGTAACACATCAATGATGGTATGACAGCTTCACTTCACATGGTCCATATGACTGATATCTGAACATACAGGTCTTCCGGAGGGTGTGCCGAAGAAGAAAAGTGCAGAAGTAGTGGGGAACCTTGCAGTGAACTGGAACATGATGACAAAAGTGGAGAAGGAGGCATATGTCATGGAGTCTGTGGAGGAAGTTCAGAAACAATGTGAGAATCAAGCGGTGGCACAACACAATGTACCCATCCAGGCCTATCATGATGCTACAAGACCTTGGAGAGCATATCGCGTGAAGTGAGTCATTCTCCCTCACTAATTCTGCATGGACAAAGCTGAGCCTGCTTACACCAATTACAGTTTGAGAAGCTGAGTGAACACACTGGTACTGAAGTCATGGTCTTCGCTGTCTGCTTTGAGCTTGATCAATACAATAAACCATACATCTTCTTTACAACGCGACGGCTTCCTGACTACTTCGAGTTTGCAATGAAGTCGACGATTACAGACTTTGCTATGCGTATGGAAGCGTGGATGCTCTCGGGTGCCCATGGTGAGTCAAATATATTTGGTCCTGGTCAGTTAAAACTTATACCGGTGCTTCAGGTGTCGTCAACAGCTATGTGCAGGAAACAATTGACTTGAAGAAGAAGACCACCATGTTGATTATGCAGAAACTAAGTAAGTACAGTATCGAAGCAATTCAATCTAGTTTTACTCACTGAATGCACTGTAGATGAAGTTGCTAAGACGAAAATTCCACGCATGATATACCAGAACTTCGATAAGCAGATCACAGAGAAGCACGGCATCGTCGCTATCAACTGGCCGCTTGACAGGTTCTGTTCGCCCAGTGATCTCAGCTCTCGCAATGAGGTGGAGATCTTGTATCAAGCGTTTCTATCAGGGACAACATCTTTCTGCCTCATGGACAAGGACGAATACAAGCGATGGAGTAACGCACGTTTTCAAGTTGCATTGGGACAGACCGTTGCAGAGGATGACACTGCGATGAATGATGTGAGGGCTGGACATGCTGTTCTGTCAAATGATATAATGGGTGTGAATGTCATGCTAGCTCCAGGTGCATTCTCTGAAGTATGTAAATCCTTCTATGTTAACATGGACATCAGCTGTCCTCATTACTCCTGATGTCATTGGCACTTCACTTCCTGCCCTCGTCGCTCCTCATGCCACCGCCATCACACATGCTACCGCACAAGTTGCTGGGCCTTTCATGGATGCCATCAACATTGTTACCGCGATTGATGGATTGGCCATTACTGTGCATACAAAGGAGAGGAAGCAACACTCTGACAAGGGAAAGAAGAGAGGCCCTAGAAAGCCTCGTGCTCAAGCCTTGGTGGCTTCAGACAAGAATTTACTGGCTCAAGTATCTTCTAGTACTAGTGATGATGCTGCAGCGAATGTCTAAGTCTTCATGGAGGCATGGGAATATTGCATAGTATATTAGCTTGTATCCTGAACTGCTTACATTGCTAAATACATGCAATAGAAATCCGTATATATAGTAGAAAGCACAATAGTGCACTATGTAAGAAATACATTATCTCGTAAACCATGATGTTCATAAGTAACACTATGAGGTTAACTTATAAAGATGAACCAATAGAAAAAAATGAGATATTTTGGTGGGTGTACAGCAGGCGGATCGTCGTCGCTGTGTGGAACGACGCTGATGTGGCAGTGGGAGAAGAAGCACCAGGGGCATGCCACAGCAGTCGGATGATGCCGACGTGTGGCCCCAACATCATCAGTGGCCGCGACAGGCCTTATCATCTTGATCTACGGATATCTACATTAGGGAAGCGGCGGACGGTATCCGCGGTGCTACTCGCAGTGCGAGCTAACTGGCTTGCCACCTGGAACGGGTATGCCAAGCTCACCGACTAACGATGCCATGATGTCTAGGTGTTTTCACGAATGAGAAAGCTGATTTAATTTAAAATGTAACCAGCAACTCTCTCATTAAATCACACAGGAATTATCTGGATGTCATTTCAGCAATATTCAAGCTATTATCACCATAGGTTCCATGGAAACCTTAGTCACATCATTGTGACTGTAATCACGTTGTGTTCACGATGTTCATCAGCAAAAGTGTCAAAATCGCGTGAGGCCCTTGCAAGGCCTCGCAAGCCCTACAAGGCTTGTACCTCACTTGCCAGCTGCAGGTTTTCGACCTCAATTTGTTGCATGGCATTGCAAGGTTACCGTGAGGTTTGCGAGGTTACTGCGAGGCTTGCGAGAATGGCCAGGCTTGCAAAGCCTTATATTACAATTCTCAGGCTCGCAAGGCCATTGTTAATAGTGTTTGTATATTTTTATTTACTAGTAGCAGGCAATACATGGTACAATAATAATACACGAGAGACACGTCATCAAGTGCTGGACAAGCTCCAATGACCCCAAAGGCATGCGTCTATGAAGGGACGATGCAGAGCACACGCTGAAAGTGGGAAGAGAAATGCTCCGACAATCCCAAGGCACGTGCCTGTAAATGGACGATGCAGAACATATGCGTAAACGGGAGGAGAAACACCTCGACGATTCCGAAGGCACACACCTCTGAGTAGATGACACTGAACATATGCTGAGAAACGGGAGAAGAAATGCTCAGACGATCCCGAAGGTATGTGCCTGCAAACAGACAATGTGGAAGGTATGCCAGTGACGGGAGGAGAAACACTCCTATGATCCCGAAAGTACGCGCCTGTGAATGGATGACATGGAAAAATGCTCCGATAGATAATGCGGGATGGATGTGCACTCCATGATATGAAAGGGATGGCCTGCTCCCAATGAACGAGTAAGAGAAAACGCTCTAACGGATGATACGAAGAGACGATTCGATGAACGAGGTAGAGAAACGCACCAATGGATGAATTTTAAATGACACGCAAAATGTTCTGATATTTTCCGTAGATGAAGGACTCACAACTTCAGTGACCTGGGCTGCTTCATCTTTGCAGCAAGAGTTCTGCACGACAAAACTTTGCCAGGTGGGCTGACATTCTCAACGGTGGGTCAAGAAGGGAATGATGTCGCAGAACAGTCCAGAAAGCAGCTGCATTGTATGGCATCAAGATACATTCACGAATGCATGCATGCCGGATGTCTGGCAAAGACTCGGTGGACTCACAGAAAAACAACAACGGTGAGGGTTTCCTTTGGGCCGATGATGCACAGCTCAATGGCCGGCGAGGTTCCAAAGGATGCATGAGTTTGGTGGTCAGCATTAACGAGCAGGCACCCATCAACAAGGACGCATAAGGATGGTCAGCCACTGCGGATGACTGTATGCATGCATATATAATGTCGGTAGCCCGTCCATGCACATATAAGACAGGACGGCTCAGAGACCGTAAGCCGTTTACTGTCGCGAAATGGCGTGTGGCGTTTGACGCCGAACGAGAGCATTTGTCACCAGCGTGGGTGCAGTCGTTGCCAGCACGGGGGCATTCTTCGGACGTTGCAATTGTAAGTAGGATATGGATTGGTGTCAAAGCGAGTTTGAGGGAGGTCGGTTGGATCTTCAAGCCAGGATCCCCAACTAAGCTGGAAGAATGCTCGTGCCATGGAGAAAAAGCTCCTGCTCGACGAGCTCGACATGTGCTTGACTTCTTAAGTGGGTATATGCGCTGGTAAGCACCCACATGACCTTCAAGAAAGCCTCTCGCAAGGATTGAAAAACATGCCACGAATAAATCCCATAAGCCGGGCTGCATTAGCAAGGTTCACGGTAGGGGTCTCAGCGGCATTCTCTGTCAACTCGGTGCCAGCAAGAAGTTCGTTGCCCTCATAGTTGAAGGAATACTCATCTTCCGAAACAGTCTCACCGCCAAGTGCACGCCCGTTCGCCCTGGATGCGTTGAGTGTAGTGCGCTCCTCATTTACACGTTCGATAGTTGCTGCTGGAGCGCAGCCTTGAGTGGACTTCCCTCCAGTGCCCTGCAGCCTTGTTCCTGGGTCGAGGTACTCTCAGGTATGGTATGGGTGTAATGAAATGAGTAATGATAAAAACACAGCGAAGAACAGCTCGAAACAAAGACTCTGCGAGGCGAGCAGGTAGTGAGATCATGGCGGGGAGAAGAGACACAGCGCGTATGTCAGATGAGCACGTCTCTTCTTCGCCACCTGCTTAGTAAGCAACCGTTCAGCCCAGCTCTCATTCCTCTTCCTCTTCCTGGTCCTGAACTTCACGCTGACAATATTAATCTTAGAATGCTTCACAAATGCGGGTCTGGATTGGTACTTGCTGAGCTGCATGGCCAACGAGGCTATTCCTTGACCCCTCTGCCTGGCTGCTTTGTGAGAGGACGGATACAAATGTATATTGATCTATAGTAATTTATAACATCATTCATGGACCTTCACTTGCCGGTAGAAGGGCCTCAGAGTGTATCAATAATTTCTAGCTCGGAGTCCCTCCGAGACCGATGGCCAACCCTACAAGAGCCTCGGCAGACATATATGACCCTTATAAGATAAAACAAGGCTCGCTCGGGTAGCGCAAGTGTTGCACAAGCCTGGCAATTTTTTGCCAGGCTTGTGGCCCTCTCGCAATGTCCGAACGAGCCTTGCAGTCCCCTTGCAAGTAACCTGCAAGGCTTGCGTGTGCTTATGAGGGTCACCAGCGCTTGCGAGGGCCTCGCGTGAAATCGACCATCAGCGAAAAGCGCGCTCTCATATATATGAATAACATGTTATATATTAGACACAATAATTCTAATTGACACAATAACGTTGACCAGTTGAGCGGGCATATATTGAGTCTATGAGTCAATGTGATCACTCATCGGACACATACAATGGCGTATCGGACCGGTCATGACATGTGCAATTCATCATCAGGTCGGTTGAGATGTTCTCAATCGATTATAATCGCATGTCGTGTCCGCTGAGAGCTTTCAAATGTCTCAGGAGCTATGCGAAGCGATTACAATTTAGACACAATTATTCATCGAATTGGCTGGGAATTTATATGGGCACTATGTGGGTGAACGAGTAACATACGGTTACAACATATTATTTGCTATTCACTAGTACAATACAATTCAGAGACTCCATTGCGACCAATCTGCAAGCGCAACACAACAAGAGAGTACACATTTACCGGACACAAATCCTGCCGTGTTGGTCTTAATCCCCACATCGTCATCGTCATTGCCATTGTCTAAGAATGAGCACACTGTGGTGTTAACGTGGTCGCAACAACTTTGCATGATGAGATTGAATGTCAATGGCCCTGTTCATTTGTAAACGCAGATGCCAGTCATCACGAAGTCGTTGCTCTGGACTGCGAATGTTTCCCTATGCGGCAGCTGTTAGCATCACAATGCTGAGCGAATGATTAAATTACCTGTTCCACCATGCTCACAGGTCATGGATGAGCGAGAACAAGTCTGGAGGCTACACACTCAGTCAACAAAGGGCAACGGACCGAGAGTCGCTCCCACACACCACATACTTGTCGCTCGCAAACGTCTTGTAGAATTTGTGCGGCGTACCCTCCCAGAGCCCCGCCTTTCCATCCTTGTCACAATAGTCTCACCCGAATTTGTCACCCGCCTTCAGTGACACGCTGAGTGTCGCAGCCATGATTATGTACATCTCTTCGATCAGTCCTCCTTCGCGAGCAATGTGCGCAGGATCGCGCTCTCAGAGAGCACCTCGGCTGATGCGCGCAGCGATGCCATGAGGGTGCACAGGTTGAATGCATGCTCGCGGAACTTGATCTTGAACCGGAGAGGAACGAGTCTGCGTCGCACGAGACTTCATGAGTGCAAGGAATCGCTTAGAGAAGAAGATGCGTACGAGGCTTCTAGTCAGACAAGCTCTTGATGTCTGGTGGAAATTTAACCTCTTCGATGGGTATATGCGCATTGGTAAGCCTCCACGGAGCTTTCAAGGTTGGGAACAGGTAATGAATAGCCTCAGCAAGCTGGATAGCGTTGGCATGGTTGAAGGCATGATCTTTACAAGTGGCCTCGGGCGACCCAGCACCAGCAGAAAAGCTCATTGCCGTCGAGATAAAGCAGATGTTCGTCTTCCGAAACAGCTGCATCGCCATGGTCGCGCCGGTCTGCTCTAGACGCATTGCGTGCATTGCGCTTGTCGTTTTCAAGCTCGATAGCTTCCGCTGAAGTTCCTGGCGAAGGACTCCTTGGGTCCTGTTGTCTGGGGACAGGCACAGAGGGTGCGAAAAAAAAGCAGTGGTGAGAAAAACGAGGACGAGCAGATAGCGAGATGATGTCGAGACGCGATGCTGTATGAAAGGTACAGCGCGTCTCTTTCCTCGTCCATCTGCTTAGTAAGCAAGCGCAAGCATTCAATCTCAGCGTTCAGTATTCATTCCTCGCACTGGGCTCGAACTTCACTCTAAGAATCAGTACGTTAGCGCACATAGTCCCTTTCTAAGCGATTCCACAACATGAACCAAAGCTCACTGTGTCGACCCTTAGCATCGCCGTTTGATGTCTGTCTGTGTAGTTGTCGATAGCAATGGAAGAGTGCAAAGAAAAGTAACCTGGGGATGCAAGTGATGCATTTATATAAACGACGTGTGTCGGAGCTTGAATCTCGGAGCTAGTGATGTAACTTGACGACTTACCGTATATGGAGAGACACCTTCCTAATTTGTTGTGCACGCGAGGCTAATTCAAGGCGCTGTGCTGACTTAGAAGACACTGTGACGGCCGCATAATTGCATAAGTGACCACAAAGACAAAGAGCTTAAAGTAATCTCTGGAAAATAGCAGAGGTCTTTTCTGTCATGTAGATGAGTTTCTACAGCTTCATCTTGTTCATGCATTGTATCTGGTTTCAAGTCCAAGTCACTGTCTTGAACCACATTCACAGTGCATCACTTGATGTGTCTGCGGCAGTGGACAATGAAATGAATTATATTCTGACAGTTGTACATATGTCTGGAATTATATTGTCAATAAATTGACATAAAGTATTGGCGATGATTTGCATTTGCATACAACTCCTCATACCTTCCGGTGACTAAATACTATCCATCACCTACATTGTATGTAATTGCTTGGCAATGCAACCGATTGCAAACCTTGTTAAATCCACGCCATCTCGTTTACGGTCACAATCACACACAATACAATATATTGGCGCGCGCTTTTTGCTGATGACACTTTTGCTGATGTTTCTGGTGGAATCACAGGCCCACCCATGCTTCCGGTGTCTTGAATCTCGCTAAGTGCTGCCCCTTGCGCGCCTGAATGTCAGAATCACGGGCCCTCAGGGAGATCGCACTGTCGTTATTGTGAATGAACCACGGTAATACCATCGCCGACGATCCCGAGCCTCCATGCGAAACAACGCACCGATAGTTGCACGTCGGCAGCATCTGTCGCTGTATTTCACCAACATATATTAGATTTACACATCAAACAGAGATGCAGGCACAGAAACGGAAGTACATGCAGTCAACTCGGATCATTCGACACAGATAGTGCGAGCAGCCATTCTAGTAGAGCAACCGAGAAAAACGTAAGCGAGGGAACACTTTTCGGGCCACGGAATCATACGAGTCCTCATCATTCGCTCAACAACTCCATCTTAGGACGCCTGCTTAGCTCGAACCCGAGGGATTCGTACTGCCCTTACGGGTTCTGACAACCTTGTTTCGCAGTGCCTTCTCCTTGAGCTCGCTCTCCCTCTTCTCGAGCTCACTCTGCTCGATAGAAGGCTTGACAAAAAATATGAGTATACTGCATATGCCACTTATAAGACGGCACTCACCTGCGGCCTTGCCTGCTCCTCCCATTTACTTTTTCGCTTCTCCACCGCAGCCTGGCCTTTGATCTTGAGTTCGCCATTCTCGGCCACTTGGTCACTTTTCGCGCCCCGCAGCTCTGCATCCGTGCCCGTCTTATCGTCTCTGTCCTGTCTGCGACTGTCCGTACCCAAGGTCCTGTCCCTGCTGCTGCTCCTGGATCTGCTCTGGTTGCGATTATCGCTCTTCCTCCGTCGGTCGCGTTTAACGCTCATATCTCTCGAGCGTTCCCTCCTCCGCCGCGGCGGAGACCGCTCCCTCGAATAGCTCGGACTACGTCTGGAACGCCTCCTGTCAGGAGGAGGCGGGACCGATCGGCTCCTACTCCTGCTGATGCTTCTGCGCCGCCCATAACCGCCACGATAGGGTGGGCTGCGAGATCGCGAAGGGGGCGTGAGGCGCCGTCTGCGTGGCGGTGGGCTCCGCGAACCCCTATCCCTGAGGCGGCGATCACGGTCACGATCACGCGGCGGAGGTGTGATGGACGGGGAACGCGCACGCCGGCGGGGTGGAGGAGAGCGAGAGAGGGAGCGAGTGGGCGGCGAGCGCCGGCGGAGAGAAGGAGTGTCCCTGTCGAGAGCACGCGAAGGCGGAGTGCGGGATGGAGAGCGGGCGCGAGGGGAACGCAGACGGTGAGGAGGAGGAGAATTTGAGCGTGAGCGAGAACTCCGGGTGCTATATGGGGGAGTCCGTGAGCTCGAACGCCGACGGCGAGGAGGGGGAGAGCGCGGCGGGGGAGAGCGCGGCGGGGGAGATCGTGATGGTGTACGCCGACGAGGAGGACGCTGATGAGAAGATAAACCCAATTTAAAAGACGAGAAAAAGTTATAATGGCATAGAACTCACCCCTCCTCTTCCGCCCCACCCATTGTCCCGCGGTCTGCCCCCTCTGTCGTCATCGAACCCTCCCCGTCCACGGCCCCTGCCTCGTCCGCGACCTCTCCCCTCTGTCCTCGCTTCCCGCTCACTCTCTCGTATTTCGTCCAGCCGTGCACGCCTGTCGCGCTCCTCGATGGCGCGCGTATCTCCCATTTTGGCCTGGCGCATCTCTTCCTTTTTCTCCTCTACGAATGTGCGTGGAACGCCTGCGGGAGACTCCTGCGCCTCAACAAGTAGTTTCCAGAGGGCAGACATGAATGTGGGCGTGTGGTTTGTGAGAAAGCCTGTCAGATTGATTTGCATTCTTCTCGGATCTGGCGTCTGGGCAACATGAGTTTAGGGCTATCTTTACAAATCCATGAGTTACACATACCGGTTGCGAATCGTCCTCAAGCAAACCCATCGCATATTCCACGACGACCTCATCTTCAAAACCCACCAGCTCGATGATCTTCTTCACCACCCATGGACGGATGACAGTCAAGTTTACTTTACGCATGTCAACCTTTGCTAATTGTTGAGGACAACAATGCATGATGTAAGGCTGATGTACTACCTTCTTCTCAAAGTCTGTCGGGAACTTCATGGATTTGAGGAGTTTGAGCTCCTTGTCCGAGAACCTACGGTCTTGATCCGCTGAAGTACCCTTGAAGAATCCTGGACAATCCGAACTCAGTACTCAACAGAGTAGGGCTTTTGGAGAACATTGGATCTCACCCGCATCAGTCATGTTGTTAGATTGACGGCCGCTGCGTTATATTGGGAGGGTAGATGTAGAGGAGGTAGTAAGACGGAGAGGTGCAAATCGTTTGCGCCACCTATTAGTGCGTTTATCACATTGACACGTGGGACTTCAATTCGATTGATGTCTTTTCTTTTCTCCCGTTACGATTCTCGTAACTACAGCACAAGCAAATAAATAGCACTCGTAGCTTCTAGTCCGACACAGTCCTCTACGAAGGTGTATATGCTCTTGCAACCTCAGCAGTACTACAGGGCAATCCTGGAAAACTTTCTCGTCCCTGTGTTCAACTCCGTCGGCAGCGGCTCTCCGTGCCAACGAGAATGTACGGCCCGGATCACACCTCAGACATGGAGCCATTTTTCACAGTAAAATGTGCATGCCAAATCTGGTTTGGTATTTTACCTTTAGAGAATGGATTTGTTTCTGTTGCCTGCAGTATTGTATATTGCAAATTTAGCATTCAAATTGCAATGGTGGCAAAGTAATGTCACATATTATATCCATGTTTCATGTACAAATTGTAAATATTGCCTACAGAATGTGGCACTGCTCAAAATGTGTTTCTACATGCTGTTATCTGAGGGGCGAGAGACCACTTTGCGATGAATCTGCTATGTTGCATTATATCATGCACATTATTTTGAATTCTTGCTGGAGATGTAAATAAAATATATGATGCCAATTTGTCACTGTAGCAAGTCAAGGGCCAAACTTGGAATATGCTATACCAAATGCAACAGATGCAAATACATGTTTTAAAAAGAAAATACCAAACCAGATATAGCATGCATATGTAACTGTAAAAAATGGGCTTTTCACTATCTCAGTGCAGGTGACCGAAGTTCGTACATCTGGTCCGGTGCCATTTGTTTCCCAGGCATGCATCGCGCGAGAATATAAGACCAGGCTGGAGCAGCGTTAATGGCTCCAGAAACACCGTGTCATGGCCCCAAGCACGATCAAGAGCATAGAGGTATGTAGACTCGACGAAAGGGACTACATCGCGCAGAGACGATCTAACAACTCCGAAGGTTTTCAGAGTGCCTCCTCGCTGGCTCTTCGTGAGAGTTGAGACCGAAGGAGGGATCGTTGGATGGGGCGAAGGTACATTGGAGGGACATACCGAAGCAGTCGAAGGAGCCTTCAAGGACCTGATCGAACGATTCGTCGGTTGGGATGCCGATAAAATCCAAGACATCTGGCAGCATGCTTATCGAGCAAGATTTTACAGAGGCGGCCCCGTATTGATGGTGAGTAACATAGCAGCCGATCTACCGTAGAATCGCTGCTGATGTCACGATCCAGTCCGCACTGTCAGGCTTGGATATCGCCCTGTGGGATATCAAAGGCAAAAAGCTGGACGTGCCAGTCTGGCAGCTACTTGGGGGCAAGGTCCGCGATCGCCTGAAGGTATACGGCTGGATCGGCGGGGACAAGCCTCATGCTGTGATTGAGGGTGCGAAGAGTCGCAAGCAGCAGGGCTTTACAGCTGTGAAGATGAACGGCACAGGTTAGTCCTGGCTCTTGACTCGATGGGCTTTACACTCACATCAGTCCACGTAAAGAGGCGATGGCATGGATAGATTCCCCAGAACTGCTTAAGGAAACCGTGGCACGAGTCAGCGACGTGAAAACACTGGGACTGGACGTCGGTGTCGATTTCCACGGACGCGTGCACAAGGGCATGGCAAAGCAACTTGCAAAGCTCTTAGAACCGCTTCAGCCGCTCTTTATCGAAGGTACTAATGACGCTTGCTGGGCAAACGCATGAAAACACTAAGATCATGTACCCCAACAGAACCTCTCCTCCCCACGCAGCCGCAAGAGATCGCCGACCTCTCGGCGTTAGTATCCACACCTATCGCACTGGGTGAGCGTTTGTACGGCAGAAGCGACTTTAGGCCATACCTTGAAGCCCGAGCCATCGATATCGCTCAGCCGGATGTGAGCAATCCTACGCTATCCGGTCATCAGATGTTCGTTGCAAACAAGTGTCACTGAACTCGACGGGCCCACCTTAGGTGGCACATTGTGGCGGCATCAGCGAAATGCATAGAATTGCCTCGCTCACTGAGACATATGACGTGGCGTTAGCCCCGCACTGTCCTCTGGGTCCAATCGCGCTTGCAGCGTGCATGCAAGTGGACATTGCCTCGCCTAATTGTAAGCACACCCTCGCTGAGTGGTCGCCGAATTAACTGAATCATCACATCCCGATTACAGTCTTCATTCAAGAGCTGAGCCTACAGGCATGTCATCAACTAGTGATCTGCTTCAACACAAAATGAACAGCTTCCCAGATGCACTACAACGAAGGAGCCGACCTCCTCACGTATCTTGTCGACCCATCGATCTTTGCTATCAAAGACGGACACGTTGAAGTATTGCAAGGTCTGTGTGCTCCCGTAAGCTATCCGGGGGCATGATCTGACATAGCACAGGGCCCGGCCTCGGAATTAAGATTCACGAGAAATTGGTCCGCGAGTATGCCGAACGCTACAGTCGTAAGAAGCCTTGGATCAATGCAATGTGGAATGGGCCAGACGGGTGCTTGAGAGAATGGTGATTCGTGAATGTAATCCCGTATGTGGGCCACAGACAATTTACTATGTTACAGTACTGCCCTCACCCTCCGCAGAAATTGAGTTTGCCATGCCCTTCGTTTCAACGATTGTTGACGCTCAGAACAACAGACCAGTTAAATCTAGAGCAAACTTAGAACAGTTCTGCTAAGCCAACAAAAAGGCGATTATTCGGAGTGTGGTCGCAACGTGGAAGAGCATTTCCAGGATGGAAGGAGTTTGCCCGTGACGATGACAGTTGGCGAGAGGTAGGTGTTTACTTTCTTCTGCATCGCTTCGAGCCTCTGACTGTACCGTAAAGAGTGGCGATTTGAACAGAATCATATCTTCTCTCCATTTGAAATCGCGCGGATCGCAACAATTCCCTTGTTATTGTCGGGTATGTCCTGGATACTGAGCATGATTTCTGACCCTCGTCCGGCGAGCATATTCAAATGCAGACGCGTGAAGAATCGATGACAAGGGGAAGCGCGTACCAGCTGCCACTGCATTGCCTTCGCGTTATAATAGCTTGAGGGTGAGATAACATCCAGTCCCCGAATTCGACAATGAGACATGGGCTTTCTGGACCACAACCAGCTTCTGGAAGAACTATATAGCTGAAAATTTTGTTCGAGGGTACATTGATGAATCTGTCTGGCTTAAGCCAGCCTACAAACGCTTTGGATATTTCAGAGATCAAAAAGTGCACGCTTCTGGTTCGCCTATCGGCGCCCCGAAACGAGCGGATTGAAGCAGCGGTAGCAAGGACGTAACAATGATTTGCGACGAGCAGGAGCCAGACATGGTCACAATATCATGAATGGTAAAAACCAAGTCGCGAGCGCGTCCTTGACACAAACTTTAATTTCCGGCAAGATTATCTGTTCATGGGAATTACAGACACTAGAGTACACGAGTTACATGCGAGATCAAAAGAAAGCGCGGTACTTGAAGCAAGGCACATGCGTTCAGACAAATGTAGACGCTTGTGAGTCGAAATTAGAGCAAGAAACTCGTGTGCTAGTAATAGCCGCCAGCGTCGACCCAGTGACACGCTTCTATTCTGGTCACTATCAACCTGCTCTGCACGCAGAGCTGCTCCCGCACTCGCTTTACCCGCTATTTCAGCTTGTTCGGTCCACAACATGTTTCCTGAGTTTCGGCGCTCGCAATCACGAACGGCCAGCTCGTCTTTCTTGCTGCTCGCCGCTGTACTCCTCCTGCTCTGCCATCCTACTCATGCCATCAAGTTCGCTCTACAGGCGAGCCGTTTTCCTTCACCGAAGTGCATTTGGAATGCCGCCCATCCTGGTGCCTTAGTCATTGTGACCGCGAATGTGGGACCGGGAGACCACCAGCGTGTCGATATCGAAATCCTCGACTCAGGTCCGAACAGGAACGTGTACCTGAGCAAGAAGAACATATCTGGCGAGAAGCGGTTCGCGATCACGGCACATTCAGAAGAGGACGTGGGTGTTTGTTTCAAGAACTACTTGGACCCGGACAAGTCAGGTGAGAATTATGCCATTACGGTGAGAATTGGCGGACTGACTTCATGAAAAGCGGGAGGTCCTGTCGAGGCAAAGCCACGGTCACGAGTAATTGACCTAGACATTGATATCGGTGCTGATGCTGTGGACTACAAGTCAGTTTCTACAGTTAGCCTCTGAGACATTGCACTGATGGTTTTGCCAGTGCTATTGCTAATCAAGAGTCTCTCTCCGGACTGGAGACCGAGATGCGCAAATTGGAGGGTATAGTAAAAGAGATCGTCGACGAGCTGGATTATCTCAAAACTCGAGAGGAGCGCTTTCAATCGACAAATAGTGAGCAAATGCCCATAACCTCTGTTACTACGTCTCACCTCCGGGCCATATAGTGTCGACTCAAGCACGTGTGCAGAACTTTGCATGGTTCACCATAATTTCTCTAGTTGGCCTGGGACTCTGGCAGATATTCCATCTGCGGGCGTTCTTCAAGCGAAAGTACCTGATTGATTGACATCACGGGCTGTGTATCGACTACTCGCATCTATGTCACTGTACATCCTAGCAGCGTTACTACCTTGCCGACTGCTGTTGCCTACCCCGGCTTATCATGTCCGGACCCAAGTAAGTTTCACCGAACATGTGTGTATCTTTGCAGGCTCCGGTGAAACCCAAGTTTTCACCGGCCACATCAGTTTATGACGTGGATGCGCTGATCGTTCGAGTTACGCGACCAGTATCCCTCTCCTCTGATCGTTGAAAGGCCATCGTTGTCTCGTTTCCCGGTCATATTGATGAACCTGAAACTATGCCGCATAGTGTGCGCATGCAATTTGCTCATTTTCCCTGTAGAAGAACGTTGAAAGTAGCATTTCCGTTATGTTCATGGACTCGCGAATACTTCAGCTGCGCGCAATACCATCTGACATCGCCAGGGGTGAGTGCGACTTTGATACGTAATGGCAAACATGCTATCTTACAGCTCGATTCCAGCACAACATCAGCACGATCGTGCAGCAAGGCTGATACTAATGTCGAAACCGTGCATTATGCTAATGGTGGTTGGCATGCATCGCATCACAACTCACCGAAGTCCAAGCCCGTCGGCGTAGATAGCAAACTTAATTTAGCTTTCCATCTTCCTGAGTCCTTGTGCACCGTAAATGCATCAACGACCAATGGACATCTCCATCAACCTGATTGGCAGGCCGTGCCTTCTGTTAAATAGTCGGTCGCGATGGCTACTGTGATCTTCCCAGCGATATATCTCGCTTCCGGTACGTGCTTGCTGTCCCATTGGTGGCTGTTCATATCCGCGTAGCGGTCTGTCATGAACTTGCGAGCACCTCGCCGTATAGATCATTGATGACCTCTGTGCGCCGGAGGAGCGTGGGATATACGTGCTGCGCACTTCCTTGGTACAAGAGGTGAGTGCGTCAGTCTGCCCTATTTCGTCCTTTCCGTATCCTTCTCTCCTTCGTCTTTTCAAGGCACTGAGTGGTGAGTGGCATATGCCGTTTACTATCGACAAGTCGGTGATCATTAACACGCTGCATCTAGCCTTTTATATTTTGTTCTTTGGCTGGCCCTATCATCCGCGATGCTCTCCTCCAAAGCCGTTTTATGCTTTGCTCTCTTCGTGTGCCTGCCAGTGCTCAGTGCCCCCGTCGGGTATGGCTACTCGCTCCCTTCATTGTGGCACTCTCAACTGACCAACACGCCAAATAGCTACCTCAATCCGAGAGATGCGCGCAAGACTCCGTATGTCCCCCTTAACCGAATGGAAAACGCTGATGATGACCAGGCCACACAGCGCAAAAGGACCCCCCGGTTCGGGAGGTCCGCCGCCGGAATTGGGGTTCGGCACAATGGGGTCGGTCGACGACGTGGACGTATCGGCTCTGAAGCACCAGTATGAAGGAAGTGCGATATGACTGCAGCACTTCACACTCTTCAGTGGACACCTTGAGCAGGCGGCAGAGCATGTATCTCTTCGTCTTTGAGCTTTCGAGTGGCCGGCATGACGACGAGCCTGTTGAAAGTAGTATCACTCCTTTAGACAAATTCTGGTTTCTTCCAGTGATAATGTCTGTACATTTATTGCATGCAGCGTCGATTGATCGACATGAGACCTTTGAAACGCGTCGCGCCGATGAACTAATAGTATGTATTCATGCCCCACGTGACCATGGATGACGGCCACTGGAGTCTGGGAGGGCTCTGGAGTCTCTGCGCAACTTTCTCTCATCCATAGCTTCACTATCTCCTAGACATGCCAGGATACTAAGAATCATGTATAAGTCTGACTGCTTTCCCTCAAGAAAGGTGCTTGCCAACGTAGCGGCACCTATGGTCAATCAAAGCGATCTCCCTCTCCGGAAGCTCGTTCGACGCTACGATGCTACCCTGGTCTACACCCAAATGCTTCTCCCAGAGAGACTGCTTGGCGACCAGGAATATTTGGACTTCCATTTGCGAGGTCTCGGCGGTCCGGGAGATAGACCTGTTGTTGTGCAGCTTTGTGGAAACGATCCGGAAACGGTGGTGAAAGCTGCCCGAAAGCTGCAGGGACATGTGATGCAATAGGTGTGCTTTTTGCTAGGATCCACGGAAGACCTGAACCTATGAGAATACAAGCTGCGCAGATCTCAATCTCGGCTGTCCTCAGGAGACAGCGCGAGATGCCCATCACGGGGCATATTTATTAGGCCAGAAGGATTGGCCTCTTGTCCAGAGTATCGGTGAGTCGCTCGTTGAAGCAATTTGTGATTTCAGATTAATGTGGTCGCTGCTCAGTATCCTCAAGGTCACACTCGCTGATTGTTCCTGTTTCTGCCAAATTGCGCCTTTGTCAGTCAGCGTCCGCTACTCTAGATCTTGCCCAGCGGCTCGAAAACGTAGGTACATCTTGGATAACTCTCCATGCCCGGACTGTCTCTACGCGACGGAGACGACAGGGGGCAGCCGATCTAGAGCAGGTGAAGAGGCTCAAGGAGAACTTGACGATACCTGTGGTCAGCAATGGCAATGTGCGAGTCTGGAAAGACGTAGAAGCCAATCGTGCAGTGACTGGAGCGGATGGCATGATGGTCGGCGAGACGTTGCTCGGGAACCCTTGGTAAGGCAGAGAGCCTTCGTACATGTGTTCTGTCTTTTCACTGATGGTCACTGTCTGGACAGTCTTTTCGCAAACGTCCTTCCTGATCCCGTCGACATATCGCGAGAATATCTCGACTTATGCAGGGAGGATCCAGGTACAGCGACCATTCAAACGGTGCGAACTCACGTTAGGCACTTCATCGATCATCAATGGTCCGTCCAATTCGCTTCTCTGTTCCTGAAGTATCTCACTTTGGACATCCTGAACAGTAGCCGAAGACCGTGGTTGAACAAGTTCCGCGCTGAATTGACTCAATGCGAATCACTGGAAGATATCGAGTACACACTGCGGAAGGTGCAACGGTGGCGGGACTTTTCTCCTTCCGCTGCAGATCCTGCCGTGGAGGCTGAGGAATGCGAAGAGGAACATGAGAAAACAGTGGACGACGTTCTTGATGCGATTGCCCTTTTCAGGAATTGAATGCCTCCGAATGCTTAATCCCGTTCCTCTCTTGCGTCGGGATGTATGTGCCTTCACTTCAGTCTACTGCTTCAAATGCGCGGACTTGGCTTGGTGGTATTCATGCTTCCGTTTACGCGGAAATTTCCTGGTTAAAGGTCCGCGCGTACGGTCGCTGCCTCACTGCACTGTTCTTCTCGTGAGCTGGCATCCATTGTTCTTCCTGCTCAGCGTCTGACAGTGCACGCCTTCGGAACAAAGCCCACTCACTGCTTCCGCACTCCATCGTCATCGATGGCTTTTTATACAGTCGTCCTTAGCATGTTCGCATAGCGTTTGTGCTGGCGTTCGAACTGCTCGACTATGCAAGCCTTGTCACGTCGCTGATCATTGCAGTAGCTCCGCACTGTCGATGCCTATTCAACGTATCATAAGTCTGCAAGACACCAACGCAAAGGTGCCCTCTCACTCATCGGCCCGTGCTATTGCAGCCGCCGCGGACGTTTACTTAGCGACGACGAACCGCCTCCCCTGATCGTCCCTCATCAGCCCGTCATACATTGTGCGGCAGCATCGCTCCGAGACCACCCCGCAGCTATCTCGCGAATTTGTTTACACGTTTGCAGTTCTCGAGCTTCGCGTTCCCGATGCTTCATGCTATTGCATATTCCGACAAAGCCGCTGTATCCCATCCAACTCAGCGAACGAGCGGCGCGGAGGACCCGGGCCCACGTCAAGGTCCATTCATTGCATACCAGAGGACGGCCCTCCTTGATGAATTGAACCATATCTCGTCTGAAAATTCGCCTGCAGCTGCGGGCTTCGCACCCTGGACTTGTGACATGCAACACGCACGTTGCACGTGTCGCTCGTAGGCTGGACGGGTCGAGGTGCTTCGCGAAGTTCCATTGGCCTCGAAGCGAAATCACTGTCCAGGCCTATCTTTTGCTGCGGCGAATCAGTGTGCTGATTGGATCTCAAGGATGGGGACGTCCGCCCTATCTTCACCGTCAATAACGGTCCAACAAGAGATTATGGCAAATCCGCCTGTTTCGGCATAGCTCAGCATAACGTATCAGACACGGAGGCCTTCATTCATGCTATTCAATGCGATATCGCGCTAACAGAGACGGCTTCACACCCTTGCAGGATCATGCGTTGTAAACAGTGTTCTTTTGATAGTCGCAGATATTGCCGGAACATGCGTTAGTACGTTTCAATCCGCGCTGCTACTGCTCTCACGCGCACTGTCTGACATGCAAGAGATCCCAAGACGAATTCTCGCGTCCCAGACTCTCTCAGGATCGTCCAATCAAGAACTACGGGGAACTCGCGACTGACGGGCCGACCGCTCCCAGAAGCCGCCCACATCTTCAGGGCACAAACTCTAATCCTTGATATGCTCAGCGCCACGCCTGTCCTTCTGTTCTCGACGCCGCATCCAGCACGCCCGCGGGCGCGTACCTGTCAGAAGCCCGGCCGGCCAGGTATCCGCACCGTCTCCCTATCGCTGGACCTTGCACCTTCTGTCGTATCTGTATCTCCCGAGCGAGCGTGACGAACGCATGAGATGCGTTAGGCTTTGCGTTCCCAGCGGCCGTGGCCTGTGCTCAGTGTGCTGTGATCTACGGGAGCATTCTCTGGGCGTGCTTCCGCTGGCCACGTTGGCCGAGCTAACCCGGGTACGATCTTTCAGTGAATGCAACGAGCAACGAGAAATGAGTGGTGTCACTAGTCTGCATAATGTTATTCGTCCGAGATTCATGGCTTTCGGCGTGAGAATGGAGAGCGCAGAGCAGAGAAATACTTCAAATGCGGTACAACCTTCTTATTGGCGTGCGTTCTGTGAGCAGAAGTCGCTACACCAGCAGGAACCTAGTGGAAGATATGCAGCAGCCGTGAGCTCCATTTTGATACCGCAATTGTGTTCGAGTCTCATAAATCGAAAAGAGAGGGGCGAGACTCGAGAGGAGTGTGTGCGGGCGATCGACACCTGCGAGGTGTTTTGTAACTCCGATCTCGCTTCCGGGCCTATAACAGATCCTCTGGAATCTGACGCAACCCTTTCCTGCACTCGTCGCTGCCGCCTGATTGTTGAACCGCCATGGATCCTACTGAAGCATCTACACACCAGCTTCCCCATTTCGTCGAGGAATACAAAGCGCTGTTGAGCAACAAACGACGTATGGCTGATTATGTTCGTTGTTTTCCTGCTTGTCTCGCCCCTTGACTTCTGACTTTCATTGAAGACAGAAGAAGAGCTTGCGACAATCTTTGCAAAGAACTATGCCAATTTCGGTTCAGAGTCCCGAACAGATCTTCACTCTACCGATCGTGAATGGTTCGAATTGAGCCACTTGCTGCAGGTTGCGTTCAATGCCAACAATGGTTCAATGTGGCAACACCAACGGAGGGAATTCAACAACGTTGATGCCAACGGAATTCTCTTATATCAATTTGCGGTTTACCTAGACACGTTTCTCTCAGAAAAGGTCTCCTGGAGGTTGTAAGTGTCAAAGTATCTGCTGTTCGTCTCGCCAACATAATTTTGGACGACAAAGCGGAGGAGTCTCCGAAGAGGACATTTGTGTTAATGGCCGTTTATTTCACTGGAGAGGGTTACGCAGAACGCTGTATTCTTTATCAAGACAAGGTTTCATCGAAGGTATGCGAGCGAACTCTCATCTCAGTGAACCTGAAGCCTGAGTTGCTGTCCTTTTTTAGGTTCACTACATGGAAGACCGATTTCGCATGTCTAACAAAGGCGAAAGGCTTCAATTTGCATTCGAACTGTACAATCTGGCATCTTACCTGGAGGGAGAAAACGATGATAGATTTGCAGGCGTGGCTTCCAAGGTCGAAGATCTCAACACCAGCATTCGAAATCAGAAATGGCCGCGGTTCAATTTAAAGAAAAGCACCGGGCGCACTCGCACTGATGGGACGGAAGGGCGATCTGACAATGGCCAAGATGTTAATGGCAGTGATGAAAGCGACGAGTTCGGAGCGGAAGGATACGAGTTGGTACCTGATCATTTTGAGTGTGGGGGCACATGGGAACTGTTGTACAAGGTTTGAGCGACGGGGAACTGAATGCTTTGAGAGCTCTCACTGACAAACATTTTGCAGTTACCACCTCACGTACGTACTATACGTCGTGTAGGAGACTCCAGCGGGACGGAATTCATCGCAAAACGAATCGGCGACAAATCGAACGAGCTGAAGATCCTCGAATTTCTCCTCACGATAAAGCCGCCATCCGAGCACGTCATCACTTTACTCAAAACAATTAGAACAAGTGTGGGGAAGTACCTCATATTTCCGAGGAGAAGCTCCATCGACGAGGCACTCGAATTTTACGCTGACGGCGGTGTACTTCGTGGCAGGTTCGTTCAGCTCAGCCGTGATCTGGCCAAAGGGCTAGCATTCCTTCACGAGCACGGAGTAGCTCACCTCAACTCATCAGCTTATATCTGCAGGACATCCCATTCCTGAGGTCGGTATTTAAGCATTCCACAGAACAACACTCGCGCAGAACGGCCGTTATGCCTTTCACCAGACGCCGCTCTGCGTAGATGTTGTTATTTCAAAATCGTTCATCAGGACTCCGACCGGTGCGCGATAGCCACCAATTCTGGTCTTCATCGAGACCGCGAGCTCCGCGGTCGGAAGAAGCAAGACGAAGTTGCAGCGAAGACGTCTCGATTCAACAGGACGTTGTGGGCGCCAATCTATCATCTCTCAAGTAGATCTACTGTTCAACTCTCCTGTGTACGAACCAGCAACATCTATGGACGACGGCATCTGCTACTGGCGCCGACTACCCTAACCACCTCCAACCATTCCGGCGAGCCTCGGGTCCGCGGAATGACTCTGTTCGCCACCGACGAATTGACTCCTAGCCTATTCCCCTAAGCGGCCGGACACGGGTAGTCCTCTTGTCGACATCACGGGTCTAGTATTCACATGCGGTCAAATCTTCCCCGACAAGCAGAAGTGTACGAGGCTATGACTTCGCTGTTTGTAGCTCGGTGCATGGTGAAACGCCGCCCCGCAATAACTGCGCTTAGACGCACCAGTAGCAGCGCTCATGGGCCTCCACGAGTTGCGCAGTGACTCGATGGTCGTCACTGCGGATGAGTGGCGAACGAACGTGGTCATCATAGTGCGCAGGCAGAGGCTGGACTCGAGCGCGTTGGGAGAACCCTCCGCCCACGCTGGGCGAGCGGCCACCACACAGGCTCGTCTTGATGCTGCATCGCAAAATCGGGACATTATAGCAAGCAGCCTCGAAGGTGAAGGCTTTTGATGATTCCTCCGGACAGTGCTGATATCTCTTTCAACAGGAGAATTTTACGATGCACCGCCAAGCGTTAATACCCCCGCTAACAACGATTGGTGCGACCGAAATCAGAATGACTCGGTATGACTATGACTTCGAATCATGACGCCTGACGCCCGATTCCGCGAGTCTTCCGCCGCAGCGGATCGGACCCTGAGGCCTAAGCACTGGCACAGTTAACTTGAAAGATGCACAGACACATGTCCTTGCCCAGCGCAAGCGAAGCAGATGCATAGCCGCCAGCCTTAAATATGGCACCATGCCGCTGTGCCTGTGCTTACCCACCCTCTCTACACTCCTCACTACTACACCGTGCCTCGACCCTCGATCTCCGCCCCTCTCGAGTCCAAGATTGCTTCTGCATTCCACGACGCGCCCCTGTCTCCACTCCAGCTTTCTTGCGATGAAGGAGAGACAGCTCACCTCGGCACCGGCATACCCAAAGCACGCAGCACACCTTGCGCGTTGAACATCATGTACATGAACGAGCCGTCTTTACTCTCGCGTAGACGTCCCTCGACAGTCCACCTCGTCAGTAATCACATCTTCATCGTTCTCACAGATATTAACTGTCTCTCAGAACAACCGTGATAACATGGCAGCCGGCCCCGCCATCGTTAGCGGGCCAGGGGGCAGCTCGTCCTCAGGCAGCTCCAGTGATTCCGGTCCCTCAGATCCGTCCGCAGGATCATCGCATTACGACTCCAATACCGTCACGCGTGTCGTCATCCCAGTAGTCGTCTCGCTCGCACTCTCTATGCTCGTTGGCATAGTAATACTGTGGCTCTACAAATCATCGCGGTACCGCAGGCGGCAGGCCATCCCCAACCCGTTTACTGCCTCCAAGAAGCCACAATTGTGGGATGTTAGGCTGTCCCCCTCTCCAACAGGCTCGTTGGATGATGCGCGCTGGAGTCACATCACGGTGAGCCCTTTTCCCTCATAGTGAGGTTCGAGTAGTAATCGAGACTGACGCGACGCCCAGCCGCTGTCCGTCAAGTCTATCCCGGGCGACGTATACGAGCTCGAGAGGCTTGTCAGCGCATCTGTCCATCTCCCAGAGGTCAGCAGAGATCGACCGCTCAGCGTGCAGACATCGTCCTCCACTGCCTCGAACATCTTGAAAAAGCCACGATCGAAGGCGGACGACGGATGGTTGCGCGTCTCAGTCGCCATCGCCATGCCCTCGCCCACTTCGCGCCGGTTATCTGGCAAGGAGTGTCGTGGCGGCGCAGGTGTTGGCGAGCGGGCTGCACCGATGTGTCTCGGTGTGGCGGATATTCGGAAACGGGAGGGGGTCTAGTGGAGACATCAGGGAGTTTTTGTTCTTCTTTGTTGTGCGTGATTGCGGGGATTGACGCTCGTTCACCGAGATGGTGACTCATCGCTTCTCGAAATACCATATAGCTTGCATGTGCTCATAGACGAGCAGCGAGAGTTGCTTAGTGGGCTTTCGAATTCGTCGAGATCGCGTCAGAATCACGAAGGGCACATTCTTTCGCGGAGCTCAAGACGGTTGCTTCATGACAGATATAATCTTATAGGCTTGTGCGACAAAGATAAGAATTAATTTACATATGAAGGACCAGCTGGACGGGACAGAAGATTAACACGAGCAACACAAGCACGATACATATCAACGAGACAGGACCTCCGATCCTAACGGAGACTCCGGAATACATACAGAGGGTCCATCATCACGGCATCCACATTTTGGCCTTCACCCAGTCCAAGAGCTGGTCGTCCCACAGCTCTCTCAGCTCGACCGTACGGTCAACGCCCTACCCCATCCAAAAACAAGATACGTCAATCACCGTTTCCAACACGCATAGCGAGTATACGCACCGCACGCTGTGCAGCCCGGATGACTTTGCACGCGATCTGCGCGCTGATCTCGCGAATGCGCTCGATGCGTGGGTAGATGAGGTCTTGCGCGCGCTCCTCCGGCGTCAGTGCGTCCGCGAGCCCAAGCGAGGACGCCTCGACCATGCTGTCCGTCACTGCCGACGCGCGCGACAGGATCGCGCCGAGCCCCAGGCCGGGGAACACGTACATGTTGTTCCCTGCATCGCAAGAAATCAGTATCAGCTTATGCTAGCAATGGAGTGCGCGTGCGATGCGACGCGCCTTGCCCGGGGTACAGCGTGCGGCCGTCGTGGGTCTGCTCTGGGAACGGCGAGCCAGACGCGAAGATGACGCGGCCCGCGGACCATTGCACGGCTTCGTGGAACTCGCACTCGGATAGCTGTACGGGGTTCGATAGAGAGAAGATGATGGGACGGGCGTTCAGCCGGGACATCGTCTCGATGACAGATTGGTTGAAGGCGCCCTACGTCATTATTTCTCTGATATCAGGATGCATGGATCAGAATCATGGTGGGTCATCACGCACCTTGATCGTCGACAGACCTAGAAGGGCGGTGGGCTTGACGTACTCGATGATCTCGGTGAGGTTCTTCATCGGCGGTCCGCTATAGTCTTGGCGCGAGAACTCTGAGTAACATAGCAGCCAGGTCAGGGTCAGTGAGTGGTCACCTTAACGAGGGAAGCAATACCCACGCTTCTTGTGCTCCGCCATCGGTCCTCGCTCGTCATAAATCAACCCCTGCGAATCAACGAGCCATATCCGCTTCCGCGCCTCCTCCTCTGACATCCCCTGCATCTTGAAGAAACTCGTCAGCTGCGTCGCCACCCCTACACCCGCCGATCCCGCGCCCAAGAACAGAATCCTCTGATCCTCCAGCTCCTTCCCCGCTGCCTGGCTCGCAAGCCTCGCAGCATTGAGGAACCCAGAGAGTACGACCGCGCCCGTGCCCTGGATGTCGTCGTTGAACAGCGGGTAGCGCTGCCGGAAGCGATCGAGGTACGTGAACGCAGCGTCCGTAGAGAAGTCCTCGAACTGCACGAGCAGGTTCGGGAAGATGGTCGACATTTCGTGCATGAACTCTTCCATGAATTCGGTCATCTCTTCTCGCGGTACGCGGGTTTGCCGGAGACCGAGGTAGAGAGGGTCAGCGAGGAATTGCTCATTATTCGTGCCGAGGTCGAGGCAGATGGGTATTGTCGAGGAAGGGCGAATACTGAGTGGTGTTTAGGTTAACATCGAGAATCTCTTTACAGTGAGTTCGACTTACCCTGCTCCTGCGACATATAGAGAGAGCTTGCCAATTGAGATCGGCATGCCGTTCAGCCCCAAATCACCAAGACCCAGGATTCGCGAACCTTGAGAGAATATCAGAACGATTGAAGCCCAGACCACGTGTCATGAATATCGCACCATCTGTAACGACTGCGATTCGCCCCTCGTCTATGCGAGGCCAATTCCGCAAAATCTTGCCAATTTGGCCTTTGTCTTTGATTGAAATGTACTATTTGGGACGTTAAACGCCAATCACAGACAGTCCTATATGCGGATTACTCACCAGGCCTTCCGGTCTCCTGAAGATATGTGAGAACTGCAGGCAAGCATCGCCGACCGTTGGTGTGTAGATGATGGGCGTGATTTCCTGCAGCACCATTGTCAATGCGTCGTCCGCAAAAAGCCATCCTAAACATACTCACAGACATATTATCCAGACATAGCTTATAGAAGGTGCGGTGGTCCGCATCCTTCAGCTGGGTGAGATAAATGTACTTTTCGATGTTTTTATCTTTTGACCGCAACTGCCGGAGACACCGGACTGTATGTGTCGCCTCGTCCATAGCGGGCGGAAGCAAGCCACGGGCCGGTCGAGGTGGCGCTAGAGGCAATGTTGAGCAGAGCTGTCATGCGCTTCTCTGACAAAGGCGACGTACGCTGAGGCACCACCTTCAGCTTTTGCACACCGTTGATCCAGACGGGGTTGAGAACTATGGTCATTTCAGAAGTCAGTACAAGCAGTCAAGAGGAATGAGGATGGGCGAGAGTCGTAACGTGCTATTGCCAGAGGGATGCCTAGTCGCAGTGCGGACAGAATGGGTTGCTTTGCACAGGACAAAGATGGCCGCTTTAAAGCATTGCTGACTGACGTCTTGTCAGCTCAGCGCTCGGACAGCCTGACGCCTGAAAATCTCCCGTGCGGCAAAGCAGTGCAGCTTGGTGATACGATGCATCAGTCTGCCAGAACGACGTCCCACTAGCGGACGTTTCATAGCGACGGATGTAGATCACCAACGTCTCCTCCCAGACGACCAGGAAGGATGAACAGCAGCATCAGCAGATGTACACACCTTGCTTTCTCACGACGTTCATCTCGGCGCCCGCTATCTATCACGTCAAGATGCCAATGTGAAACAGTCTCAGAGTAGCAAAAAGAGGGAATACGGCAGCCAGGAAGGATGTTCAGCAGATATAAGCAACAAATGGCACAGCCATGACGAGAGCTAGTATATGAGTCGTCCGACGATTTGTTTACCCGGGTAACACCCCAGCATGAGTCAGGACGTGGTCAGCCCATCTTGCGTTGACAAGTCTTTCTGGGACGTTAGGTGGCATTCCCTAAAAAAAAGTGGTGCGCCTTCCCGACGGAACCATACGGATGACAGAGCGGGCGGAATGGAAGGCCAATGAATGGATATGAGAGCCACGTACGATCTCACGCGTAAGGCGCGCGGTTGGCAGGTAAAGTCTGGCAATGATAAACCTTGCACGGCTTTGCGTCGTTTCGCGGTCCAATGGCATACGGCCGCCGCCACATACCAGGCAGGCGAGCTGCAGCACTGGCAATCCTCACAAGCACTTGAGCTCGCGGTTCCACTGCTCATCGGTGTCCGCCGGACAAATCGCGGGAATCCGACGACGGCTTCCCGTGGCAGAGAAATCGGGTTTAATGGTCAAGACAAATAGATCAAATTGCAAGTCCAGCGACGAGGATGACTCGAGTTCGACCAGCGAGCAGCCAACACGCGTGAGTGGCTGAGGCGCGTTTTCGGAGATCGAATATTTTATCCCCCGAGATCCCGCTGTGAGATTTTCCTGACCGCCATCCTCACCATCCTACATTCACTTCGCTCACCCACCTTAGGGTTCACGCAACCACACCACATTGACCAGAGCTACGTATCAGGAAATGGGCCCTTTAGAAGGCCGACGGTCAGAAAGGCTGGATGCCGACACTGGGTCGCCTGCTGTCGACTATAGCCGAGAAGTAGACGACTTCTGCGAGCTCGTCGATTGCATGCGGCAAGGCATGTCTGCCGTACGAGAAGCAGTTAAGGCAATAAAGGAAAAGTATGTATACTACATGTGTTGCATGACACAGAATACTGAGTGACACGCTCTCCCAGCGACATTGACACCAAGGACGGAATCTCCTTACTTTCCCTGAAACATCACCTCATGCTGTCCTACCTCCAATCACTGGTTCTGGTTTGCTCTCGGCGTGCTGCTGGTCATGCTTTGACAGAGAGATCACCACCGTCCCAGTCCTTCAGTGCCCCCGACCGACCTGCCCGCGGCCCCGGCGCAGGAGACAGAGTCGATTCAATGATCGAGGCTAGAGTTGTGCTGGAGAAGGTCAAGGTTCTGGAAGGCAGAATGAAGTATCAGATTGATAAGCTCGTGCGAGTCGCAGAGGAAGCCCCGTCTGCGAGCCAGAACGTTGTCAATGGTGAGAGCAATATCTGCTTATACCCCAGAAGATCGCATTAATTCTTACTCCTACTACAGATCCTCTTGCATTCAAGCCGAACCCGCAAGCCCTTATGGACCAGGGGTCTGGCTCAGAGGATGAAGAAAGGGAGGAAGAGGACACTCGCGGACGAGACGGGATCTACCGCCCTCCAAAGCTGGCACCCATGCCCTATACTGAGCCTCGCAGGAACAAGGACAAGTCCCGCCGGGTGCCAGTCCCAACTGCGCTTTCCACTCTTGCGCGTCTCGATCCTACAAAACCGTTCGTGGAGTCTACTTCCGGCCTTGGCTCCACGCCTGGCATCGTGTCCGGGCGGGCGCGCGAGCTGCAGCGCATAACCGAGTTCGAGGAGGAGAACATGACGCGACTGATCATGAAGAAACGCGACGCGAAGCGGCGGAAACAGGACGAGGCGGACATTGCGCTTGGAGGGACTGCCGCTGCGTCGGGCCGTCGTGGGCGCGGAGGAGGTTTCGAGGACGAGTTTGGCGATATCCTCAGGTCGGTTGGGAGATCGCGCGGCGGGGTCGTCGGTGATGGCTATGAAGAGTTGCGACAGAGGGGTAAGAAAGAGAGCGTGTTGGCGAGATCGAGGGCGAGGGGCGCGGAGGATGCATTTGAGGACTTGGGTGACGACGGGCCGAAGCCAAGGAAGAGGAGCAGGTTCGCGAGGGACGTAAAGGCGGCAAAGAGACACTCGACAAACCGCAGGTGAAGCTGCATGGAACGGTAGGGTCGCGTAGTGTGTGCTACTTTTCTTCACTCATCCTTCCACTCCACTATGGGTCAGCGCTTCAGCTATCAGCTCGTGACACAGTCTTTTCCTAGTCCGATCAGCCGCAAGCCTTCCGGTGACTACTGTGTCATCGTCGTCGTCGCGTATATGGGGTATGCAGATTTCTTCGAGACGGTCTGCGTGAACTACTTGGCGCCACAATGACCGCACTAGAAGCCTCCGTGTTAAAGTTTAATTTTCCTCAATCGAGTAACAATCGCACCCCAAGACGTTCGGCAGCCTTTTGGGTGGGAGGATCATGAGCGGCAAGCAGCATCCGTGAGTTCTATAAATCCACGTCTGACCCGTGATCGTCTCCGTCCAAAGCCCAACGCCCTGCCTACGCCCTCATTTGTCGGCTTTGCATGATGCGCTTGCTCCCACTCGGTACACACGGCAATTGAGAGTCTCCACGTTCGCGGGAAGTCCGACGATCGTTGCTCTGAATGTATGTCTCATGATTCTCATCGTTGCCGGCCCGTGCCCGCCAAGTCACAACACCACTGCGAAGGCCGGGGCACTTGCGCAATGCGGGGTGTCCACCGTTGATTCCGTATCGAATGTGGGTCTTCGGGTGCTTCCTGACGCCTCTGGGATGATGATCCCCGTTCGGGCGGACTTGAGGAAGCTCCCGTGGACAGGTGAGCTATATAGCTCCGGCCCTGCATAATAATCCCCTCTGCCCACAGCACGTCCTCGCTGGACGGTAACATATACCCAAATTGCTCTTTGTGTATGACAGTCTTTGTGGAGGCCAAACATTGCCCGTTGCGCGCCCTGCATGTCTGATATCACGTCGATCGATGGCACGCCCGCAACAGTCGCTCAATCGACCGACGGCCCCCCACTCATCCTTGTCTTCCTCGCGTCGGGCCTTTTCATCGGCGCCGTTCTGTCCATCGTCGTACTCCGCCGCGTTTACCCGAGCATGAGCTTCATGAACCCCACCAGGCGGGTGATACCTATAGAGCGCCCGCTGGTCGAAAAGCCGCGACTGTGGGACATGTGTGCTGGCCTGGAACTGAGGCATGATGGTGTTGGGGACTCACAGAAGAAGAATAGAGGGGATATTGGCGGGAGATGGCAGACAATTTTGGTAAGTAACGTTGTCCGACCAGCACCCGAGGGTGAGTGCCGCTTGCGTACGGACTCAATGATGCGACAGCCACTGTCCGCCAGGTTCCTGCCGCGAGCGAGCGACTATGCCAGCGGCCCGGCTCTCCCCCATCGCTCTCGACGACTACTGTTTGAACGTCGTAGCCCAGCCGTCAGAGCTGAAAAGCTGCCTGCTGGCAGAGTGCCGGACGATCTGCAGATTGGAAAGCTCCAGATCGCCGTGCTGATCGCCATGCCATCTTCGCACGGAACACGATGGCATTGTGCAGAGAAGAGACCATGCTCCGGTTCGCTCTTCGTGGACGAGGCGAGAGAGTACTGTATCGGTGTGGCAGAGATCTCGGCTGCCGCGAGACCAGATGATGCACATGGAGGTTAGATAGGGTAGGTAACGACCTCGTTGATTCGACTTTGTTGAATGCTAGTATCTCCGAGGATTGTATCACAATGAATCAAATTCCAGCCATCATGTTACCGTGTGGGCCGCAGCCTAGCATTGAGAGAGTGGGTGGAGCTTGTCGCGTCAACGTGCTCTTGTTGGTCGTCTGTTCAAGCATCAATGTCTGAGGCTCAACGGTGAGTAATTATCTGGCTATAGATGCTCACCAGGTCATCATTGAAAGCAATGTACCGGTCGCCCAGAGTCCAGACCGATGCGCGGTGGAGCGCAAACATGCATGACATTCAGCCGGTGGCGAGAATTTGCAGTCCGATCAATGATGAGGGTATACAAGAAAGCACAAATTACATTGAATAGTATCATTAGAGCATCCGTTCTCGATACACTTTCCTCCGCGCCGCTCAGGATGAAGCTACAGAACCGGCTGAGACTCTGCTCCCAGGAGGCTCCTCCGAGTGCAAGGAATCACTCACCTGTGTCTGCAGACCCGATAGAAATGAGAAAGATCCTTGCAAAGGTGATCCTCAGGTAAGCCCAGTACCACTCGCGGATGATTGCAGTGACCGGAGCGATACGTCCGGATGGTAATACGAGCTGGCGTAATTGTGCGTTGAACTTTGAGAAATACGTGGCCTTCCGAGTCTCGCCTTTGGCTGTCATTATCAGAGACATCTCGTTTTTCACAGATTGAGCGCATTCCCTGACATTGTTCACCGGCCCAATTTCAAAATTCGTAAGTTTCAGCAAGCAGACAGGCTTTTTCGATCCGTTCGCGTTATCTTACGAATTGTACCATCATCTTGAAGCGTGAAGGCGAGTTCCTGGTGGGTAAGAAGACTCCGGAAGACGTTCAAATCGACTTGAACGCGTGCAGAGCGCCAGCACGATTTCCGAGGTAATTGCGCAGGCGTGCAGGAGGATTCGCGTGTGAAGACCTGCAGCGCGCAGCTGTAGCGTAACACCAATTATGATCCGCGTCTGCGGCGTTACGCTTATCTGTCACGCACGTTCACCATGTGCTGTATCCGCCGCCGACGTTCCTGCTGCGGTTCTCTCTCGTCGTTAATCTTGACGAGCACGCATATTCTCCAGTCAGGAAACAACCGACGCAGAGTTGACTCAGTATTCAGGTAAGGTCAGTCGTCGGCGCTCCCGCGAGGTGGAGCAGTGTTGACAGCGTCAATGTGCATGACCAGCGGCAGTCATCAATTTCGGTACTGATAGTGTCCGACTCATATATTCTGATCCCATCATCGGGACCGCCTGTCAAAAGGGGTCCATTTTTTAAGGATAGGCATCGCTCAAAAGCTCGTTTGCAGGACGGACAGCTGCGGCTAACCCGCAATGCCACCATACCAGCTGCCGGTCGCCATCACCCTAGCCGGTGCTGCAGCATGCAGTCTGATCGTGTTTTTGATTTTTCGTCCCAAGGGAGGCAAGATTCAGCTACCCATCAGTGAGGAGGTGCCAGAGAGGGATCCGTTCGACGTCACCAAGCCGGAAGACCGCATTGACGGGTATCCTGTGAATGAAGAGGCATTCTGGTATCGAGTACGTGGGGCTCTCTGTGAATCCTCATTGCACTGACATCTTTGTATAGATGCGCTTGCGTAAGCTCGCCATCTCCATATTCCTGGGTTCCATCCTGGCGATTCAGAGCGTGTGCCTTGGATGGTCAGCAATAGACGACGACCGCAGCCAAGCCTTAATCCATGCCCTCCATGTCGCCTTCGCGCTCTACCTGCTCATCATCGCTGGACGGTCTGTCAGGAAACAAGACGGGTCGCATGCTGTATATATCGTCCACCTTTCCGCGCTGACGTTTGTCGCGACTGCTCTGTTCTTCACGACGGCCATCCTACCATCCTCGCGCCTTGCACATACAGGATCGTCGGATGTGTCCGCAGTACCGCTCGGCCTGTTCTATGCGACATTCACACTATACGCTATCTCACTCGTCATCGCAGCGACGACTCCGTGCGGCCCTCCCCTGCACTTCCCGCCGGAACAGATCTATTCTGAGAAGACGATAATGAAGGTCAGCACACAATACGCTGACAATGTATGCGGCATCAGGGGCGCATCAATGTGGGACACGCTGTTGTTCTCGTACACGACCAAGGTTGTTATGCTTGGGAACACGTCGGAGAGCCTCGAGATCGCCGACCTGCCGATCGTGCCTGCGGACATGCGCGCAACTACGCTCTTCGCGACCATGCGGGCGGCAATGCGGGCGTACAAGCTGCGCGTGGGATCGTGGAAGCCTAAGCCAGGTTCGGGATGGGAGCTGCTGTACCGCTTGGTGCGCGTGAATGCGAGAATGATTATGGCCGTCGTGGTGCTTGCCGCTGTAGCTGCTGTGCTATTCTATACGCCAGCATTCTTCCTTCGGAATGTCGTGTATTATTTGGAGGTGGACCCTGACAGGACGAACCGAGGGTGGGGATGGGTCTACTGCACTGGGCTGTTCGTTAGCAATGCGATAACACACCTTAGTGAGTGATATGTGACGCGGCAGAGCGGCCAGGTTGTTCTGATGTACCCGACAGTTACCGGGCAATTGTGGTCGCTATCAACTACTACGTTGCAAGTCCGCCTCAAGGTGCAGCTTAACTCAATACTGTTTGCGAAGACGCTTGTGCGCAAGGACGTCGCGTCATCGTCAGGTCCTGCGGCTGCCTCAGATGGCGCGACAAGTAGCGCGGCGAGTGGAGATGGAAAGTCAAAAGAGAAAGAGGAAGACGACTTCTCGAGCAAGGCGCAGATTATGACCCTTATGACCACGGATGTGGACCGCGTGAGCGAGTTTGCTTGGCATTTGTTCACTCTGATCGGTACGAAGGCTTTGTTCGCCTGAAGAAGTAATTTGGCTCATTGATGCCGCAGATTCACCTGTTGAGATCGTGATCGGGACACTGTTCCTGTATAACCTCCTCGGTATGTCTCATGGGTGGGCTATGTATGGGTAGAGCGTTAATTCATGCTTTCCTTAGGTATATCATGTTTCATCGGACTGGCGGTGACGTGTCTGTTTCTGCCCTTGAACCACTTTGCCGGCAAGGTCGTCGTTGGAGCTCAGGACAATCTCATGAAAGCACGCGATGAACGTGTTTCGTTGATGAACGAGGTGAGTAAAGGATCACATGCCAGTATGTAATGTGCTGATCTCCATCGCTCCAGATCCTTGGTGGCATCAGAATGCTGAAAGTGAGAGGGTTACGCTGCCGCTATGGTGATGAATAATTGACAGTTGTGCAACGTCAGTTCATGGCTTGGGAGCGCAGCTTCGAGGAGAGGGTTATGAAGATCCGTGCCAAGGAGCTAAAATACCAACGCCTGAATTACCATATTGAGGTATGGGCTTGTCGTTTTTTTTAATTTATACGGTGAACCTATCACTCATTGTTTTATAGGTTCTATTCAATGCAATTTGGTGTGTGCGATTACTGCGTGCAGCTCAAGGCTTGTGTTCATTTCTGCTCCGCACAGGAACTCAACTCCTATCGTCGTCACGCTCGTCTCGTTCTGGCACTTCGCCGTCGTTCGCCAGCAAGTGCTGACGCCGTCTATTGCGTTTACATCTGTGAGTGCTTTCATGTAGAGCTTACTTCTTAGGCCTTAATGATCAATGGTCTCTCCTCGAAGATTAGCAGTGCGTCCAATTCGTTGTTTATTTTTTGCAAATTATCTTGACAACCAATGTAAGTCTTCAACGAAATGAAGTTTGCTCTCAATGCACTTCCAGAGACATTCATCAACATGCTCCAAGTGTGTACTATTCGACATTCTTTTACTGTCCCGTACTTATACACTGCCTAGTCTCTTGTGTCAATGAGGCGCATCGAGAAGTACTTGCTCGGCCAGGAAGTAGCCAAGGTTGAACCTCTGGATGGCCAACCTCATCCCATCATACTACAAAATGCAACGATCACCTGGCCACAGGATCGCGTACATGGAGCGAGCGCGATTCCGTCCGTCGCGTCGACTCCCCAGCAGAAGTTCACTCTCCTTGATCTCTCGCTCAACTTTCCGCTCGGCGAGCTCACATTGATATGCGGCAGGCTTGGAAGTGGAAAGTCACTGCTGCTGCTTTGTAAGACTGCTGTTCTGCCTTGTCAAACTGTCCGGCGAGCTGATACATCGATGTTTAGCACTGTTGGGAGAGGCCGATGTACTGGCGGGACAGGTGATATCTCCTCGTACACCTCCAGATACCATCTCTTCGTTTGCTGGTGTGGTCGTACCCGAGGAAGAGTGGGTAGTCGAGGGTGTCTGCGCTTATGTTCCTCAGGTTAGTCTTCGAGTATATCTGTCTTTGATTGCATGATCGATCTTTGTGCAGTCTGCTTGGCTTCGCAATGCCTCCATAAAAGGTATTTTCCGCAAATTATTCATTGTTATCGCATGCTCACGTGCGTTCGCAGACAACATCCTGTTCGACTTGCCATACGTCGAGGAACGTTATCGCAAGACTCTCCAGGTGTGTGCTCTCGAGAGTGACCTCAAGATTCTCGAGGATGGTGATATGTCCGAGATCGGGGAGAAAGGAGTGAGTGTTACGAGGGCTCGCTTTTGGGTGGTGCATCGCGATCTGAATATATATTGTTAGGTGAATCTATCAGGTGGCCAGAAAGCCAGAGGTGCAGTACCATATTACAAATTACCGGCAGACTTACTGACGAGAATTTATCAGTGTCACTCGCTCGTGCGGTCTACTCACGGGCCTCAGTCCTTCTCTTGGACGACGTGCTGTCCGCTGGTAAGTCTCGTAGTTGTAGTGATCGCCTCGTGGTCTTACTCATTCCGTTCCCAGTCGATGCTCACACTGCTCGTCACCTGTACCACGAGTGCCTGAAAGGCGATCTGATGACTGGACGAACCGTGATTCTGGTATCGCACCACGTGCAGCTTTGTGCTCCTGGCGCAGAGTACGTCGTTGCGCTCGATAATGGTAGAGTGCAATATCAAGGCGACGTCGACGGCTTCCGCTCATCTGGGGTCATGAGCACGTTGGTTCAGTCAGGCGTTGCTGATAAAGAAGACGATAAGGAGGAAACTGCGGTCGAGACAGTTGAGGAACTTGTGCCCGTCCAGGAATATTCTACAGAGATCACGGAGGACGGCTCTGAGACGACGTCGACTGCAGCTGGTACGGAAGCCGACGTCAAAGCAGGGCCGAAGAAGGTGCCTCGGAAACTCATCGAGGAGGAGAAACGCGCTGTAGGACACATTGGCAAGGATGTCTGGACAGCCTATCTTGGCGCTTGCGGCGAATGGGGCTTTTGGATTGTTTTCGTGGCTGCACTGCTGCTCGCAGCGTTGAGCCCAGTGGCTGAGAATGGATGGCTTCGGTATGTATCGTGCTTCAGGCGTACCGTGCAGGAAAGACCGAGCTCTGTTCACAGCATATGGACTGGGTCGTCTACGGACACAGGCGAGCCGAAGAGCGCAATGTTCTACATCACGGTCTACGCCGCTGTAAGTAATCTACGTTCTACGTTCTTTCGCGCTTGTATAACATTCGTGATGTCCAGATTACTTGCATAGGTAACGTCTCACGATTGCAGATATCCCCTTCATTCTGATAATGTCTTTAGGTGTCGTCTTGACAACTCTGCGATGGTTTGTTGTATGTGAGTACGATGGATGCACGGTAGCTATATACATTGACACATGTCCTGCCAGACTACGGCGGTATCCACGCTTCCACTGTCCTACATAAACGTAAGATTCTTCATATAATTCCTCGCATTTTCTCATCGATGCTCAGGTCTGCTCGAGGGCGTGCTGTTCGCAAATATCCGGTTCCATGATACGATATCTCGCGGACGGCTTTTGAACCGTTTTGGAAAGGACTTCGAAGGTAGTTTTCTTGTCAATAAATCCTTATTCGTCCTCATGATTTTGTCTATAGGTGTCGACAGTTCTCTTCCAGACAATTTTGGACGAAGTGTCGTATACTGTTTCTCCGTGACGACGACGTTCATTACCATCACATATGTTGGCGGCTTCCCGTTTCTATTGGCAGCCGTCTTGTTTGGCACCTTATACTACAGCAGTAAGTTGATTTATGTGTTCTGGCTTCCCGATTGCCTGCTCATCTCTTTGATCTAGTTGGCAAAGTAAGTACCGCAAGATTCCACTGAATGTTTGTGAAGATAAAATGTCATCTCCTCATTACGTTATATAGGTTTACGGTCAGACTTCGCGAGACATGCGCAGATTGGGTAAGCAAGAGCAATTGAATGAACTAGCTATTTTCTAACAATCTTGTGCAGATTCTGTGACACGCTCTCCTTTATACTCTATCTATGGCGAGACTATAGCAGGAGTGACGGTGTTGCGCGCCTTCGGTGCTTCGACTAAGTTCATGAGGGACATGTTGCGTTGCGTCGATACGGTAGGCGGGCCTATTCCACTTTAGAAGCCGCGCCTGACTCGATCACTGTAGAATGCAAACCCGTACTATTGGATGTGGGGAGGTATGCATGTCTCATTGCGACCGGAGGTACATACCTCTGATAATTTCAATCAAGTGAATCGTTGGCTATCTGCGCGATTCAACCTTCTTTCCAGCGCTGTCGTCGGCGTTACCGCCTTCATCGCCATCCTCACCCCCAGTATCAATGCGTCTCTGGCTGGGTTCGCCCTCGCGTTCGCTTCGACGGTGCTGAATGACGTATGTGACCTTTATCTCGTCAGACCTATGGCAATGCTAACCATACATCATCCAGCTACTCTTTTTGGTAAGCGTGGCTGTTTCAAACATGCCGTAGAAATCTCGAACCTTCAAAATTATAGGTCCGTCGATTCGTTGGCTTGGAACAATCGATGGTCAGTCTGGAGTTTTCAATGGTGGGGCTGTGACTGACGGCCGTAATTGCCTTAGGTCGCTGTTGAGCGTATCAAAGAATTTTCTGAGCTTCCTCGAGAACCGCCAGAATTTATCGAGCCCAGACCTCCTGCGGCATGGCCGGAGAAGGGTGAAATCGTCTGCGAGAACCTAGTGATCCGCTATGCAGTAAGCACTGGACTCAGGTTATATGGTCGCCAAGTTTAAACTGGGGAAACTAGCCCGACTTGCCAAATGTGCTGCACAACCTCACTTTCAGAATAGAGCCGGGAGAGAAGGTCGGTGTGCTCGGAAGGACCGGATCAGGCAAGAGTACCCTGGCCCTGTCCTTCTTCCGTTTCGTAGAACCGACCGAAGGCCGAATCCTCATCGATGGACTAGACATCTCGAAAATGGGTCTTACTGACCTGCGCGGCAAGCTTACAATTATTCCTCGTCAGTTATTTGAGTCGTTTTTCGAAGCTATGAAACTGATCACTGCGCTTCACAGAGGATCCAACCATTCTCAGTGGGACGTTGAGGTCTACGTTAGATGTGTTCAATGAATATGAAGATGCAGAGATCGTGTGTTTGTTCATACTTCTGTGGACTCGACCTTGACTTCTGATATGCTCAGTATGAGGCGCTTCGCCGGGTCCATCTGATACCGGCGGGCGATAGATCTGATGAGGATCTTGAGACTGTGAATGCCAATGTGTTCCGCAACCTAGATTCTCCGGTCTCCGAGGGCGGAGAGAATTTTTCCACCGGGTGAGTACTGGCCACCACCTCACTGTGCTAGAAAGTCAACGTAACGACAGTGAGAAGCAATTGCTCTGCATGGCGCGAGCCATTCTCAAGCGAACGAAGGTTCTTCTGATGGATGAGGTACGCGCATTTAGATATTATAAATGATTTCGGGAAAGCCTATCGTGAACGTTCCAGGCAACTGCGAGGTAAGCGCTACGGGTGATAGTTCTGAAAACAAGACTCAATGACTGCAGTGTCGACTATGCGACGGATGAGTTGATCGGGAAGACAATACGACAGTGCGTACAAAGCTCATAAGCGAGTGCTTCGACGACTGACCCCGCGACTACAGCGAGTTTGCCGAGAGCACGATCCTCACCATTGCACATAGATTACGCACGGTGATAGACTATGATCGGGTGAGCGTAAATAGGTTTATTGCTCTTCCACGTCATTCTGAGCGTCGCACGCAGGTCATGCTCCTTGACCAAGGCCGAATCGCGGAATTTGACAAGCCACACGTCCTTCTTGCAGATCCGACATCTAAATTCCACGCTTTGTGCAAAGCAACGGGCAAGAACGAGTTTACCATGCTCAAGAAAATGGCTGGTGTGCCGTGATATGTCTACCTTGCGAATGCATCGAGGGCAATGCAGTGTAGTTTAGTGTCCACAGATTGACATGGACGATTGTTGTCGAGAGCAGTATTTGCATTGTTTATGTGAACTATATAACCTTGCTGTCTGCTTGTGCCATAGTGTCGAAGCGGGTAATTATGTTCGTTGACATGGCATGTTCCGAGGACAAAAGGTGCGCTAAGCGCCCAGACGCGTCGCGCGCCTCCTCTGGCGCAAGCCCTTGTTCAATTAGCTGTCCTCTTACCGCCACAGCCTGAGCGGTGCCGGTGAGCTTGCAAGCTTACGCGGTCGGACTGCGTAGATGATCGGTTGGAAGCCCGGGAAAATGGCACGCGATGCTCTCGCAGTGCTTCTCGGCGGTCTCATAGCTGCTATATGGGCGACTCCGATCGTGCACAGAGATCCTTGTTCCGCCATTGCGAATCAAACCTGGGTCTCGCCTCAGAACGTCAGGGCTTGCTTCACCTCATTCTCAGTGGAGACTGATATCAAGGAGAATGTACGTGCTCGCCCAGTCAAAATCCCGCTGAAAGGTAGATCATTGTCTTAAAGATCATAGAGGTCGTGAACAAGACGTTGGCTTTCCATACTTCAGTCAACTATCAGCGTCTGGCACCTCCGCCTTTCTCCAATGATGTACATGAGGACATCTTGGCGGACTTGGCACGAATCAGTAGCCAGAAGCACGCCTCGGATTTTGACTTTCACCTTGACCTATCTCGGGCTTTCAAGAGGCTCAATGATGGGCATTGCGTCTACATCAACCTATGCTATGACTATAAGGTCGGATACCATTAGCCACAATCTGTGCTGACGGCATTTGCTAGCACTATTTATGACATACGTGCCTACATCGCTTGTGCTACTGACGGAATCTGATGGGAGCCAGCATGTGCACATCGCACCAGAAGCATTCGAGGTCGCATCCGCTGAGTTCGGAGAAGAAATCGAATGGTGGCAGGAGGCGCTTCCTGGAGAACTGAAAGGCCAACTGAGCTCAGTGAGACATTACCGCACGCTCGCAAAGATGTGTTGACACCTATTCAACAGCTGTCCGGTGCCAAAGTCCTGCTTATTGATGGCGTTGATCCCTTTGTTGCGGTTAATGCTAATGCACTGATCACGGGAGGCTATCAGGGATACGGAACACGCCAAAACTCGTAAGATTCCTAAAGCCCTTCGGCCGATGTGCTGCTTATTGTGGTTGCCAGATTCTTCTCCAGCTACAACCGAGCTGAAACAGGTTGGGTCTATGTCATGGGTAACTTTGCGCAGCAAAGCCTACCGCTAATCGACTCCGTGATTCTGACCATACAACGGCTGGGCAGCGACAAGAACGATACAATCGTGGTGCGTTGCTCTCGATCGTGCTTCTATGCATGGAAGTAATCGAATTAGCTCCCATACCGCTCCCGCATATCACCATCTGCATCGCCATGGAGGGATGCTGCCTCGTTACGAGTTGATAACTGTATTGCAACGAATAGCACAAACGGCGTAGATCTCTACGCCGAAGCCGATGTGACCTCCGATTCCGAAAGGCGGCAGCAGCCCCTTCGCATACCGACAATCATTGAGGTTCGAAGACGCAAGCATCATATGAATGCCCTTGTGAACGCTGAGCCGCAACAGAGTGGCGAGCTGCCACCACGTCTCACGCCGCCATCTGCGCTGAATGGGAGCTCTGGTGTCGCGCAATTTCATATGCTGAACGATAGCCGGACTGGTGTTCTGGCACTTGGAAGCTTCTCGGCAAGCTCTTTCAAGAATCTGCAGCGGAGCTTGCTGGACGGTTTGCAGGGCTTGAAGGAGCAGGGTGCCGATCGGTTGATCGTTGACGTGGTGCGATCTTATCTTATCTGATATCCGATAACGTTCCTCAAGCGAACCTTTTTGAATAGACGAATAACGGTGGTGGTGAGTTAGTCCGCACGAGTGCATGCGATGCAATATTCATTTACCACTGGTCGCGCGACAGGCTACATTTGTATTGCCCATGTGAGTCTTTTGAAATAAAGCTTTATCCCGAGCCTAAAGTATCACCTTCCTCTTTGCAGTGGCTGCATCGTCTGGTGGGTGGCATCTCCTAACTTTCTCGGTATCAGGATACTCAAATAGACAATGGTGTTGCATGTAGATTGCCGGTCCGAAGAACACCACTATCCCGCAGGCAGGCTTGCAAACCCAGACCCGTGCAGGTCCTCTTGCGCAGTTTATCGTCCAAGAGATCGCGAGTGGTGCCGATCCTGAGAACCAACTGCTGTACAACCCCTTGAATTGGGAATTCGCTAACAATACTCCATTTCCGGCGTCGTTAGATTGGCTGTACCCTCCGGTGGAGAAGATCGTCAACCGGCGGGAGGACGCGTTCAGCCAGAGGTTGTATGTTTACGACCTCATTCGTGATTTGATATTGATGGCTTTTCTCAACCATCCAGGCTAGGTGACGAGTGCCAGCCGTTCGAGACGGACCCTCCGACAGAAGCGCTATTCGATCCAAAGAAGGTGACCATCGTTAGTAACGGGAGGTAAGTTCTCCCAATGTCTTCTCAGATTCTATCGCAACAGAAATGGGGTTGTGCCGACGGCGTTCTAGATGTGAAAGTTCGTGCTCGTTGTTCAGTGTATGTCGTCACATCATCAGAAGCGATGCAGTTGAAACATCGGTTTCTAGATAGCCATGTCAAAGGAAGAGGGAACCAAGACAGTCGTCGTCGGTGGCAAGGCTGACGTTCCACAGCAGTATTGCGGAATCGTAGGTGGTCAATCCACGCGGTTTGCTGATATCGACACGGAAATCAAGGTGTGCAGCTCTTCCAAATATCTTACAAGTCTGTTGCCTTGATAAATCCTAGACGGCTGGGCTTAAGAACCACTCGTTGGCTCCCCCTGATTTGTATGTGCTTTTAGCCTTTGCTATATGCAGTCGTGCTGAGCGCCTTCTCTTCATGATAACAGCAAGACGAATAGTATTCAAGGCATCACATGGAGGCTCGGATTTGGCATAGATGATCCATCGCGACCGGAAGGTCAGCGTTCGTGCATGAATCGCGCTATTGGCTGACGCATGTACAGAGTGGCAAGATCATCCCGCGGACGTGAATCTTCCGCTGACCGCGGACATGTCAGTTCTGAGTTCTTTTTTGACTTGACAGCCATTCTGACTCCGGCCCTCATTCATACGTGCCGACCTGATGTGCAAATACTTTATGCGGTCCCACAAGTGTGAACAAACCAATTGCTATCTGGGAGACAGTAGCCAGGAACGTTCTTTGAACCACTGTCATGCATGGCCATATCTTCTGAGACGAACAGTGGGGGAAGCGGCAATGTACTTTCGGTTGCTGATCATCGATCTTATGCGATAGAGAGCGCCTCTCTGGTCACGATGCGGGGATGCGTAAGTTTTGTGACGCTGCAAGGCGCCTACAGGAGAGATCATTCGACCGAAGTGAATCAACGTCGTCTCTGATCATTCATTGACACACAGCTTCGCTCTTGTGAGAAAGCCATGGCGAGGGAGATTCTCCTCAATGGGTGGTAATTCGTTGAACCGTGCGACTAGGATGAGCTTCTCAAGCCTATCAGAAAACGCCTCACACCCGGTCCCCCCACGCGCCTGAGACTGTCGACGGGTAATTGTCTCACGCCCTTCCGAGAAATCGTCCACATCTCTCCTGTTATCCCCGGATTCAAGCATTCTTCCCCTCGCGGCCGCGCATTTCGCACGCGAGAGGCGCTTTGTAGAGTCGAGAAGCGCGACATGGAGTATTATCATGATCCATGCAGAAAGGGTCAACCAAGGTGTCAGAGCTCGGGTTCAGAGATGTTTCCATTTGCATTTACTTGTCCCCTATAAATGTTCTCCGCTCTAGGCCTACAATGCTGGACCCGCTTTGTCCTCCCCCGTAGCATTTCCCCGATACGTACTCACTAGTTCATTGAGCGGTAAGTGAAGCACGCTTCCGGCTCCTTCTGACTAACATCTGGGCTTATACTTTGAATAATAGTCATTCAGGTTTGCGATGGATATTAAGCAGATTGAAGCCCTGTCTTCAGTGATCTCAACCTCGGTCGCTCAATTGAAGGAACTGCAAGCATCGCTCAAGACAACGGATCACTCCGCGTCGACTGCCCGGGCTGAGTTCCTCAAGCCCTCCTTGGAGGTGGTAGCAGCTGCGTCGCAGCTGATTGCCCTTGTTCGCACGCCTGAGCGCTACCTCATGGATATGTCAACTGCTGTACGTACGCTTTACAACAGCTCGTTCCTAGTCTGACCGGTACATCCAGCATCAAATCAGCTCGTCATTGCGTGTGGTCGTGGAGACCCATGTGACCGAGATCATTCGTGAGAAAGGCAAGGGTGCCATGAAGTCGTTGCACATCAAAGAGATCAGCGCATACAACCATGTCAACTATCTAAAGCTTGGTGTGCATTCGAACTTGTTCAATATGCGCGTTAGATACTGAATGTTTGTGTTCATAGGACGAGTCCTGCGCTTGCTGGCGACACATCACATCTACGAAGAGGTCTCCCCGAACGTTTTCGCTAACAACAGCATATCCATCGTGATGGATACAGGCAAGTCCCTGGCTGAGCTTGATGCGAAGCCGGTGGAGAAATACGATGGCAGCAACGGTATCGCGGCCTTGGTCGGTCTCTTGTGCGTGCGAACGCAAGCAAATGATTGTCTACTGCGCTCATTGAATCTTTCGGTTACAGCTCGGACGAAACCATGCACAATTCCGTTTGCATTGCGGACATCCTGAAGAATCCCGAGACGACAAACTCCTTCTCACCTTTCGACGCGCCGTTCTCGATAGCTTGGCCGGGCACAAAGAATATCAAGATGTATGACTGGCTCAATCTGCCGGAGAACCTGCCCCGCCTAAAGCGCTTCGGCATGGCCATGAATGGTATGAACAGCATGACCCCGCCTGATGCGATTTTGCGAGGTGTGTCTGCTCGCATTGCTATAGCGAATCAGTATGGACGTAGCATCCCTCTACACAGGCTTCAACTGGTCTAGCCTTCCTGAAGGAAGCGTCGTAGTCGACTGTGGTGGAGGTGTCGGCTCGGTGTCCCTTCCCATCGTACAGACCTGCCCGCAAATCCATCTTGTCGTACAAGACACAGGACCTGTGGTAGCAGAGGCGCCGGCGGTTAGTGCAGCGTGTGATTTCTCTGAAGGGTGTATTGATTCATTCTCTCCTGCCTCAGTTCTGGCAAACGAAGCAGCCTGAGGCTTTGGCACAAGGCCGAGTGTCGTTCCAAGGTAGGCATTTGACGCAAGTCGCACTGGTCATTTTGGCCGACTAACAACGGCTATGCTTGCAGCGCACAACTTCTTCGAACCACAGCCTGCTGCTAATAGCAACGTTTCTGTCTACTTGTTGCGGATGATTATGCACAACTGGCCGGATGCAGAGTGTGTGCAGATTCTCAAGCGTTTGCACCAGAGCAGCACCAAAAACACTCGAATCGTCATCGTCGACAACATCATGTTGTATGCCTCTCGCGAACAGAACGTCGAGGGACAGGATACCGGCGCGTCCGACCCCGAGGCGCTCGCGCCAGAGCCCTTGTTGGCGAACTGGGGCGCTGCAAACTCGCTCTCGTACAAGCAGGATATCAACGTAAGTCGCATGATCCCGAAGACCATTCCCGGAGTGACATCTGATGCGATATCCTGTAGATGCTGAGCAACCACAACGCATGCGAACGAACCCTCCCTGAGTTCGCAGACTTGCTCGGACAAGCAGGTTTCCGCATCGTTGAGGTGCATCAAGCTCACCAGAGCTGGTTGCCGCAGATTGTAGCCGTGCCAGTGTAGGCCTGAATGGTCTGCTTGAGACGAGGTTCTGTGAGTTCAATCGGACAATTGTCTTTCGGTGCATTGGAGTGGCGTTGGTATTCAACACACTTGATACAGCAGTGGCGATCGATCTGGTGTAGTTTGCGCAAATCATTGTATAGACAAGAAACCGTCAATGGATTTGATTAGCGGTGCTTGCGCGTGCACATATCTATGTAGAAGACAGCCGATGCCGGGCTACGCCTTGATTTTTGCTAGGATTAAGACCAACTCATCCCACACAGCCCGTCCTTTGATTCATCAGTGTGCTGCGGGCTTGCATCAGTCACGCAATGGCTGTCAATCAGTCCGAGTGCTCCGACGAACCAATTCTGGTTAGCCAATGAACGTATCAGCAGGCTGATGGCGAACAATTGCTTTGTGAGGCCCCACACCGGCTCCCCCTCACAAATTCCGGTGTCTGTAAAATCGGTCAGCAGATCTATGTTACGTCGCAGTGGTCAGATATTCTGGAACACTTATACGGTATATCCGCAGCTAGCGATCCGATGACCTTCCAAGCAGCACGTCCTCCTGACACGACTTTTCGGGTGACCAGAACACGATTACACACTGTTACCCGGTGTCGGGAGAAGTGATAAGGAGGGCATTATAAGCTTGCAGCGTCGCCGTGCCATGGACCAACTTGTACACATCGCACGATGGTTGACCTACAGGACGTGGCCGACGCCTGGCTTACCAAGTTCGCCGTCGCGGTGTTCTCTGGTGACGTTGCAGCGACGGTAGACTGCTTCATACCCAATGGCTGGCTTCGCGATGTGCTAATCTTCACTTGGGACACTCGTTCGCTCGAGGGTCGCGAAAAGATAGCCGCATACCTTCAGGACACTCTCTCTTCGGCGCACATTTCAAACTTCAAGCTCGACGAAAAGCCTGGTCTGAAGCCAGAGCACGCGCTTGATAGAGCTGTCGCGACAGGGTTCACTTTCGAAACCCCGGATCGTACTGGACGTGGATATGCCTACCTGGTGAAAGATGACGGGTCATCCGAATGGAAAGCTTTATCAGTCTTCATGATGGTGGAGGAGATCAAGGACCACGAGGAATTGGGTCCGGAGCTCGGTGTCTATGGTGGACATACGCTCTCTTGGGAAGAAGTGAACGCTGCACGCCGGGCTGCTATCGAAAGCGATCCCTACGTGGTTATAAGTGAGTGTAAACAACATCTACCATCGCTGATGACGCTGACAGACAAGTTGAGTCGGAGCGGGACAGACTGGGCTGAACATTGCAGCTCGCTTCAAGCAGATGAACATACCAACAATCGTCGTAGAAAGGAACAGACGAGTCGGCGATCAGTGGAGACAACGCTATCCGACGTTATCGTTGCATACAACGCGCGCCCATCATACCTGTACGTGCTCGTCAGTCGCTGTTCCGCGATGTTAATTGAACGTACGCTTCACCCAGTGCTGTACCAGCCCTATCCTCTTAACTGGCCGAAATACACCCCGCGTGATAAAGTTGCCGACTGGCTGGAGCAATACGTCCATTCTCAGGATCTCATTGTTTGGACCAATTCACACATTCTTCCTGACCCGATTTACGACGTCAAGGAGAAACGGTGGCATATCGTTGTCAGTAAAGATGGAAGCGAAGTAAAGCTGAACCCAGCCCACACCGTTATCTGCGTAGGCACTCTTGGAGCGCCTTCAATTCCCGACGTTCCAGATAGAGATGTCTTCCAAGGAGATGTCATACATGCGAGCACGTACAAGGGCGGAGAGCCATATGCTGGCAAGAAAACCATCGTCGTCGGAGCCGGCAACACATCGGCAGATATCTGTCAAGATCTCTCCTTCCGTGGTGCAAAGTCAGTCACTATGGTGCAACGCTCGTCAACCTGCGTGGTATCGTCGAAGACGATCGCCGGCGTGATGTCGGTGGCATTTCCGGATGGCGTACCATACGAGATATGCGACATCAAGTACTGGTCCATGCCGCTGAACCTACAGCGGAAGATGGCGCGAGCACGAGAAGCTTTAATGTGGGAGACGGAGAAGGACCTGCATGATCAGCTCAAGAAAGGCGGATTGAAGCTGAACATGGGAAGAGACGGTTCCGGACAGCACTTCCTAATATATGAGCGGTCTGGAGGTGCGATGTCTATTTTAAAGTTACGTTCTCAGGTGCTGACTTACTCGCACAGGCTTTTGTAAATCCTTTTTCCTCAGGGGGCCTTTGCCAGTATGCTGATCACAGGCTCATTTTGATTGACAGGGATCGACGTAGGTTGTGGTCCGCTAATTGGTTCCGGAACGGTCAAGGTCAAGCAAGGTGTTGAGCTCAAGCGACTTACCAAGAATGGAGCTGTGTTTACAGATGATTCTGAGGTGGAAGCCGATCTGGTCGTCTTCGCGTATGCCCGTATCACGATGTTCTGTTCGCCAACTGCTAAGCCACTGCATCGATAGAACAGGGTATTTGGATCCTCGAGATAGTTTGAAAGAAACTTTCGGGAAGGAGACCATCGAACAGACAAGTCCGTTATGGGGTCTAGACGAGGAAGGCGAGATTCGAGGTGCCTATAGACGATCAGGCCATCCAGGCGTAAGTGTCAAAAAACATTCCACCACCCATCTGGCTTGCTGACATAGATACAACCATCAGATATGGTACGGCGCAGGCGATTTTTCAATGTCGCGGCCGCTGTCCAAACAACTGGTGAGCAGCGTCTGCAATGGCAGGTATGATCAGAATGACCGATCGATTCACTTGCACATACAGGCACTCCAAATTAAAGCGATCCAGTTGGGAATGATGCCTCAATAAGACGGAGAAGCCACGGCCTGTTGTTGTAGCAGAACGAGGATCTATACAGTTAGAGGTTCGTATGCTGTGGTGAGATTCTTGCATATATCTTGAATCCTGTAGATAGTGTGTCTGCTACTGCTGTCAAGTATCCGCACCACGTCTTCACATTGCACTGGATCAATGACCCACATGAGAGTCGCTTAAAATGGCTTGCTTCTGCGAAGCACAACGGGCACCTAGGCAAATGTCCTCACGGATTAGGCTGTGATCGTGATCTGCACTGCGGAGACAATCGCCTTCGGAAAAAATCAGAAAGTGGCACGTCACACAAGCGAACCTGACGACGTGGTAGAGTTCATAGAAATCTTGGGCATATAAAATCAAATCCCCTAGATTCCACCGTATCTAGATCTGCCTCTTGTACAAGCCATGTCCTATGGACCTGGCGAGAGACTGAGTTTTATTTTGACCCTGTTACAATGTTTTTCATGTCAATGGAGCAAGAACGGAAAAAGCCACGGAAACAGAATTGACGGGTTCTGGGGATTCGAGTTACCTGTATTGGAGATAATAGGAGGTAACGTAGAATGTGACCTTCATTAAGCTTCGAGATCGAAGCTGCAGTAGCGAGAAACTTTTGATGTACGTCAAATGGGCACGACCGGGAGACAGATCCAAGCAGATAGTCAATAGTACGTGGCCGTGAACGTTGAACTCGAGATTTTTTAAACACAATTCCGCGTCTCACGTGATTGCGCCACATACAACGAGCGTCTATTCAAAGCGTGCCGGATTCGGACCTATTCAGACCTTCTTCGTAGCGACTGCTCCTTCCTTTTATTACTTTCATCGTGAGCTTTGCGCATACATATCTCTCCAGAGAACATATGTATTTCCTCACCAATACTTGACTAATGCGGATGAAGTCACACTGGCGGCACCGTATGGATACATGCTGCAGCCTGCGCCGCTCTGAGCTTGAGTCACAGGCTGAGGCTCACAGCGCAGACCAATGTTACTTGGTCGCTATTGTTCGTAAGCAACATGCCCCCTCTATGCTTGTCTTCGATGTGAGTAGTACTCTCTACATGTCACTGCCAATGTTTAATTCCTGAGATTTGCTTGTTCGCCGCGTTCCATGGACTGCGATCATGCAAATCATGACAACTGGCTCAGATGCAGTCGATAAACCGTTGAAGATGGTTGGTTCCTCAAAACGAAAGCCTTGCTTACAGTATTTCTATCGCAAATGAATTGTCCGAAGCATAATCTTATTCGATGAGGCATGCGAATGAAGCTAATAATGCTCCATGACGAGCAATAGTCTCAATTCCACTACCCCATGACGCTGGAAACATAGTACGCTGTATCGCTAGGCTGGCTTTATCGACATACATGCGATCGTTCACCCTCCACCAATTCGGGGCCTTGGGCTGTGGTTGAGCTGCAGAAGGTAATGACAATGTTTCGCTTATCGAAGTCGAACCCAGCGTTGGACAATGTCTCTCAAGCCACTTGTTCCGAACGTTCTCGACTACGCTTCTGCTGCAGAGATGTTTCATGACATCCTGCATCATGCTGGATCATGATGTAAATGTCGTGGGGTCTGGCTGGGATTTAACAGACGTTCCGTACGAAGTACCTGACACACCAACGTCCATGCATGGTACGAGTATTTCTATCTCCAGCCGATCAGCCCTTCGTCAACGCCTTGTGACTTGATTGTTCAGACTCAACGCCTCCGCTTCGGGAAGCTTGGTAGATTCGACTGCTGCCAGCGCCTCGCATTTCGGATCTTCCCTGAGTACGATACCCCAATTTCTGCTAAGCGTGATGCAACACGCCCCCCCGCGTAGATATCTCATGTCTACCGCAAGGCATTCTGCAGCGCCTTCTCCTTGGATCATTCTCTCATTGGAGGTGTCTCAGGTAGAGCAATGACTGGCCGCTAGCGCGTCATTTCCAATCCGTCACCGGCCTTCCTATCTCAGCAGCAGAAGGAATAGATGGTCTGCTGACCATTGTGTAAGGGAAGCACAGTCTCATTTGTCGCCTCAACTGTTGATACTGTCGAGTGTTACGTCAATGCCAGGTACGACGACGCAGGTTTGTAGACGTAAATCGGAAGCGAAAAGGAATGTCGAATATTAGCAGCCATCGGTAATGTGTTCTAAGTCTGGAAAACGTGGTGACCATTGATATCGGGTCCCCTCCCTCTGCGTGAAGGATAGCTGTAATGGTAGGATGTTTTCCAATTTACCTAGAGGCCCCCATGAATGCAGCGTGAATCAGATCTATGTCGGCTGTCCGGCGCGGATGAACGCACGTATGGTGAAGTCTGAGAAACCGACCGCTCAACATAGAACACGGTGAGAGCAATCACCGCAATGACAGCACAGAGAGGTTAGCTTACATTGTTGGTTCCAGCAGAGTGGCTGGAGGCGTCTCATAGCGTCAGCATTCGCCGAGCGCCTGTCTATGACTTGATAGTGGTACAAATATTCAATATGCAGTGTTCAATCAACTTGCGCCATGATTCTCAACGAGCTGCTGCACCTACGTTGAAATAGGGTGGCCGTCGTTTCCTGTCCGCTGTACGCGGCTGTGACTAGCCGTAATCTGCCAAGGCAGCCGAAGATGCCGGCAACACAAGCGTACCACTCTCATGTGCGCGGTCCGGGGTATCTTTCGCGGGCCACATTAGCGAGTCATCTCACACGGGATAATTCCATTGAACTAGAAGGAGTTCGTGTAAGCGCGGCTGCACTCATATTGCGTATAGCATCATATAGCATCATACCTCCATTATTGAAGCTTCCGACCGGGCCGGTTGCAACGCGTCGAAGACAGCTCGAAATAGTTCGAACGTCAGCCTGCGGCAGAGTTAAAGCAATTAATGATGCTATATCGTCATGCTCGCGAAGGCTTGGCTTCTGCTTCGTCCGTCTGTCATCGCTGACTGGTCCTTCGCCTGCTCATGGCATGACGATTGCCCACTCATGACGATTGCCACGCGGATTAGGATTTGGCTTCACGCTTTGCACATCGCTCGGGACTTCCACCTCAGCTAACCTACAGTAGCAGACTTTTAGACGAGATCGTCCAGGATGATGTGCGGCTTGCCGCACGTCGGATCTTGACTCTTAATGACCTTGCCGCGGGTCTGGACGCCCGGGTATGAGCCATACACAGGAGACCACTCTTCCATCTTGGTTTCTGACGACCGATAAATGCAGAAACACGCTAACTGCTTTCGTTGACTTCTACGGTCCGGTGCTACCGTTGCATCTTCGGCGTCTTGACAGCATGCTGCAGGTTGCCCGGTCTTTGCCACGATGTGGATGCGCGCGTGTACGATCCCAGACAGCCAGGTCAACCTCCAATGCGAGACGTCAGTTTTGAAATGTCTCTTCACGCTGTTCTGTAACATGTCTGTGAATCCGTCATATCGCGTGTCCGCAACTCAACATCTGATAACTTCGCTCTCCGACGTAATCATACGTCACACTGTTTTCATTGATGTAACCAAGTGGAATTGCAGTCCGTAATGCAAACGCACCTTCTTTCGCGACATAGAGACCTTGAACGGTCACAACGCATTCCTTTGAAGCTCCAAGAACGCTCATGCATGATCGCTGCATCCTATTCTGCTGGTTTTGAGAAGGTGAAAGACCAGTCTGTCAATGTGATTCTGGAAAGGACCGTCCATGTGACCGACCTTGCACACCCGGCGCGCATTTCATCAAATGCTCGATTTGCTCAATGCCGTCCAAGCTCAAGTGATCTGATAGTGGACGCATGTACTGCGGTCGCCCTCCCCTTGAGATAACGGTCGCGGTGTGCATCGCATTACGTTACCGCGCATGCGGCCGCCAGACTTGCGCACCCAGACTGTTCTATGTTCGGAACGGTGAATGCGAGCCTAATTAATGAACTGGAAGACGGCAGTATGATCTCATGGGATATTGCCCGATGGCTTGGTGTGCGTATGAATGGGCATCTTGCCTTCGCCTTGCCTCATGACAGCCATGCATTTGCGTAGCTCACCTTAAGTGTTGTTGTAGGTTTGGTCGAGACTTCTTCGCCTTGGATACCCATGCAACCAGTTGAACAAGGGAGCTTGAGCATACATGGGAATTGTTCTATATGCGGGCAGATAAATGCCGTCGATTGTGCGACGATACCCTGCGACTCACGAAGGTAATGGAAGGCGAAGCCCTGCGGTCAGTTGCTCATAACAACAGCAGATATAGATATGAACATGCTTTAATGACGTACAGGAAAAAGAGGGCTTTCTCAACAGGTCGAATTGCTGCCTAATAATGGCTGTTCAGTGCGAGTTAGTGGCGATTACACCTTTCGGACTTTGCAACAAATGAGCATACATGTTCGCAATTCTATGGCGCCGTGTCAATGATCAGGCATGACATCACAAGGAAGAAACACACCGGAGGTGCGAACATCGATGAGCACTCAGACATTCAAGAGCTGCGGGACCCTCATTAGTAGCCATCCGTATGAGCGAATCCCCCATTTCAAATGACACAAGTTTAGTACTTTTCAGCGACCATATGTCAGATTCGCAAAGCTCATTGCTCAAAGAGGAGGATCTGCAAACACAGCAAGCCAGAAGGATCGAACCGCGGGATGATGTTGCAGATGTTGCAACGAGCGCCTTGCGTGACTTTCAGTCAGTGACGTCCGTGACGAGACGCGTCTTCGGGCGCCACCAACGCGCCTCGAGATCCTCTCCTGCGCGACCAGCTTTGCCTCTCACATTCCTACGTACAGCTCCGGGTTTCTAAGCAAAGAGAACACGAACGGAGCATTTTGACGTTATCCCCCCTTTCTTCGCTAGCACCTCCGGCGTGTCATGGGACCCCCCGGAGCGAGTGTCAAGTGAGCAGCATTTCCATCTCCCTCCACTGCGCCCGATCACAATTCTCTCGTTCCTACAAATTCTGCGCAGAGACAGTCCGAGCACGCTCGGCTGCAAATGGGAAGAACCCGCGAGCTCCGGTGCGATGAGCCTGAGCGTCGCGTCGTTGCACGCTTCGCGCACGGACCTTGGCCGCGGGTGACGCCCTGACCTGCCCTGACCTGCCTGCCTGCGCCCCCGATGTCGTAACGCAGCAGACGCACGCAGCTCAATACAGATATGGATGCGCTAAAGAGAGTTGCCGTACCCCCTCTAGGCTCTGCCTCGACGTCAAGTGCAGGCTATGAACGCTGCGACCGGGGGTGGGGTTGGTTCCGATAGACCGGGTGAGAGCCGTCAGCCTGAATCAGATCAGACTATACTTGTCGCAGCGCTCGCTGGATTGGCACCGCACGCCCAAATGCAGATTAGGCTTGCCGGAAGGCACACATACACACATGACGTGTATTCACGTCCTTCGCGCGAGCGCGGCGATGCGCGCATTTGGGATGTGCGCACCGGCAGACGGAAGCTTGGACGCAACGTAATTGCATTATTTCATTGTGCGTGCATTCCGGCGTGGCATAGCGCAGCGCATACGTTACGGCGTACAAGTGGTACGTGAAAAATGCGGACGGAGATGAATGAGATGCGGACAGATAGGATGCAGTAGAGAGGACGATGCATGTAACCCAAGGAGCATGTGGTCAGTGTACGTACAGATACAAGTGAGTAAGCCCTCTCGCGGGATGCGGCCGAATGGGGAGACGAGTAGGTACGCATTATGGTATAAGCGGTACGGATGTAGGGGATGAAGATGGTGGGCGAAGGGGTGAGGGGGGCCGCACGCGCAGAGGGTCATTTTCTATCGTCATCGCCGGTCGTTAAGGAACGTAATGAGCGATAACAGTGAACGAGCCATCGTCCTGTCATCGCGTTCGAAATCATGTACCACCGTTCTATCAACATTGCGGGCCGACAACGACCTTCATGACCATGCGTCCATTCTCATCGCGACCCTTGGCCATGAGATCAAATGCCCGTGCAGCCTCTTCGAGCGGGAAGCGGTGCGAGATAATGCGCTCGATGTTCGGGAGCTTCCCCGACGCAAGAAGCGCAAGAGCCGTCGGGTACGTGTTCGCATATCGGAACGAGCCGAGAATATCGACTTCCCGCGTTGCCGCTGCCGACAGCGGGAGGGTCACATTGCGCGAACCCATCCCGACAAGCATCACCTTGCCGCCAGTCACCGCCGCCTATTCGACAGCCAAATTCGGTCAACTCCGACTGATCATCAGGACGATCAAATGCAGGGTGCTCACGTGGATGGACATCTGGATGCATGGTTCCGCGCCGGTGCACTCAAAGACGACATCGAAGCCGTCCGGCATGTTGAATGCGCTGAGCGCGGCGCTGATAGTCTCCTTTGCGCGGCGGAGCTGCTCGTCGGTCGTCTTGGCCTTGTCGACCATGGGCAGGCAGTACACCTGCTGTGCGAAGCCCTGCTCGCGCGCAAAGTTAAGTCTTGCCTGATTGATGTCGATTGCGACGACGCGCGATGCGCCGTAAGAGCGCGCGAGCGCACACGCGAGGAGGCCGATAGCGCCGACGCCGAACACGAGCACGGACGAGGGCACCTCGGGCGTGAGCCCTGCGCGCCGCGACGCGTGCAGGAGGACGGAGAGCGGCTCGGCGAGGGCGGCCTGCTCGAAAGTGCAGTTGTCTGGGAGCCTGTGTATGCGGACGCGGGAGAAGACAGAACGGGCGGTCAGCGACGCGTGTCACGTGAGGCGTCGAGGCCTCGGGAATACGGAGAGGGGTGACTTACGGGTGGAGGACGTGTGCTGGGTGGTTCATGCGATCTTGGAGGGTGCCGTCCGAATGCGGAAAAGTCTTTGCGCTGCTGCAGAAGCGCATGTTCTTGCAGAGGTTGTAGCGCCCCTTTGCACAGAAGCTGCAGTTGTTGCACATGATGCCGGCCTCAATCGCGACACGTTGGCCGGGGACGAGGTGCCTGACGCCGGGTCCCACTGCGGTGACAATGCCTGCAGCTTCATGGCCGAGGACGAGTGGTTGTTGAACGACAAAGTCGCCGTTCCGGCCGTGCATGTAGTAGTGCACTATGTGGGCGAAGAAAAAATTATGTCAGCGCCGAATTTGCGGTTCGAATGGAGGGAGCGGCTCACAGTCGCTGCCGCAGAGTCCTGTGGCGAGTACGGCGACCTGAGCTTGGCCTTGCTGTGGGGGCCAGAGGGTGCGCTCCTCATAGCGAAGGTCCTTCGCACCATGGAGGACGACTGCGTGCTGGGTGGGGAGTGCGACGGGGGACATGTTGGTGAATGGTGTGCGTGGAATGGAGACTGGGGCCTGGCGGAGACGGTGGAGAAGACATAGGGACGAATTTATATCGCTCTCGCTGGATCTCGTGAGGAGCGTGTTCTGAACTGGACCGCGGCGACACCACCGTCGGCCGGTCCGAGAATCCGCATCCAAGCCCTGCTTGATCGACGCTCAAGGCTTACGTCAGACAGGCGGACCCTGGGCAGGCGCCGCGGCTGCCCCTTCTGCCTTCGATGTCCCGTCTGATGTGATTGCGTTCTCCCTCTTCGGATCCCCGGCGCGCCTGCCGACCCGGGGGCCAGCACTTCGCTCCCCTCCTCCTCCTCGTCATCCGTCCATTTAACCTGCGCGACAACATGGCGGCCACTCTGCTCAAACGCGCAACATGGATCCGACTCCAAATCTCCCAGCATCAGCACTCTTTTCGCTCGCCGGTCAGAACGTGCTCATCACAGGCGCTAGTCGCGGTACGTGCGCCTCCATTCCACTCCTCCATTCCACTAGCCAATACCCTTCCGCGCAACCCCTTACCGATAACACGTCTGTCTTGTCCTCGCCAACTTACGTCTTATCTCCCCTAGGCATCGGTGCTGCCTGCGCCATCGCCCTCGCCGAGGCGGGCGCCGATCTGTGCCTCGTCGAGCGCCCCTCCACTGCCGCGAAGAATACTGCGACGCGCGATGCGATCGCTGTGCTCGGGCGCACCGTCCGCGTCGTAGAGTGCGACCTCGCCGACCTCGAGGACGTCAAGACCGTCTTCGCGCGCGCACTCGACGCTATGGGTGGTGAGATCCACGTCCTCGTCAACTGCGCGGGCATCCAGCGGAGATCCCCGGCCGTCCAGTTCCCCGAGGCTGATTGGGACGATGTGCGTCTGCCTTCGTATCTCTCCGTTTTCCTTGCCCCGTTCGCTTCTTTCATTTCCTCTCCTGCGGGCTGTCGGAACCCAATTGGGTTCCGCGCGTTCGTTTGCGTTTGTATTTGCATTTGCATAAGCGTTTGCCTCTTCGTAATCTGCCGGCGTGACGTGCGCGCTTCCCTCTCCTTAGTGCGTCCTTTCTGCTCCGCATGTTTGGGTCCTCAGGCGCACACTTGCCTCCTACGCAACCGTACATGGTTCTTTTCCTACTCTATGCGTCTAGTCCCTAATGTTCACGCACTTCTCCGATTCGCGCTTGATTTCACTGACCGGCGCATATAACGTAACCTCTTCTATCAGCGCGTATCTGCATGGTACCAGACGCCTGAACTTTCGTGTGTCGGCCACGCCTATCGCTCGTTCACAGTCTAGCGCCATTCCCTGGGGTGGCAGAGCGCGAAGGCTGATGGGAAGAAGGACGTGAGAGCGGGCATGTGAACGCCCCGCCGCGTGTTTTCGGTGCGTTCAGTGCAGCGAAACTGCTCTATTCCCATTGCCGACTGGGGTCGGAACATGCGGGACCTGCTATCCTGCTGTGGAACCCTGATTCGCGGTGTTTGCTGTATCAATCTCCATATTGCGACTAGCGCTATGGACTTCTCCACCCCCCGTCCCCTTGTCTTCGTCCTGTGCCGGTTGTTTCTCGCACCGGAGCCTCCTTGTCTCTGGTATCGGTTTGTCTGTTTGTGCTCTCAGGGTTATGACATTTCTGCGCCAAGTGCCTGGTGGCTCTTGGCTTTCTACCCTGGACTCGCGTCCCGACATCCGAGTGACGAATCGCACATCGTGAACTTTTCCATTCAGCATTTTACGTTCTTTCATTGATCTCGCGATCCCCATATCGACCGCCTCGGCCTGCCGCTCGCGTCATTTGCCCGACGTGGTGGGCGTGCATCCTCTGGTAGGTCAGGGATGAGCCACGCCGCAGGACATAGAGGGTAAAGCGCGTCGTCGCTGCCCGGTCCAACTCATGTCCGTCTGCCCGTCCACAGCATCTCCCCCCTCCTCATCTCCGCTTCATCGCGCGCAGCACCCCGTTCCTCCCCTCCTTCCGTTCCCATTCGCTGGGCCACGCAGATCGCGATCGGTGTGCGAGCCAACGCCTTTTGTCGCATTTGCACCAGGGGCAAGTCCGAGTTCGTTCCGCTCGTCGTCCGTCCGAGCGACCTTCCGCGCTTCTGCTTCCATTGTGTTTCCCCTCCCTTCGCTTCGCTGTCCAGCCTCTGCGCCTCGTCCCCGGTCGAGGCGCGGGCTATGGCTGACGTCATGTACATTTGGTGGCCACGTTCGTCCCTCGACGTCGATGCGAAACGGGCGTTGCGACCGTACACTGCCATGTTTGCCTTTCCGGGCAAGCCAGAGATCGTCGTGCGCTTCTGGTTCGGCTGGGGACACGTGGGGTGTCGAGGGGCGGCTATGCGTGTTCTATCTCCCTCTCCGTTCTCTCACAACGCAGGCGGGCATGCGCACAGCCTTGCGACTTGTCTCGGCTGTGGGAGGCGTATGAGGATTGTGCCTTTCGTTGCATCGATTGCCCCTTTGATCGGCGCGCATCGCCTCGGCAGGCGCGTGTCTCTGATTAGATTCATGCTTTTCTCGACGTGCTCTATCATTATCTCCCATTTACACTTCACATCGTCATCCTATTGATTCTACCCGCTGGAATGAAGGAACACGAGAATAACCCTGCGTTTTCGTCTTGACAGGTTATCAATGTGAATTTGAAGTCGGTCTGGCTGCTCTCCCAGGCCGCTGGCCAGCACATGGTTCCCCGCCGACGAGGGAAGATCATCAACTTCTGCTCGCTGCTCACGTTCCAGGTATGGTGTAGCGCGTTCCGCTGTTATCTCGCGCATTCATTATGTGTGATAGGGCGGCCTCACGGTCCCGGCGTATGCGGCAGCGAAAGGCGCGCTGGGGCAGCTCACGAAGGCGCTCAGCAACGAATGGAGCAAGGACAATGTGCAGGTGAACGGCATTTGCCCGGGCTATATCGCGACGGACATGTGAGCGCGCACATCCTCATGTTATGAACGTCCCAGGGGTAGGGTTGGGTGCCCCGCCTTCTCCCGTTGCGGAGGAATGGTGGGCCGATGCCGTGTCGAGGCTAGCGCAGGTGGACGCATCTCGGAGCATGCATGCGTCCTAGTACGATGATCGCCGAAGTGCAGCGCACTAGCTCGGTCGGCTACCCATCGACGCACCGCATCCTCGTCTTCTGCTCCATGCGCTGTCCAATCTTCGCTCTTCGGCTGCTTGCGGTGGATATCTGAGGGCACGGAGGAACTGTCGTCTGACCACTGTGTATCGTAGGAATGAGAGGTTGCTGCAAGACCCCACGCGCCTGCGCCAGATCACGGAGCGTATACCTGCGGGGCGGTGGGGCGAGCCCAAGGACTTTGCGGGGCCCGTCGTCTTCCTCGCGAGCAAGGCGAGCCAGTACGTGTGTGGAGAGCTGCTGGTCGTCGACGGAGTGAGTTTTGCCTATCGCACGACCATCCTGGACGCATAAGCTGACTGGGATCTGCATCACAGGGCTGGATGGGACGGTAGACCTTCCTGCTTGGTCGGACGGAAGAAGAAGCGTGGTGGAGACGAATTCGCCGACGAAGCAAGTGACTTTAGCTGTATCGCTCCAATCATGTACATCAGCACCAATTGCGCGCTAAGCATTGAATTGTATCTCGTTCGCATCCCAATCTTGCGCGATCCTCCGCGCGTCCTCCATTCCATTCAGTAGCGAGACTCGCTAGTGGCGTAGCAGTGGGAGGCGGCCCCCATTCCGCCGAGGAACCGACCCGGTTCGCCTCGCGCGCAGGATCACGTGCTTGCGCTCCCCCGGGAGTCGGTCCCGAGATACGAACAGGGAGATCTTATTGCGGGATACCGGTGCTGCGATCGGACCTGGGCCCCCTGAGATCGGTTCGTCCGATCAGCCCTGATGCCTGATGGGGGTGCGGAGGGTCGGACCGGTGGAGGGCGGCTGGCTGGCTGGAGGTGGCCGCGGACGACGGTGGTCGGTAGCTGCGAATACCGTGCGTAAGCGAGGCGAGAGGCAGGCACGGAGAATGATGAATGATTAGCATGTTTTCAATTGGGGCGGTTTTTTTGGACCTCGTTCTGTACCGGCCCGGTGAGCCTGGATATCTGGCGGCGGATGGGGGGACGGAAAGATGCGTTCAGGTTTACGTTGTTCCTACCTTGCTCAGGGCGTACTTCGTTCTGAGGCGCAGATGCCGGCGATGAGAAAGAGGAATTTGGAACATAGAGAGTTAGCGGTGTTTTCCGAAGGCTTTCACAACGACGTCCAGGGTCGGCGGAGCGGGCAGATGCCAGGTACTGAGGCCTGCGAAGTCCAGGAGTAGGCATTCGAAGCAAGGGCATGATCTGAACTTCGTGCCGTGATCCGTGCTAGAAGAAGTAGATGGTAAATGGTAAGCAAAACAGCCATTGGAAAATTTTTATCGAGGATCACGGAGTGGTGCTCGCGACCGCGCGGGCATCACCTTCTAGGATGCACCCGAAACCGAGATGATCTTTCGAAGCTAGACATCGACTCTCACAGTCCATGCACGGCAGCTTGAAAATTACATTTTGCGGAAAAACGTGTACAGCGGAACGCAGCGATACGAGGCCTGGACTGATACTGCGGGCTAGCAGAGCGTCGCTCACGCGAACACGCGAACCCCATCATGGACTGGCGAGACTCGCTCATCCGCAAGCCTATTAATCAGATAAGCTTTTGAATGCACAGAGAAGGACGGGGAATGCGGATCCGTGTGCGCACCCCCTACACGCCGGATGCGCTGGCCGATGCGTCGAGAGCGTCGTGTAACTGTGCGATAAATTTAAATCCGATGTGCGCACCGTTCACAAGAAAGTGGCTTCTCGAGGGCAATAGAGAATGTTCCGGCTTCTAGGTTAGTCTAGGACCTGAAGGGTGCTGGTTGGATAGCGGAGGCCATGTACATGTGCCAGGGGAGTAGCGAGCGGTGGCCGTAGACGAGAGAGTAGAGAAGGTTCCTGGTGAGCACAGGTGAGCACCTCTGTTTCGAAGGGCCGGTAAAACTCGTCAGATGATCAGAAGAGCAATTATTGCCTGATGAGCTGAGGAAGCATTCTCAAGACGGAACCTGGCCGTGGTTGACGAAATAACGTTGTTTGTCGGGAGTACTGTACGCATTGACTTGCCACATGATGCTTGCAATCCCCGAGGAGAGACCCGACGTTCTCTCGATGGCGTGGTCGAGGCCGCTGAGTTTAAATCTACTTGAGCGTGATCGCGACGCATCGAATCACATGCAGCTCCCTCTCGAGGGAGAAGGCCGTAAAAGCTGCGAACATAATTGCGCTAAAGAGGCAAGAGTGCACCGTATAAGTCATCAGGAGCTTACAAGGGCTGCACAAGGCGATGTGAGAGGTAGAACACTGAGTAACGTTATGAAGCGACACGAAAAATGCCCACGCTGCAGGGGGTATCCCTCCCGCAAATTGTTCACCCCAGCACTATCAAGGAGACTGCATTGTGGGGCGTTCAGTCCAGAGGCGCGCGACATACCGTCGCGTCTCAATAGTTATACCTCAAAGAGATATAAAGTCAAGATACCCCACTCTGAATTTGTATCAGTTGAGGCCGTTCATACGATATTGCGTATGACTCGTACCGCGTTCAAGATCAAGTATGTTCATGCCGTCCCGTACATGGGCTCTGCGACAATAACCACCTAGCATCAGGACCTCGGCGTCCTCAAGTGTTTCTCTCCCAGTTTGGTACAGAGAGCGCATATTACAGCACATATAATGAAATCTGATATGTAAAATTCCTGTGCAACGTCATGCGATAGGCCTCCCACGATGCGGAAACCCGACTCACCTCAGGCTTTGTCAATCAGCAGAATATAGTCGACCCGCAAAGCGGCATCCGTGAAAGGTATGATGGCGGTTGCATGCGAGGGCTGTTCTGCACCATGCTTGCATTATATACCGGCCTCAGGAATGGGATGTCAGAGACAAGCCGGTGGGTTGACAGAATGTCTGTGCTAGCCGCGTCGCGCGAATCGCGCTACGCGTCGGGGAGCGCTTGTCCACGTGACCCGGCCTCTAATCTCTCGTTTGCGCAACTTCGCTCGTTTGTGCAACTTCACGGCTCTTGTCTGCATCTCGGAAATGGTCTTTCTCTCTTCTGCGGCACAATAAGTCGAGCGACAGTCGACGTCCGGTACAATATCATCCGTACTTTCTTCTCCAGCCGTGATGTGCCATTTCCGTTAAACTCTGCTTCTCATATACCCTCTCCGATGATTTTCTTCTTTGTACAATGTTGTCACGACTTGAGATTTCCGTTCACACAATGGTCAAAGAATGTGTTGCTTTCGCCATAAGTGACTATCTCACCGCTGAGACAATTTTTGAATCTGCTGTTGTCCAAAGCGGAAGGACTCCCGTATCTTGTTCAAAAAATGTGTATATTATCCGTAGACGGCAGATGTTAACACTGCGAAGAAACGAAAGTCTGTCATTCATGCGGGCCACAAGGTGGCAGCCAGAGTTAATTTCAGTAATCTCATACCATCACTTAGGCGAAGAAGATGATCACGAACTTGATGAAACCACTCGGAAGACGACGCAAATTGTCCATGTGTGATCTGAGTACCGATTCAATTAATGTCACTGTATCCTTCGCTTGGTGGATGGAATGTGGAGGACTGGCCGTCGATGCGGTCATCGAAGGTGTTCAAGGAGCGTTAGGTGAATGCTATTGGATGATAACTCTCTGCAGCAACTAATTTGAATGTGATCGATCGTCGTGGAGTGACCTCGGATCCAGATACGCTCGACCCAGCGGCATTCCCCTCCAACCTGGCGACTTTGAGTTCGAATTGCTCCAACACGACGACTTCTGATCACTGTACAACCAGCCTGATAGGTTCCATCCGTACATAGCGTCCATCTTCCGAGCCGATATCCGTACGTTCTTCGAGTAATGGCTGTTCTATGACTTCCTCTGTGCAGATAATGTAGTCGGTCGACTCGATAATTGCTTGTTCATCTTGCACAGGGCCGCAAAGTATTGAAACGACTACAGAGCAAGATCTCCAAGACGAGAAACGGGCGCACATGGTATGCTTGCATTCTTTCAGTCGAGAGATGACACCGTTTAGTTTAGTGGCATAATGTTTGCCTTTACACTATTGCTTGAGCACACTTGTTCTCAATCGACCTTGCGTCTCTTCTCCGGATTCGTCAATTCGCCAATGACCTCCGCAGCGTTCCTCTTCCGAGCTTCGGGTCTCTCTTCCTCGTCCTTTTCCGACCCATTTCCACTGCCCGATGGCGGCGCATTGGACGGTTCGGACCACTCAAGCAATGACGGTCGACGCCGCGGATTCTTGTCCATCAGCCGTGTCGCAAAGGCCATGAGGCCTTCATCCTTGTCCCCGTTCCTCCTAATCCTCTCAGCGAAGACGTAGAAAACACGACCGCAAGACCACCTGTCGGCCCTGATGGGACTGTACATGGTTGGCGGACCGTTCTCCTCCCCAATTTCCGGCGCCATCCATCCGGGACTGCCACAGTACTCGTTGATCTCTTGGTCTGCATCCTTGACTCGGACAGCGATATCAAAGTCAATGATCTGCAGGCGGAAGCTGACGGTGTAGACAAGGTTCTCGGGCTTGATGTCCAGGTGAGCTACTCCGTGCTCGTGAAGGAACGCTAGCCCTTTGGCCAGATCGCGGCTGAGCTGAACGAACTTGCCGCGAAGCACACCGCCGTCAGCGTAAAATTGGAGTTCCTCGTCGATGGAGCTTCTCTTCGGAAATATGAGGTACTTCCCCAAACTTGTTCTAATTGTTTTGAGTAAAGTGATGATGTGATTCGATGGCGGCTTTATCGTGCGCAGAAATTCGAGGATCTTCAGCTCGTTCGATTTGTCGCTGATTCGTTTTGCGATGAATTCCGTCCCGCTGGAGTCCCCTACACGACGTACAGTCCGTATGTGAGGTGGTAACTGCAAGATGTTTGTCAGTGTGAGCTCTCAAAGCATTCAGTTCCCCGTCGCTCAAACCTTGTACAACGGTTCCCATGTGCCTCCACACTCAAAATGATCAGGTACCAACTCGTATCCTTCTGCTTCAAACTCGTCGTCTTCATCACTGCCATTACCATCTTGGCCATTGTCAGATCGCCCTTCCGTCCCATCAGTGCGAGTGCGCCCAGTGCTTTTCTTCAAATTGAACTGCGGCCATTTCTGATATCGAATGCTGGTGTTGAGATCCTCGACCTTGGAAGCCACGCCTGCAAATTTATCATCGTTTTCTCCCTCCAGGTAAGATGACAGATTGTACAATTCGGATGCAAATTGAAGCCTTTCGCCTTTGTTAGACATGCGAAACTGGTCTTCTACGTTGTAGACCTAAAAAAGGACAGCAACTCAGGCTTCAGGTTCACTGAGATTATAGTTCGCTCGCATGCCTTTGACGAAACCTTGTCTTGAAACAGAAGACAGCGTTTGGCGTGACCTTCTTCAGTGAAATAAACAGCCATTAACACAAATGTCCTCTTCTGAGACTCCTCCGCTTTGTCGTCCAAAATTATGTTGGCGAGACGAACCGCACTCGCTCCCTGAAGAAGCATACGAATGCGATGCTCTGGTGAGTTGTTCGGACAGACATCCACTGTGAGACGAGGTAACTTGTGTGTCCATATGGAGAAATCGCTCTTAGGTTCATACGAGTAGCGCGTGCTTCCAACTTCAACTACCTGCATGATCGGCCAGACTTCGTCGCTACCCATAAATGAGCTTTATTTCTCAGTGAAACGGCAGATACTTTGACACTTACGACCTACAGGAGACCTTTTCTGAGAGAAACGTGTCTAGGTAAACCGCAAATTGATAAAAGAGAATTCCGTTGGCATCAACTTTGTTGAATCCCCTCCCTTGATGTTGCCACATTGAACCATTGTTGGCATCGAACGCAACCTGCAGCAAGTGGCTCAATTCGAACCAGTCACGATCGATAGAGTGAAGATCTGTTCGGGACTCTGAACCGAAATTTACATAGTTCTTTGCAAAGAATATCGCAAGCTCTTCTTCTGTCTTCAATGAAAATCAGAAGTAAAGGGGCGAGACAAGCACGAAAACAACGAACATAATCAGTCATACGTCGTTTGTTGCTCAACAGCGCTTTGTATTCCTCGATGAAATGGGGAAGCTGGTGTGTAGATGCTTCAGTAGGATCCATAACGGCTTAACAATGTTGTAAAGCAGGCGGCAACGACGAGTGCAGGAAAGAGGTTGCGTCAGGATCTGTTTGTTGGTGTCCGGAAGCGAGATCGGAGTTCCAAAACATCTCGCAGATGTCGATCCCGTTGCGGCTGATGGCCCGCACACACTACTCTCGCCGAGTCTCTCTTTTCGATTTATGGGACTGCATTTGACTCGAACACAATTATTTTTTGCGGTATTAAAATGGAGTTCATGACTGCTGCATATTCTCCACTGGGTCCCTGCTGGGGTAGCGACTTCTGCTCATAGAACACACTCCGATAAGAAGACTGTATCGCATTTGAAGTATTAGTATTTCTCTGCTCTACGCTCTCCATTCTCACGCCGAAAGCCATGAATTTCGGACGAATACCATTATGCAGAGCGACACCACTCATGGCTCGTTCCATGCACTGAAAGATCGCACCTCCGTCAGGGGTTAGCTCGGCCAATGGCCAGCGGAAGCATGCCGTGGGAACGCTCCCATAGATCATAGCACAGGTCACAGCCGCTGGGAACGCAAAGGCTATCGCATCTCATATGCGAGCGTCATGCTCGCTCGGAGATATAGATACGACAGAAGGTGCACGGTCCAGCGATAGGGAGACGGTGCGGATACCTGGCCGGTCGGGCTTCTGACAGGTACGCGCCCGCGGACGTGCTGGACGCGGCGTCGAGAACAGAAGGTCAGGCGTAGCGCCGTGAGCATATCAGGCATTGAGGTTTGTGCCCTGAAGATGTGGGCGGCTCCTGGGAGCGGTCGGCCCATCACACGGGAGTTCCCCGTAGCTTTTGATTGGACGATCCTGCGAGGGTCTGGGGTGGGAATTCGCCTGGGATCTCTTGTATGTCAGACAGTGCGCGTGAGAGCAGTAGCAGCGCGAATTGAACCGTACTAACGCATGTTCCGGCGATGTCAATGGCTTTCTGCGACTATCAAAAGAACACTGTTTGCAACGCATGATCCTCCAAGGGTGTGAAGCCGCCTCTGTTAGCGCGTTGTTGCATTGAATGGAGGCCTCCGTTGTGATACGTTATGCTGAGCTAGCCGAAACACGCGGACTTGCCATAATCTCTTTCTGGACCCACGTTATTGACGGTGAAGATAGGACGGATGTCCCCATCCTTGAGATCCAATCAGCACACTGATTCGCCAGAGCAAAAGATAAGCCTGGGCAGTGATTTCGCTTCGAGGCCAATGGAACTTCGCGAAGCACCTCGACCCGTCCAGCCGTACGAGCGAGACATGCAACATGCGTGTTGCATGTCGGCTATGTTACAAGTGCAGCCCGCAGCTGCAGGCGAGTGATCAAGCTTTACAGACGAGATATGGTTCAATTCATCAAGGAAGGCCGTCCTCCGATAGTCCGGTATGCAATGATTGGACCTTGACGTGGGCCCAGGTCCTCCGCGCCTCTCGTTCGCTGAGTTGGATGGGATACAGCGGCTTTGTCGGAATATGCAATAGCGTGAGGCGTCGCGAACGCGAAGCTCGAGAACTGCAAACGTGTGAGAAAAAGTTCGCGAGATAGCTGCGTGGTGGTCTCGGAGCGATGCTGCCGCACAATGTATAGCGGGCTGATGAGCGACGATCAGGGGAGGCGGTTGGTCGTCGCTAAGTAAACGTCCGCAGCGGCTGCAATAGCACGGGCCGATGAGTGAGAGGGCACCTTTGCGTTGGTGTCTTGCAGACTTATGATACGTTGAATAGGCATCGACAGTGCGCAGCTACTGCAATGATCAGCGACGTGAAAGGCTGGGATAGTTGAGCAATTCGAACGCCACCACAAACGCTATGCGAACATGCTAGGGACGATTGTATAAAAACCACCAATCATGATAGAGTGCGGAAGCAGTGAGTGGGCTTTGGTCCGAAAGCGTGCACTGTCAGATCCCGAGTGGAAAGAACAACGGATGCCAGCTCACGAGAAGAACAGTACATTGAGGCAGCGACCGTACGTGCGGACCTTTAACCAGGAGGTTTTCGCGTAAACGGAAGCATGAATACCACCGAGCCAAGTCCGCGCATTTGAAGCAGTGAACTGAAGCGAAGGCACATACATCGCGCAAGAGAGAAACGGGATTAAGCGTTCGGAGGCATTCAATTCCTGAGAAGGGCAATCGCATCAAGAACGTCGTCCAGTGTTTTCTCATGTTCCTCTTCGCATTCCTCAGCCTCCGCGGCAGGATCTGCAGCGGAAGGAGAAAAGCCCCGCCACCGTTGCACCTTCCGCAGCGTGTACTCGATATCGTCCAGTGATTCGCATTGAGTCAATTCAGCGCGGAACTTGTTGAACCATGGTCTCCGACTACTATTCAGGATTTCCAAAGTGAGATACTTCAGGAACAGAGAAGCGGATTGGACGGACCATTGATGATCGATGAAGTGCCTAACGTGAGTTCGCACCGTTTCAATGGTCGCTGTACCTGGATCCTCCCTGCATAAGTCGAGATATTCTCGCGATATGTCGACGGGATCAGGGAGGACGTTTGCGAAAAGACTGTCCAGACAGTGACCATCAGTGGAAAGACAGAACACATGTACGAAGGCTCTCTGCCTTACCAAGGGTTCCCGAGCAACGTCTCGCCGACCATCATGCCATCCGCTCCAGTCACTGCACGATTGGCTTCTACGTCTTTCCAGAGTCGCACATTGCCATTGCTGACCACAGGTGTCGTCAAGTTCTCCTTGAGCCTCTTCACCTGCTCTAGATCGGCTGCCCCCTGTCGTCTCCGTCGTGCAGAGACAGTCCGGGCATGGAGAGTTATCCAAGATGCACCTACGTTCTCGAGCCGCTGGGCAAGATCTAGAGTAGCGGAAGCTGGCTGACAAAGGCGCAATTTGGCAGAAACAGGAACAATCAGCGAGTGTGACATTGAGGATACTGAGCAGCGACCACATTAATCTGAAATCACAAATTGATTCAACGAGCGACTCACCGATACTCTCGACAAGAGGCCAATCCTTCTGGCCTAACAAATATGCCCCGTAATGGGCATCTCGCGCTGCTTCCTGAGGACAGCCGAGATTAAGATCTGCACAGCTTGAACTCTTATAGGCTCGGGTCTTCCGTGGATCCTGGCAAAAAGCACACCTATTGCGTCACAATGTACCTGCATCTTCCGGGCAGCTTTCACCACCGTTTCCGGATCGTTTCCACAAAGCTGCACCACAACAGGTCTATCTTCCGGACCGCCGAGACCTCGCAGATGGAAGTCCAAATATTCCTGATCGTCAAGCAGTCTCTCTGGGAGAAGCATTTGGGTGTAAACCAGGGTAGCATCGTAGCCTCGAACAAGCTTCCGGAAAGGGAGATCGCTTTGATTGACCATAGGTGCCGCTATGCTGGCAAGCACATTTCTTGAGGGAAAGCAGTCAGACTTAGACATCATTCTTAGTATCCTGCGATGTCCGGGATATAGTGAAGCTGGAATGACGCTCCTCGGTTGAGAGAAAGTTGCGCTCAGAGCCTGAGGCCATCATACGCATACGCATGCTCACGTGGGCATGAATACTTCGCGGCCGCCCTTCGCCACAATGTCTTGCTTCTTCCGACCGCTGAGCTTGCAATACTGACGAAGCCAATGGATAAAATAACAACATCTGTACCGCGCACAGGTCCTGACGAATGATTTTGAAATAACAACATCTGGCACTGCAAGGACGTGGCACCAAACATGCGTCTCGAACTTCGCCAATGAGAATCTCGCTACAAGTGGTGACAGCACAACTGCAATATGCAGTGCAAGGGAAGATGACGGCTCCAAAAAATAAACCCGACCCCATTGCTTCCATCACCAGAGTGTTCACCAAACCTCCACAGGCAGCCGCTGGCCCTGACCTTCTCGCTTGACCTGCCTAGTCACCTCCATCAACGCCGCGACGTGTCCGTCCAGCATATCGACATACGGCTTCAACGAAGTCCTCTGCCAGTCTGCCGCAGAGGCGATCAGCAAAGTGACGGCTCTCGCAGTCCATCACGTACCGGAATGATGCTCGGCGCCCTCTTCAGGCACAAGCTCGTCGAGCTCTCGGAGCAACTGGCTCACCGTCGGTACCCGCTCTGGGTTGAACTTGTCGATGGTCTCGGGGTCCACAGGCACGCAGACGCGGCCCGTTTTTGGGTGCACGCAGAAGGGCGCCTTGAGCAGATGGTTCCTGTGCTTTGAGACCTCGGCATCGAGACGAGGATATGTGTACTGCAGGATGATGTCCTCCATCGCGTTTTGCAGTGCAATCTGCGAGGCGCGGTGTCAGTTCCTCCGTATGATGTAGTCGGTTACTGACTCACACGCCGAGGAGTGCCCTTCTCGATTTTGCGAGCCTCGTTCTTGAGATCATCCCATTTATCGTAGGACGAACGCTCAGGGCCATCACTCCATCGTCTGCGTAGTGTCTCCACGACAGACTTGTCCGGGATGAGATGAAGGAGAGCTTCCCAGCCCTCTTCCGATGCGAAGCAGTTTTGGTCCTCGAGGATGAGATCGCCAAACATCGAGGCGAGAGGATCAACGGTCGCCCTGCACGTCCAATCAGACCATAGCTACGCTACGCACAGTCCCAAGACGACTCACTTGATTGACGGGGGAAGCACCGCTCGAGCACTCTGACGGACATTCACCTTCTTGTGCATGTCCTTCCCTCCCTGAATCACCGTCAAACACCCCACAAGCGCCCTCCGCTGCTCGTCCGTCAACTCCATCGCCTCTCTGTCGGATATCCACAAATGAATACCACGTCGGCCGGAATAAACCCACAGCAGATGCCTGTATCCAAATTGGTCGCGGATGGACTCGTCCAGGACGTGTACGGCTGCCGCGATGAACCCCCAACACCGCTTGCAGATGTCCGCGCCGGAGCAGCAAGTTCGGATGGTGTCGTAGTCGGTCATGTCTATGTCGAAAACGAGTTCGCGGAGCTGAGGGGTGAAGTTTGAAGGGCGCACGGTCTTTTTGTCTTTGGGCTGTCTTACGTCAGAGCTGCTCACATAGCAGAGCATAAGCGCATACCCTTGCACTGTAGACTGGCCCGATCTCGAAACGCGTGGGGTTCAGAGTACAGACTTGCTTCTTCAGGCCATCTGCATTATCGAACGAGTTGTAGCGTAAATAGACGTCTCCCTGGAGTGTAAAGGCGAATTCTCGATGCGTGAAGAGGTTTCGAGGGACGTGTTCATGGTTAAGCCAGGCGAAAATCGACTTGAATGGGTATAGACGTTTATAGAACGCCAGCATGATCTCCGGGGTCACTGGCTCAGACTCATTGTGGATCGACATAGAGCAAGTGGTGGCAGAGTAAAGCGGAGGAAAGGGTCGTGGACGGTGTACATAGAGTCGAGGAAGGCTCTCGCCGCCGCCGCCACCAGTGCCACATGCGAAACGCGTCGCGTAACACTGTGACTACTCGCGTCCGTGTCACGCGTATTTGTCACGCGCAGGTTCAGACTCGGATCGCAAACATGCGTAGGATAAACAATAGAAAGACATTGTAATACAGTAACCGATGTGGGTACAAAATAGCACAAGATCGTAGTCAACAATGTCGTGAGACCATACGTCCTTCTCCGCCACCCTACCACAGCTTTCCAAGGATGCTCCCCCTCGCAGCCGTATTCGCGCCGCCAAGAAGCATCCCCACTCCCTCCTGTATCGCCACGCTGACTGGCCTGATCGGAGCCGAGTCAAACACGTGCGGGCACGGTTGCGGAAGCGGCGACGGCGCGAGGCGGGGGTGCTCCAGCTCGCGCTCGTAGCGCGACGATTGTCGCGGTGACCGGCTGAGCGCGCTATATTGTGGCTCGTCGAAGGCCGCTCGGGCAGCGCGGAGGCGCGTGAGGATCTGCATAAAGGGTACAACGTTGATAAATTGATCTTTTCTTCTCTCTCGAAAGACCGCTGCGGCTGACCTGTTCGTAGAGTGCGATCTCTCCGTCCAGGTGGTCCTTTGCTAGCGTCTGGAAGTCCTCCACCTTCTGCATGTGGTAGATGTCCATTTCTGCCATCGTGGTGTTGAGCACGGTCTCGCAGCGTGCCGCCATTTCTTCATCTTCCTGCATGCCATCAGTCAGCATCAGTCCTCGTCTTTTCTCAGAACCAAAAGAAGTCTCGCCTTGCCCTCTTGTATCGCCTCCTGGTATCTGGATAGGGTAGATTGATGGGTGTCGATTACTGCCTGTGACATGCGCTGAGTCGAATAGCAATCGTTGCGGTTATTTCGTAGCTCACCGCATGAATGGTGTCTGGATGTGATACATTCTTCAATGCCTCGTGGGTAGCTAACTGCGTCCTCCGTGCCTTGACATTCGCACAGATGTCAGGTGGTGGAGAATCAACACATAACAAGGAACGCCTGCCGCCACTCACATGGTCATCGTACATGTCAGCCACGCTCTGCAGCGATTCCGCCGTCTTCTGCATCGCCTTTGTCAACCTCAGACATTCTTCCACACGGTCAGCAGCGTCTCATGTATCCAAAATTGTGCATCTCACCTGTGCAATTCTCGCGCCAACACCAGGCACCGTCTTCATTCATGTGTCCCTTGCACTTCGAGCTATCCTGCTCGTCACTCTCGTCATCGCTCGCACTGGACGCCGACGCGAGGGGTTTTGATGTGATGAGCGAAAGTAGCGAGTAGGAGAGTAGTCGTTCGGCCTTCGACATCTCTACGAACCAATGAGCAGCAATCCTCCCACCAGGAAGGTTTCTCTCACCTACTCTCGCTTCACGGACCTTACCAAAGATGCCTCTCAGCCACTGCACGCCCTTCCCGACCGCCCGTGTATGCTGCACGAATCTCTCAACGGCCTCCGAGGCATCCTCCGCATCAACGTTAAATGCAGGATGGTAGATCTGCGCGTAGAATGTGGGCCCCTTGGGAGGCAGCGCGAGATAGCGCGGCAGCTGTTTTTTCCACTCCTGCACGACACATTCCATGACCTCGTAGAATGCTGGGGCTAACATGCACGCACCGCCTCGCTCTCGCAACCAAGGAAGAACGTCAGCACCTCCGCGTACCGAGCGATCGGGTGCCGCACGACACGATTGATGTATCGTTCGAGGTCCCCTCGCCTCGCCTCGACGAACTCATCATTGAACCGGCCGGCATACTGCTTCTCGGGCAGGGGAGGCAGGGCGATCCCAGGCAGCCCCCGCGTTAGCGCTGTATGCAGCACAACAAAGTGCGAGAACCGTCGCTGAACGGTGATGCTAGTCGGCGCGTCCGGTGTGTCGTCCTCCTCGTCATCGTCCGCAGCAAGCATGGAGGCGGAGCGGAAGTGGGTCGAGTGCTCTGGCTCGAACAAGGACGTCAGCGTGTATATCGTGAATGGCCCTGTGAGCACTGAGCTCCTCTTCGAGGGAGAATGCACCAAGACGCGGAACGCGGGGATCTTGCTCTTCCATGCAGGGCCTGCGTCGACGAAGTGCCTCTCTGTCTCTCCTGACCTTTGTGGTTGTCCGATGTCATCTTCGTTGATGCTTTGCTCTGAGGCTTCTCTGCCATGCCTGAATGGCAGTGTCGTTTCCTCCTCGCCTGTGCCTTGCAACACCCATTCCTCTGCGCCGCTCGTGACGAAACTTGAGAACCGGTTGAGACTCCTGCCTCCTAAAAGGCTCCTCCGAAAACTGGGGAACCACTCGCCTGTTGTTTGCGGAACCAACGGTAATGCCTGAGACCCTTGCGAAGGCGATCCTCGTGGCGTGATGGAAGATCCTGAGGCTTCCTTTCTGCTCCGCGTCCGAGTATGCGACAAAGGCACCGCATATCCAGGAAGACGAGCGAAATCTGCGGTGAACTAGAGATGGACATAGAAGCCACACGACATGAGATTCTGCTAGCACACCTCTAACAAACAGAACGCGGAATTCACAGTGTAAAATGTGTGGGGCAGGAGCCCAATCTCTCCTTCATGCCCCTGCTCGCGCTCTTCCCTGCACTTGACAATCTTCACGAGACTCCAGCCATCACCCACATCTTCCTTTAGCACCTCCAGCTCATCGCCCGGGGCGACGCACGTCAGCTCCCTAAACTCCGGCTTGCCATCAAAGACAAAGAGCGCGCGTGCGGGACAGCCTGGCCCGTAATCCTCCTCCTCCTCATCGCTATCATCCGGCTCTTCATCGGAGAGAGACTTGAGCTTGGGAGCAGCACCGTTGCGAGTGGCATTCTCAGACTGCAGAGATAGGGAGCCTGTCCACGCCGCAGAGCTGTTGACGCCAGAGTCAAACTCCGTGTCTATATGTGTCTGCGGGCGAGCCAGAGATTGTGGAGTGGGAAGCAGGAAAGCGGGCTTTGCTATCGCCGCGTCCGAGGACATTGAAGGAGGGACCACGGGTTCAGACATCCCGCGCAGAACAGCACCGGACGTTCAAAACCTTAGTGTACTTATTATGCAGCAGATTGAGAAAACGCAAATTAGCTAGCTATCCTTTGGCTCAATTGGATGTTGCAGCGAGGAAGACTGAGGCTAAGTAGCTAGAGTTCGCCGGAGCAGGAAGGCGGCGGCAAGATCATGATTATCTCGCCCCCATGCGTACACGGTCTCGTGACCGCGACGCGCTAAACAGACGCCCGCCTCCTACAAAGGGTCACCCTCGACGCGTCGAAAGCTTCAGCTTGGACATTACACATGAAAAGCGAACATGGACTTTGAACGTCATCGATCATCGTTAAAGAAACTGGAAATACACGTTCTTCGATGGCTACGCGCCTCAAATCGCTGCATTGAGCTCGGGCTTGATAACATATCATAGGCGTATCAGTTAGGGTTTCAATGGTACACTCATGCTTCAAGAACGTACAATGCAGTCATCTTCTGTACCAAAGTACCCAATTTGGCTCGACCATGGCTAGAGGCGGTATCCTACAGAACGACGCTCTCCGCGAGATAGTCAGTCCTCCAAATCCGGGAAGCCTATCGACTTATATCCAGTCCAGAAAGGCATTCCCTGGCGATGGAAGTTAGTCTTCTCAATATCGTTTAGACGCTGCATGTCCTCGTCCGTAAGGTCGATGATCTTTGCATTTGCGAGGATGCGCTCGGGCGTCACTGACTTAGGGACCACTGCAACGTGTATTCACTCATGAGCATTCTGAACAGCAAATCATGTGGATGAGCGTACCAGTAACACCGGGTCTGTTTGCATGGAATGAAATCAGGACGGTAGACGGGGCGACGCCGTGAGCGGTAGCAATTTCTTGGATGACGGAGTTCGCCGCGAGCGGCGCGTTATCCGAGCCTAGGGGCGAGTATGCCGTTATCGATATGCCCTTTGACCAGCAGTACTGTGTGAGCTCTTCCTGCTTGCAGGACCTGCAATATCTTCGGCATCAGTATGCCAATCCAGCCGATTCACGTCAAGAAACGCACGGGTGGCTCTCGATCTGATTCACTGCAGGAACCACATCTGCGACTTTGAGCAGATCCTCCATGTACTTCAGCGACACGTTCGACACGCCGATGGCCCTGACCTTGTCCGGGTGCGCCTTGTAGATCTTCTCCATCTTCTTCCACGTATCGATCCAGGAGACCTCGTGGTCGGGTTTGCCGTCCTTCATCGGGCATGGCCAATGCATTAGCCCTGCAGTCACGGAAAATGATGAGCGATCCGTGCAACTCCTGATCTATTGACACGGTGCCATACAAAGGTCAAGGTAAGGCGTGTCGAGCTGCGTGAGGGAGTACTCGAGAGCCTTCTCAGGGTCTCTATGGTTGGAGTTTGCGAGCTTGGTCGTTAGGAAGATTTCCTCACGACGCACGCCCGACGCTTTGATACCGATACCAACTTCCTTCTCGTTGGCTAAGCTCAGGAGACTGGTAAGCCCTTCACCCGAACTTAGAGACAGGCTGGGCACTCGCCGTATGCTGTAGCAGTGTCAATGTGCCTGTAGCCATCTTTGAGCGCAATCTCAACGGCCTTCTCGACGAGCCCCGGTGCAGACTTCCACGTCCCTAACCAAAACCGTTTTGTCTCAGTCATACAACTACTATTTGAGACGGACATGAAGACGTACCGAGCCCAAGCGTGGGCATCAAAGCGCCAGTGTTCAGCTTCACGTATTTCGTGGCCGGCATCGTATAAGTCTACACCTTCGCAGGAAAAAGCTTCAGAGCAGTGCAAGAGGGATACCAGGAACGCCCGGGCGAAAATTCTAGCTCCGAGATATATAAATCTGAGTGCGTGCGCTCAGCGGAAAGCGGCACCCCGTATCCGCGTATCGCTCGATGAGTAACGGGCCCTGGGGGTTGATGGAGCACTAATTTTCTGCAGCAGTTAGTAACTATACCGGTTGTCATTCTCATCCTCTCAAAGGCATTTTCGTCCAACGATCCACACGTCGTACCATCCGTTCAGTCGATACGGGTGTCAAAGCGACTGGCTTGCTACTCCTTCTATCTAGTCATGGACTTGCCCAAGCTTTTCTTGTCCCAATCTAAACGAGATTCGCATTGAAATTTGACACACATGCTCGGAGCATATATAGCCATGAGGCATTCGAAAGTCAAGAATTATAGCGATGACGAACGTCCGAAGCTGCCAGTGACGAAGATAGTGTCCTACATGTAATCAGGCACTACCTGTGTCCTCGTATTGCCTCGACAAAGATACAGAAGTAACTCCGAAGTACTGCCGAATAGATGTCGAGGGGACGCTGGCGTGAAGACGCTTGGCAGATGGTCCACAGCGTAGCTTTACGAGTACAAATATGAGCGCAATGCATTCGCCAAACGTATACAAAATCAAGTGCAAGAGAATGATCGATCGACGACCGCTCGACATGCCAAGGTGTAATAGATCGTGACAGCCAGACTCGCCGTGAATCTCGGGGATAAGGCGAGAGACACGGACAAACCATTGACTGGACGACCCCGCAACTAGCTTGAGGCATGAGTGTTAGCGCGTCGGACGACACATAATCCATAACACAAGCGAGTCTGAACGGAAAAAAGCAACGAAGTCTGCGTTGTAAAGACGTGAGAAAAGCTCTGCAGAGACAGACGGACCACTCACCACTCATATGAAGAGGTGAACTATTACATTCCACCCTATAAGAGAGAAAGTGCTGCATGAGAAGCTCACAGAGCAGAAGAAACAATGTACTTCCGGTTCTCACTAGTCAAAATTTTCAGGTATCGTCGCAATCAAAGCAACCTAGCAGTACAAGATAATAGGAGACCGTGATACACGTACCGATATACTGACGCCTTGCAACATCTATTCGTCAGTGTCCATATGCTCATCTTCGCTGTCGCTGATGATGAGTACGTTACAATCCTGTGGCGTCTCAGGCCATCTTGATTTCCACGTCTGCGCGGCACTGAAGCGAGCTGACGATGCCACCGGTAAGGAAGCCATGCTTGCTGCATCCGCCTCATCCATCACTCTGTTCGGTCATTCAGTCGGTTGCCAAAACACGCGCACGCGATCCAGGACTTGCTAACCTTCTCTGTTCGCGGATCTTACGCCGGATGTTCTTTTTCTCCAGCTCCGAACGTGCATTGCTCAGTTCTGCCATCAGAGTCTTGATCTCAGCGATACGCTGCTCTAGACGCATGAGTTTTGCAGCGGGTGTCATGTCTTCCATCGGTGGAGCAGCCTTCGGCTGCGGCGGTTGTGGAGGCAGGGGTTGCTCGACTGTGCGAATGCTTTCCGTAATGAAAACAACTGCTAGCTCGTCGAGGTTGACAGTATCACCACCGGCAGTCGAAGAGGTCACTGCGCTCATCGTGGCACTCTGCATGACTTTCGTTGCGACTTCGAAAGCTGGCGTAGCTGATCGACTCTTGCTGGCTGCTCGAGATGGAACAGAGCCATCACGCGGAGAGATGGCTGAAGACGAGCCAGCGCCGGATGCAGAAGCAGCATTTCCTGTGGTGCTCGTACCGATCCACGTACTGCGTGCAACCTCTGCTTCAGTAGGACTAGCCCTTCCCGAAAGAGGCGCCGCGATCACCGCTGAACCAAGCGGAGCATCTGCAAGATTCTTCCTGCTCCGTATCACGGCACGCCGAAGAGCTTGGACAGACTTCTGAGCGTCAGTCATACTTGTCATTCCATGACTGTCGGAAGAATCCTCCGTAGACTTGACAACAAGTAACGGCGACACACTTCGACTTCTGCTTGCAGGTTCTGCCTTCAACCTCGCGATGCGCTCCTTGATCTCTCTCTGCCGGGGGGACAATGAGGATTTGCTGGGCGCTGGACAGTTCGGCTGCTCCGGACCGATTAAAGGTTCATTGTCAATCGGAGATGCCTTCGCATTTTGTGAATCGCTGACTGCAGAGGAAGCACTGCAGGATGGGCTAGCCGACCCAGAAAGCGGTCGAGACTCAGAAAGTACCGATGAGTTTGCAGTGTTGGGCGGATGAGATGGGCATGGTGGAAGTGGTTGCAACGCGGAGACATCCGGTGATGAATGAGAAACCGCAGGCACAAATGAAACAGAAGGCAAGTCTGACGATTGCGGAGGAGCTGGAGCAGTGAACAGAACAGCAACAGGGGAAGAGAGAAGCGTGGGCGCTGCTTTAGGTTGTGAATGAGGGGTAGAGGCTGTGGCAACAAAAGCAGAGGGCAAAATGGGTGGAGCAGAAGATTCAACAGTTGAGGAAATTGACGCACTCAGACCCGGCGGTACCCTCGCACACGCTTTCGATTTCGATGCAGGCAGATCATGGGGTACTGACGCTGCATCAGCCGACGTCTGCTGTCGATTCTCAACGGAAACACATGATTGTGCGGCTAGCTTGTCGCGTCGAGACATTACTGAATGCGAAGTCACCGACATCGATGCGAGAGAAAGGGCATCTTTCGCCATGGACGCTTGCAAAACCGAAGGAGCTTTCGTGACCACTCGTGGCTGTGATCCCGATACAGCAGGAGTAGCCTTTGTCGATACTGTGGGTTGTGGGATGGACACAGGAGAAGAAACCTTCGTCGCTACTAGCTCTTCCCCATCAAACGTGCCGGAGACAGATTTGGTCGCGGAAAGTGGCGCTACAGGCAGCAATGCTTCGGTGGGAGTGATAGGCGAGATCACCATGGGCTGTGGCGAAGCTGCCCGCGAAGATGCGATGGAACTGCCATCTTCCGTTTTCATGTCAGAAAATCTATCCGAGAGAGCTGATTCTTGTGCGAGTTTTTGGGCTTGTGACTGGTACCCTTCGTCGCTGAGCTCGATGTCCATCGCTTGTTCCTCTTCATTGTCCCGGTCCACGGAAGAGTCAGAATAGGCCATCTCGACCATGTCATTCCATTCATCTGGATCGTCACCGCGAATGGAATATGACACAGACGGAGCCGGCGATCGTGATGCAACCTCGCTTCGCGGAGAAGCAGGCTTTGACTTCGACTTGAATAATGCCACCCAAAGTGCCTCCTCCTCCTCCTTCAATTTCTGCATCGACAACGCAGGAGGCTGCAACACGGCATCCACAGCCTTCTTCTTCCCTTGACGTTTGTTCTGATTTTTCTTCTTCCCGCCTTGGCCAGGTGCCCCAGTCTGAGACGCAGCAGAGCTGGGCTGCTGAGACACGTCATATTCTGTAATCTCGCCTTCCTCCAAGTCCGGAATATACCACCACGCGAAAATGTGTTCCTTGCTATCGCCTGACAAGCGAGGACTATGGAAAGCAGCTTGCGCCGTGGCGGCATCGGGAAACTCCACCAGAGCTTTCCCAACTTTGGCATCGAGATCAAAGCGGAAAGTTTCTGAGAACTGCTTTCCCCAGGACACCACAAATTTAGGGATCCGATGTTTTTTGGGCGAAATTTTCAGCACAACAGTGCGAAGTGGATCAGGAGGATGTGACACGAGCTGGCTACCGGGCGGAAGCGGGTAGAGCCCATGTTCACCTTCGCAACCCTTAGCAGGAGTCTGCCCAATCGATTTCTTCACAATGGTGGGCTTCCTGGGCGGAGCGGCCATAGGTGCGTCATGAAGCAAGGAACCCAGTGGGTATTCTATACAAGAATGGTCAAGGAGGCTTGGGAGAAAACCGTCTGGAAGAGAAGGGGAGAGTGGAAGAGGGGAGGTTTGTGTGTATGCTGTTGAGGGGGCAGGATGATAGCGAGGAGCTGGTGGTGGCATTTGATAGGAAAGGCTGTCAGGCTGGTCATGCATTCCGAAACTATGTGGAAAAAAAGAAGGGTTGAGTGGCAGCGTTGGAGGCAATGATCCTGCGCCCATAGGCATATACTTGGACGGTGGTCCGGCATAGCTCGAAGATGATGCAGAGAAGGAGAAAGGGATTTCTGGGAAAGAAACGGGGGGACCATAGGGATCATATGGAGTCGCCGGTAGTGGCGGGGATGCAGACCGCACAGGAGGTATAGGGCCCATCTGAGCCTTCCGTTGCTTTGACCTGTTATACTTGGGCCGTAGAGGAGCCTGTACGACTTCTGGCATCTGAGCCGCTTCTCGTTCACGCTTTCTTCTCTTGCTGCGTCGTGCTTTGCTTTCTATCCGCTGCTGACCGACGGTTTGCGACGTATTCTTCCGTTTACGCTTTTGACTAGGTGCCAAGCCCGGCATTCCATCTAGTAGTGGTCACGCCAACATATTAAAAAAGCACATATCGTCCATGCGTACCATTCACGAGGTTCGTGTAGGACCGCTCATTCCATTGCGTCTCCCAGTCCTGGGCACCGCCTTGCGTATCGGCGTCCAGTCTTCCGTCGAATTCACTGAGGTGGTACTCTACAAATGCTGCGTCCTCGTCATCTGAGAGCACAATAGGGGATCCAGCTGAACCGAAAGCATGCACGGTCATGCTAAGAGAAAAGGAGCAGATGTAGGATCACACAGTTGTGCTGAAGAGAGAGGTACAAAGTCAAGACCAAAAGACCCAGACGCAGTGCCTTCGCGGATCACGCATACAGACTCCGACGACATGCCAAAAATGGAAACTAGACTCTGACCCAGAACCTATTCGTGTAACATCCGACCAGCCTGCTCACACATATTTGAGAATACATTCAAGTTCAGATCCTGCAGGAGCCGGGCCTACATCTAGTCAAGGAACGAACAACAAGACTGATGCAGAGACGCCGATGCAGACAATTCTACCTGGGCCACGATTCAAAGGGCAGCTCATGCTCAGCAACCCGCACATGTAACAACGATATTGGAAGTAGACCTCTTCGCCAGAGCAACTCTATTTCGCTTGTGCTGCTTCCTCTCGCTGTATGAGCCCGACGCCAACGATCACACCGTCTGCGAGAATATCCGCCGCTTTCCGGCCTTCGTGAGCCTGGTGCTCGGCCTTCCTCACAAACTCTGCTTTGATCGCCTTCGCTCGCGCGATCTGTGCCGATGAGGCGTAAGCATCAGATGTCGTCAACCATCTCATTTGAAGAGAGTGGAAGGATAGCACACCTCATTAGTATGGTGCAAGCATTCTAGGTAGTCTTCCGCCTGAGGTTTGCATTGGCTTGGCACATCAGTTTTGGCATAGCACTGGTAACAAGCGGTCAGACACAAAATGATAGAGAATGAATTTTTCGACTTACCTTAGAGAACTCCTGCCAGTAGGCGAAACAACGGGGAATGCCTTCAAGGTTATATCTCGTTCAGCAATGAAGGACGCGAGTCACTGGAAGCATACCTCCGTTGTAGCTGTAGCCGGACTTTACACGCGAAATATGAGAAGAATAGCATCAAAAGATGTTGTACGAACGTACTGCCATCGTACAAAGACTCGGTCGGAGTGTGTTGTTGCGGCCTCGAGGATTAACGCCGACTTCAAGCTTGTGATGGCGTGACTGTGAGACGACACGTCATGTCACAGGGTGACTCCAACTCCAAGCCCGCTTCCTGGCCCGCGGATCTCCAAGTTCGGAATCTCTAAGTTCACCGCCTCAAGCTACTAGCGTGTCAGCCGCGACATCTCTGCATTTTGACCTCCTACCACCATCTTCACGAGCCAGGGGTTAGGGAGCACTCTCTGAACTGATTGTGATTTGCGACTATGGCAGAGCAAGCCGAGCTCGCTTTCGTGAAGTCATTCGCGAGCAACCTCTCGTCGCAACCAGTTATATACGCGGATGATTTCCAGGAACCACCAGAGAAGTCTTTGAAGAAGATACCTGTGCTACCTGTGCGCTATTTCATTTTTTTCAGCTTGAGATCCTCGCTGATTGTCTTGAAAACTACAGGTTGAGGTGCCACCGCCTCCAGAGTCAAAGGCTCCAGTTGCTGCTCCTATAGGTCAGTCGATTTAAATCGGCATTACAAGACACGTTACATAACACGTGTACTGCAGGTTCTCTTAGTATCACGTTCAAATCTATCAAACCTGCTAAGACGTACAATCTAACTGTGCAATCCACCGACACGATCTCCGACATCAAGTCCCAGCTAGCGGCAGAGCCAGGCGCTCCTCCTGCGGACGTACAACGTCTTCTGCTCAAGGGGAAGGCCTTCGCGGACGGGAAGCTGCTGCAGGAGTACAGTGTCAAGGATGGAGACATCATCAATCTGATTATTAAGCCTGGCTTCGACTGGGATCCCTCAAAGGTCCCTGCACCGTCGTCGCCAAGGATTGCAGAAGGCAATATCGTCCTTCTCCCTGAGCCGGCGCAGCACAAGACACGGATGGGCCACGGACGCATTCCATCTGTAGTGCTCTCGCCATCTCCATCCATCTCCCCCTCACCGGGCGAGACATTGGTCGATATACCCCTCATTCTGGACACCTCTAATTCACCTTCATCACCTCAATCTCCGAGGATTAACACGTCTTACTATGCGACGATCTCTCAGCCGACTTTCTGGGAACATATACAGAAATTCCTTGAGTAAGTGGTCCCTCTCTGATCACCTCGCTTCTCAGTTGCAACTACCGCGCAATTGGCCATCTGATGACGATATGTTTGTCACAGATCGGAGTTCCCAAATAACATGGATGCGGCGACCGCATGGGAGAACTTCTTCTGCGCGAGCAAGGGAGAGCTGAGTGCATCTGAGATTGCGAAGATCCGCGACCATGTTGGTATGATTGGGATGGCAGGAACCTAAGTGCAGATCGGGCTGTGGTATGTTGGGACTTTGTTGCACTGGGTCGGTTCCGTGGCGATATCCTCAGCTTCATTTTCTTTGGCGGCTTTTCAACTGAACGTGTAACGTCTGCTCTGGATATTTATGATGCCATTGGTCTCTATCTACTCAACAAGTTCATCTCGCTGTTCTTCCATTCGAATTGGACTTGGTATCGGAGTTTGTGGATAGCTTGGTTCGAGTCAGCGAACTTTAGCCGATAAAATGGGGAGTACATCGAAGCTGTGGCCAGCGTGCTCGAGGTCGGTAGACGCCGAAAGATGATTGATCATTTGAAGATCATTAAATAGTTACTAAGCTTGGCCATGATCGAATGAGTCTTTGGCCTGATCTTGATCTTCGACGTCTCCTCGCTATATAAAACCCTACTAAATCTCTATTATATCTTGTTCTGCTTAGTGGCAAAGATGGCAAAGAAGATACCTGGAAAGGATTTGTCCAAAGCAGCGGCGAAGGCTGCCAAAAAAGCGAAGGCCCAGCAGAAAGTCGAGCGGAAGGAGAAGAAGAAAACAGGAAAGACGAGGGAGGAGGAGCAAGATACTGAGGATTTGGAGGAGATCCTCGATAAAGTAAGTGTTTGACCTGCTATGGGTGACGTGGACTGACGGGGCGATGCGCATTAGTAGATGCAAAGAGAATGGGAAGAAGCGCACCGGGTTATTGAGGAGCTTGTGGAAGGCCCACCGAGTCGACGAGCAAATGCGACGCTCACGCCGTGCCCGAGCGGGAACTATCTGTGGTGTATTGGAGGAGAGTTTTTTAGTGATGACGGGAAAGCGGTACTGCTCCTTTGTTTGGAACTTCGAATTCCCTCACTGAAATGGTGCTCGCTCAGTATTTCTATAACGATGTCTTCAGATATTCGCCGGAAAAGGTACGTTCTCCTGGAAATCTCAGATTTTTCGCACCGTTCAATGCGTTACTCCGACACTTCTAGGATGAGTGGCGAAGGTTTGTATCTCCTACATGCCCAGGCCCTCGCTCAGCTCACGCAGTTGTCGCATCCCCTGCGGGCGGAGGAAAACTCTATCTTTTCGGTCTGCATTCCTCGCCATCTCCTTGCCCTAATCATCCAGTCTTACTTAAGGTGAGATCTTCAGGCGGCGAATTCTCTTCGCTATACCAAAACTCCTTCCATCATTATCGTGATTTCTGGTGCTTCGACATATCAACACATTCATGGGATCGGATAGAAACAAAGGTTAGGCCGACGGCACGGTCGGGACACCGGTGAGTTCGAGGAGTTTCGTTCCATGCAGACGTTTGTTTTGCCTACTCGCTAATGTGACTGCCTCCCCCCCCGGTGTAGTATGGCAATGTGGAAACACTATGCTGTCCTTTTCGGCGGGTTCTATGACCCTGGATTGCGCAGTACGCACATCATGCAATGCTATATGTAAGTGTGGAATGGCAGACTGATTGCTTGCAGCGAACTACCTGGACGACCTCTGGCTGTTCGACACACAGGACTACAAGTGGCGGAAAGCTGAGTTCAAGGAAGCCGAGCGGAAGCCATCGTAGGTTTTCCTCGTGTCATGTCTGCTGGAATGAAAGAACTAATTCCGTATAGACCGCGTAGTGGCTTCTCATTTCTACCTACAGCTGATGGCATCTTGTTGCACGGTAAATAGGCATCCGACGCGTCTGGTGCAGGCTGCTGAACAAGTTCACACTGTAGGCGGGTACTGCAAGGAATATCACAAGGGCAGCCGCCCAGTTGGTATAATGCTCGACGACACGTGGTTCCTCCGGTATGCATAACATGTTCATTCGCCTACACTGCCTACGCTAAATATCTCTTTCATCCAGGATGGCACTCAATGAAGCAAAAGACGGAAAGGCGCCAGCCGAGCCTGTCACAATGAAATGGGAGCGACGAAAACGGTCCTCTACAGCCTTCGCGCCGTCGCTCCGGTCGGGATGCAGCATGGCTCTCTGGGTGGCGAAGAATATGGGTATACTGTTCGGTGGTGTAACAGATGAGGACACGAGCGAGGAGACGCTGGAGAGCGTGTTCCACAACGATCTGTAAGCATCTCGTATTGCGTATTAGACATACCGACAATGAGCGACATGACACGTACAGATATGGTTATCAGATCGCTGGGAACGGACGTTGGGTATCGATGATGCTCAAGCAGCCTAAAAAGAAGGGTGGAGCAAATGCGAAGAAGCAAAAACCAGCCCTAGCTCCTGTTCGGGCTCCTTCGGGCGATGAGGATGAGTCCAACAGTGACGCTGAATTATCCATTGAAGAGGAGGTATATGATTTGCTTCACTTATGTTAAGATGATAGCTGATTGCGACGAACAACATCAGAATAAGAAGTCGCGCGTCCCTCTTCCTGCCTCCGCTGTCAGGGATACAGACACCGATATCGATCCAGATGATCCGGAACTCACGAAGCCAATGCCTCGATACAATGCGATGCTAGCAGTATTACGAAACACGTTGTACCTGTAAGCACTGTTTACGTTTCCTCTGCGATGGACATTGAACCTAGCTTGCTCCTAGTTATGGAGGCATCTTCGAACGTGGTTCACGCGAATATACGCTGGACGACTTCTATCTGCTGCAGTTGGACAAGTTGGATCGCTATGTCTGCCTTAAGGATAGCGGGATCACTATCACCGCTGAAGGTGATGAGGAGAGTAGCGACGAGGATGAGGATGAGGATGAAGATGAGGGGGAGGATGATGAGGACAAGAGAGAGGACGAGCAGAGCAAGCCAGAAGAGCCAGCTGCTTCTGTATCAATTTCCAACGAGTGCGATGAAGATGACAAAGAAAAGATCGAGCATCCGATAACCCAAGATGAGAAGGTGAGGGCCCTTTGGTCAGCCTTACGTGGTTTCTCACTACTGTGAATCAGGATGCCCTCCGTTTGGAAGCTACTGCATTCATGGGAGTTGCCAAGGACACGACACGTTCTGCGGAAGACATCATCAGCACCCCACTTCCGGGCGAGACTTTGTCCATGTTCTATGCTCGTTCTCGTACGTCACCTCTGGCGACCGCTTATAAGGATGTGATTATTGACGCTCCCATGCAGGAGAGTACTGGAAAGGAAAAGCCCATGGCACCAGCAAAAATCGAGGCAAACAGCTTCGGAGGGATGGGTTTGCAATGGCGCAGGAGCGGTATGGTGAGTGTATCACCGCAGGGTACCGTGTCCAATATAGGCAACTGTGGTAATAATCATTTTTTGCAGCTTCGTACGAGCCGATTTTGCGGGAGGTGGAGAAGATTTTGGCGGAGGCCGGGTTGGACGAGGAGGAGATGAGGAAAGGTGCAGCAGCAGGCCCTGGGGAACAGAGTGGGCAAAGTCGCAACAGAAGATGATATATTAAACGAGTACTTTGTATCTTTTTTTAAATCTGCACACTTCCTATAATGGCAACGAGATGGGTGTCGACTGCACATCAGAGACGCGTTTGGGCGTCACGTCCCGGTCACGTGATCGTGTTTGCGGGCGTCTGCTGGTTCCAAGCTTGTTCAGTCGTCGACCGCGTGTCTACTGCGTGTTCCGCACTTTGTCCATGCAGGACATGGGTTCGTTGATGAGTCATTAAAGCCACTTGGAATCGTAGCATTGACACCTTACAAGGCAGATACTGCGCAAGCTGCTCATAAATGCGGTCAAGATGCTGATGACGCCGACATCGATGCGTCCCAAGAGCTGCTGACGGCTATCAAACTCACATGTGGCCGTACAGTGCCTAATAGGCTGGTGAAGGCGAGTTTGTGTATGGTCAAGAGGTTTCCGCTGAATTTCTGACCTATTGTAGGTTGCTATGTACGAGCACATGAGCAACCTCTACGGAGGGCCGCCTAACGAGGCACATTTTGAACTCTATTCGCGCTGGTCCAAAGGAGAGTGGGGTATGATCTGCACGGGAAACGTGCAAGTATGTAACGATCACCTTACGCTTGGGAGAGACATGGTCGTTCCAGAACACATCACTCCAGAGACGGTCGAACCGTTCAGGCGATTAGCAGACGCTATCCACGGGGAAGCGTATACGAAGGCACAGGAGCGAGATAACAAGCCGCTTGCGATCATGCAGCTCTCTCATCCCGGCCGACAGTCGGCCAATATCCTCGGCGGACGCTGGCCGTTCGTCCCGCCGCTCGCGCCGAGCGCTGTGCCCATTGGCCGGACGCGTCGGGCGGGGACATCAGCTGCCTCGTCGCTGCTCTCGTTTATTCTGCTCTTGGTTTTCTTCCAGACTCCTCGACGCATGTCTGTTGCTGATATAGACGAGGTTGTCGATGCGTTCGTCAGGGGAGCGCGACTTGCCGCTGAGAGCGGGTTCGATGGAGTTGAGTTGCATGCGGCACACGGGTGTGAGTGAGTACGTCGTGAAGCGTGGGTTGTACGTCTGAATTCTCATTAGATCTCATTTCTCAATTCATGTCTTCAAAAGTGTGTTGTTGGCGCATTGGTATACCTATATTGACACTAGAGCCGCGTCTCCACGTTCATAGACAAACTTGCGGAATGACGAATACTCTGCGCACAGTGATCCCCTACGATTACTCCGCCGTATCGTCTCTGCAATCCGAGGATCGAGCGCTATCGCCAGCGACTTCGTGGTCGGGATTAAGCTTAACGCCTCAGACTATGTTGAACATCAAAACTCTGACAATCCGTCGGATTACAGTCAGGCACAAGAAGACCGTGCTATGCAGCATCTCCGAGAAATCGCCTCTTGGAATATGGTTGACTACATACAAGTTAGCGGAGGCGACTATGAAGATCCAGGTAAGGGACGCCATCTTGCCCTTCGCGAAAGTTCGCGCTTAGTCTTCTCAAGCATTCATGATCAAAACAAAGATGCAGTCCTCTCGGCAAACACTTTTCACACGCTTTGCCCATGAAGCCGTCCAGGTGTTGTCATCAACTTCTTCGGAACAATTTGGCGGGAATGCTCTAAGTTCTGCGGCATGCAATGGAAGACCATTGCCACTTGTCATGCTGACCGGCGGCCTGCGCACGCTCCCTCTCCTCACCTCAGCACTCGCCAACAAGCATGCACACCTCCTCGGGGTCGGCCGACTCGCCGTCCTCTGCCCCGAGCTTCCTCGCATGCTCCAAGACGGCATGTCAAAAACAATCCTCTCAGAGCCGCTACCCGAGCCGGACCTCACAGGACTCGGAATAGTCCCTCCCTCGGGACAATCTATTTTTAGCAAGCTCGAGAGGGCAGTGCTCTGGGTGATGATCGTTCTGTGGGACAGCATTCCCGTAGAGCTGCCCAAGCTCGTTGGCGCGGGAACGGACATGGCGTGGCATATTGTCATGATGCGGCGCATTGCGAGGGGCCAAGATGTGGATTTCAGTGTGGGCGGGCTTGCGGCGGTGCTGAGGATGTGGCTGTGGGTTGCACCTTGGCAAGAAGAAGACAGTCTGTGGGACTCGTATGCATGGGTATTGATGGGGCTGATTGGTGTATTGGTAGGTATCATCATAGGAATGTTATTGTGATTGATGCTGGGAAGAATATATCGCGTTGTACATTGCTTTGAGGCGTGAGAGTAATGATGTACAGCAAGGTATACAGTCTAGGGGAATAATCGAGCAGATAAGACGTGAGATCCAGCCATGTCACATCAAAGAAGGTATCATCGGAGGAGAAAAGTGGGAAGAATTATAACTGTACAAGCGCAAGTCCATATGTGCGGTATAGAACACTACAGCGATGGTACAGTGACGTGAGTATTTTTACAGAAAGCGTAATAGCGACCGAGAGCAATAAGTACTGCAAGTGTCCGGATATATCTAGGGCTCCTGTCCGATATTCTGCTCGGGGAAGATAGTGCCGCCAACGAGTTCAGCGTATTCTTTCTTCCAGGGCATGGACGCAAGTCCAAGCGTGAAGTCAAGGGTATCAGAGTCGGCATAGGGTGGCGTGGGCATAGTGATCACGACGGCAACCTGTAAAGGTCCTTCTGGTACATGAGCTGGGACTGCGATAGGCGCGACGTTGTGCTGAGGAAGTCTCAAGAAGTGGGTGAACCGCCTTGGTGACTCTGCACGAGCTATCGCTGAATCTGAAGCCAGTATCTCGTGGAAGGTGTGCGCCACATGGGGCGATTGTTTCGAAGAGATAGGCTACGGAAAGTACAGGAGAAGAAGGAAACACAAGATGTATCAAAGCTATGAATGATCGCGCATGCAGCATACTCGCTCACCATAATCTCTCTCCATAGGCCCTTCTCCACGCCCTTGGTCTGCACATACACGTCCCACAACTCCGGCTTCTTCCCGAGTGACTTCCTCTTCTTCCCACGGCGACCCCCTCCTATCTGGGGGAGATCCATTGCGTCCGGTTCTAAGCCTCCAGCTGAAGGGCCACCCGCGAACCAGCGCCGGAGGCCGCGTCCAGCCATGCGCCTGCGCAAGCCGAACATGGCGAGCATCCCGCCGACGAAGAGGCCGACAGCGAGGAACGCAAGGATGAGCGCGGGGGTGCCGTTCGTGCTGAAGATACCGCTGGAAGAACTGGAGGAGCTGCTGGTGGTGGTCGTGGGAGATGAGGTTAAGGCGGCCGTCGCCGACACGGTCGACGACGAGGGGGAGGCTGGACCCAAAGCCATTGCGGGGGGGGAGGAGGGACGGAGAAATGAGTAACCAGGGAGATCTATAAGGGAGAGATTGGAGCCGCCTCGAGGCAGTGACCTTCGCGGAGATGCGGCATGTGTCTGCATTTGGCAGGTGTCCTTGTTCGACTCAAACCACTCAGAGACTGCAGCGCATCTCTCCCTTTCACTCTTTCCTTCCACTCCTTTGCATTTTCTTTTCTTTCAGACTATAAAAACATGTATTATTATGCAATCTCTTCCCTGGTTCTCAGCCTCGTTGCTCGAGCTGGCGCACAGACATATTCAGCAACATATATGCCGTCAGACGCACCTGACCACACGCAGCAAGGCCAATACGGTACCAATGCCTGCGGTGTGAGCTCTAGCCAGTCGTCAATGTGCCAAAATGCGTATCGTAAGCTTAGCAAGCCAATGACACCGTATTCGCCTTCTGATCAGTTCATGACGTTGATCTCCCCAGTGAACTCCGTCGACGATTTCTGCCTATTTGCTCCACCCTATCCAGGTTCAAACTCGACGATCGGAGACACCGAACGCATCGAGGTTTCTTGGTGTCTCAAGGACGGCTACGGCACGCGAGTCATCCCTGACGGGAGTATCACCGGCGCGCACTTCGTGCAGACGCCCGACTACATCCAGGTCATGGGCGTCGGCGACCTCACGCAGCTAAACATTCCTGCGGGCGACACCGGTGGTGAGCTCGATCCTCATGGACAAGACGGGAACGGGAATCCAATTGGTGGACTGGTGTTTTCCAACGCGTTTGGACAGCTCGAGCAGCTGCATGAATGGACGGTAAGTGTGGACAGTACGCATATAGGCGCTTGCTGATCCGGATGTGTTGGCAGAACTTTATGTCAGACAGGCAGTTCTGCTTCCGTGCATGCAAGCCGGGTCCGATGGCGACCACATACTGCCAGCATATATATGACGTTATGGGCTGCGATTGGAACATGCCTGGGAACTACGACGCCGGCGTATTCGAGCGCTGCTTAGGTGATGACGGCGAGGTATGCATGGTGGCTCCTTTTTCCAGGACTTGAGTAATATATGCTTTCAGCCCATGGGCGTGTACGGTACCTCGACGTTCAAACAGGGCCAGCCTACAACTCCATCGGCGCACCCCGCGCCTCCAACCTCGATGTGCACGACGTACGCGACTGTTGGGAATGGGATATTCATCCGCAGCGTGTCGACAGCGACGAACGTATCGGCCGTCGCTTCTATCATGACGACGTCGAGCCCGAACTCTCTTGTGGTGGTCTCTGGCACTTCTGCCATATCCGTGCGTGCTTCCTTTCGATTTAATTGAATGAGATCGCGCATATATGCAGTATTCTTCTCGGATTCTGCATCCGCACTGCGTTCCTTTGCTTGAAGGAAAAAGATCATTCTGCTCCTTGTCTCAGCGCTCACCGCGTACACCCCGCTAACACTCATTCTATGATTCAGCGTCCGACCGCCACAGCTACAATCATACCCCCAAACAGAGGCAGCATGCCCACCGGTTTGGCCAGAAGCTCGTACTCTGGGGCACGATCGGCCATCAGTCCGATGTCGCAGGTTACGGTCATCCTGGGTGCTGTCGTCCTTGGCATAGCGTTCTGTTTCTAGCACTGGCTGCAAGATTTTGCTGACAGAAAACACCGCTGTTCCGGGACCTCGAGGAATCTGGTGAATATCAACTGGCAGCACAACGGACTGGGCTTTGGACTCGAACTGGCTAGAGGACTCGAACTAGGATTTGGACTTACTTGGATTGAACTTCTCATCGCTATCCACAAGACGCGGCTCGACAATCGAAACGGATGACAAGCGGTGATTTCGCTAGACGGACGGACCGCACATGTACTATTCTTCTCGCTCCTTTCTTTGCGCCCTGTAACCTCACTGTGTAGCCTTATCTTCATGTATTGCGATTGCTTATGCATTCGTCGTGGCTTGTTATGTCATGTACTGCGTGTTGAATTATAATTGAATGCCGTACGCAGTCCTCCACGCGAATGTTGCAAAAGCAAAAATCGCCATCGACATAACATACTAAGAATTCAAATTCACAGAGCACAGGCCATATCTCTGAAGCTGGAATTGCCTACGCCAAAATTAGATCTGTACGAGATGGAAATAGGAAGCACCGGCAATAGAACGTTGAATGCCCAAACGACCACGTGAAGAGTACAAGAACACGAATATCATGATAGACAAGAACTCTAGGCAGTTGAATGCCTGATTTACACGCAAAGAATTCTCGCGCGTCTTCCCTCCACACTCTACATCCTGTTGTCACTGCATTTCGCATAAGAACACCATCGTGATACGATTACGTGGCCTGCTTACCATCTATAAGTCTTCCCAATTGCTCATCTTCACTTCAATCCCGTAAATATCCACGTTCTTGTAAATTCCGGTCCTTTCCTCCAATTGAATCCGATCATCGAGGAATTCCGACTTGTACTTGTATTTGAACGGAACCTTGATGCGAGCATTGCGAAGCACGACCTCGACGATCCCTTTCTTCCTGGGAGGAACAACGACTGTTATTTCATCGCCCACCGTTGCCGAGACACCTTCCGTGCCCGCCCAAACATGCGCCTGCGTTGCAGGACTGACCGCTATGTCCAGCTTCTCGTTCTCCACGTACGGAACACCTATGACAAACGTCACGCCCAACCCGACCATGATGCCTCGGTCGTCATTCCAAGTGCCCTCGACCATCCGGTTGTAAGAAAACGGAACAGTCCTAGACACGGGCGCGTCGGTGTCGTTTTCCAAGACAGTGTCGAGAATGACCGTGGGCACGTTGGTGACGGTGGCGTTGGCGATGTTATACTCGATGTCAAGGATCGACGTCTTGCGTACGGCCGCCGCGACGATGTTGTAGCGCGAGTTCGATTGGATGAACGGGTAGAGGCACACACCGCCCCTGGTGTGCTTGTCTGCAGAGGACCAACACTGTTTGTGCTCCAGTAGTACTTGATCGCCGGACTCATGCACCACTCTCATGGGCACACCGTGCGAATCCGTCGAGTCGCAAGTGAGAATGTCAGGGTCTTCGCTAAAAAAAGAGTAATGGTTGAAATAATGGCCGTTGTTCCCTTTGAAGTTGTATTTGCCATCGTCACGACGTGTCGATTCGAAGATGCAGTCGGCATTCGGTTCCGTAGCCGCGATTGTCAGGAGTTCCCAGCGGGTGGCAGCTTTTTGAACGCGCAGGTATCGACCATAGATGTCTTTGGCATACAGGTACCGAGGGAGTAAGACACGACGCTCCTTGTCGTCTAGTATCGTCAATCAGTGGGTGATGTTGATCGTGCATGAAATTATGTGCTTACTCACGTAACAACACGCTGGCCCTAGCGGCCTCGGTTGAGCTTTGTTGGAAGCGATTATTGCGATGGCGTTGTTCTCGACCTCATTCGGGGGAGGAACACGCTTTGAAGAAACAATCTGCTTGTTGTCTCCAGTATTGATCATGAGAGACACTTCGCTTGGACAGAATGAGGCTAGACATACCATCCTCTCCCGCGTACATAGCTGCAGACGGTTGACTCGGAGCGAAAATGTGACTCGATGAGCAGCTGATGACAGTGGATAATGCGCTTCGGCGCGGTGGTGCAATGGATGACCGGAGGGCTGTAGTGACGCGTACTTTCGCGTCACTGTGCTACCAGTAAGTACATCTGTATAGAGCGGGGCTAAGGGTAAAACCACGTACGCGGATGCACCAGGGTAAAAGCCTCTGGGGCATCCGGCGTACTCAACACGAATATATATATGCCTCCTGTCCAGAGTGTGAAGGGCAATGAGCGTTGGGGAGCTCAACATTGAGTGGGGAAAGCATTTGCTAAAGTAGGAATTAGTGATACCGTATAAGGATAAACGAACCGGTGGTCCGACGCCGAAGGCGGCCCTCCAATCACAAATCGCAACAGTGGATGGGGGTGAGCTAGGACAGACAAAGCAGGATTACTTTTAAACATCTGAAAATGCGGCCCGCGGAACGTAGAGGGAGCACGGGGTCGACACTCACGAGGTAGTGCTGCGATCATCCGTGAACGCGACAAGGAACGAGAAACAAATAAGCCCACTATGGACATTGATGATGGCATTTTTGGAGTGGCAGTGTCAGTGTAGCGAAGATGGTCAGCATACTGTTGAGAAACAAGCGACTCAAATAATGAAATTGACGAGATGCAAGGCGTGAGCCGAACGCTTGACAGCTATCAGAAGTCATGCTTTAACGGGCGCTCCGTAAGCACAGAAACCATGGTGTGTGCATTGCCACAACAGTTGGAAACGAAGATAGCGTCTACGCAAAGGCCATCAGCTGCTACAGACTTCAACACGAAGATATGGATGGGTCGTACTTCAAAGAGCTTAAGCTTGAAACTATGATCAGATTACGTCAATGTCCAACGATTAATCGACGGCACTTGAAATCCGATGCTTCATCGATATGATACAAGTGATGCATGTCTGGTGCGTGGGCAAAAACCACAGCACCCAGGATTCCCGTGTGGTCCCCCACCATGGTACTAACTGGGCGGCACTCTGGTTAACTGCGCAGATCGGACGGGATGCGGTGCTTTCAGAGTCCTATGGCCGTGGATGCAAATGTTGGTTGTGGGTTATCTATATAGTGATGCATGTGGTGACTGGATGCATGATCACAGCTGGTGGAAGCATCTTGGGATATGGTGACTAAAACATAAACACTGGGAAACGGGCGGTTATTTTTACAAACCCCGACTGCTCGCAGGATGCGACATCGAACCGCAAAACAGAATATCTACGCCTTCCCCTCAAGCGGGAGAATGTTTGGCACCGGACCGGCAGGAACGATCCTCGTCGGGTTAATCTACCATCCACATCGCATCGTCAGTATCCTTCCCTCCGGACACGCGGCGCACGTACCATGGGGTGCGACCAATAATAATGCGTCTTGATGTGCTCAAAGTTGCACGTGTCCTTGAACGCGGGGACCGTCCAATACAGCCTGCGGAGCCAGCGGTGGAGCGCGGGATAGCCGTCGCGGATCGTGCGGAGGTTGCATTTGAAGTGACCGACGTAGACCGGGTCGAAGCGGACCTGTGGACACATACAAGGTATCGATAGGTGGATATATGCGCGTGAAGTATAGGAGGGGAAGGACGTACGATGGTGGGGAAGAGGCGAATGTCGGCCTCGGTGAGACGATCGCCGATGAGATAGTCTTTACCGGTGAGCATCTTCTCGAGCCGGTCGAGCGACTCGAAGAGAGGGAAGACGGCAGCTTCATACGCGGCCTGCGTACGCGCGAACCCAGACTTGTACACGCCGTCTACACGGATTCAGTGGCTCAGGATCTCACAACGGCATGAAGACTACGAAACACGGACGTACTGTTAACGGTATCATATACCCACGCATTCACCTCGTCAATCTGGGCCTTCAGCTCCTCCGGATAGAAATCCAACTTCGCCTTCTCCACCGGCAGCAACTCGTTGAACGCGCTGTTAAAGATCCTGATGATCTCACTGCTCTCGTTGTTTACGATCGTGTCCGTCTTCTTGTCCCAGAGCACAGGAACGGTGAAGCGGCCGTCATATGCGGGATCCGCGCGGAGATAGAGGTCCTTGACGTGTGCGGAATTGTGGATCGGGTCGGGGGTTGCGCCCGGGAAGGCATCTGCGGTGGCGAAGGGCCAGCCGTCGGAGCCCATATGCGGTGAGACGACGCTGACGTCGATGAAATCCTCAAGGCCTTTCAGCTGGCGCATGATCAGAGTGCGCGTCGCCCATGCTGGTGGATGAGCGGTCAGGGGCGACACGCATGCATATACGCCTGGATACTCACGGCATGCGTACGAGACGTAGAGATGGTATCGGCCTGCGATGGTAGAACGCAGAAATCGATCAGTTGTCGCATGTCCGGGCGTCCGCCTTGCGGTGGGAGCGTACCTTGCTCGGGCTCGAATTTGCCTCCCTTCTGAATGAAGCTACGGAAGGATGAGTCCTTACGCTTGAAGGAGCCGTCACTGTCGGTCGTCATCTTGTTAATATCGCTTTGGTGGGAGACGTCCTTAGTGCTCATTGCTCGTGTTTCCGAATGGATGCTTAGCCTGAACCTAATGCTGGAGTCGTGATGCGAACGCAGAGAGTGGACAGAGCGTGCGACGGAGAGCACAGCGCGATGAGAACGTGCACGCACTGGCAGACGAAGGATGAGGTTGCGAGAAAGGAGCATGCGCGCCGTGCGCTTTATGAGCGGTCATAGTGGGTCGTCTGTGAAGCAGATGACTGTTTGGAGTAGGCAGCGGTCAGGGCGATTACGAGTATGATTAGAGCAGGCGTCATCACCGAGCAGTTTGCTCACCAGCCGCTCGCGCGGCGGAGGTTTCATTGATCTACTTCGACGTCGACTATCCCTCATTCGCTTTAAAGATTATACAGCATCCACTGAACCTGCAGTACACATAGGAACAAGCCAACATTAGAATGTATAATGAGCGAATCACGCAGGACATGTTCGCGGATCATCAAGGTGCTCTGTATCCACAAACACAAAAGCTCGTCAGGCATTGGCCCTAAATTCCTGCACTGTGAGCACAGAGAAATGGTTGTCTTTCTCTACAGAGGCTTATTGATGAGGCTACCTGCGTTATTGCGTCTTCATGCATGCAGGAGCATTTTCCTCTAATGCGCTTAAATGTCCTGCATTCGAGAAAATATATTCCTACATCTCGTGTACACACGCTTTCCGCCCGAGTCGCACTGAATATTCACGGATTATTCGCGCTCTCCTGGGCCCAAGACTCCTTCATAGGGCTTATGCAGCCACTTCAAGGGGGAGAATGTTCGGCACCGGGCCAATAGGGATGATCTGAGTGGGGTTAAGGTGCTCCTTCACGGCATACGTTAGCAATTAACTTCGCGGTGCATTACAACTGCAGACGCACGAAGTGAGTCGACCAGTAATAGTTCGTCTTGATGTGCTCAAAGTTGCATGTGTCCTTGAATGCAGGATTGGTCCAGTAGAGACGGCGGAGCCAGCGGTGGAGGGCCGGGTAGCCGTCACGGATCAAACGCAGGTTGCACTTGAACTGGTTGGCATAGACGGGATCGAAACGGACCTGCGGGCACGCGAAGAAACGAGCACGGACAAGGGCGGCGAGTGAGTATATGGGCGGAAATGAAGGAGGGAGGGGCGCACGATAGTAGGGAAGAGGCGGACGTCGGCCTCGGTGAGGCGGTCGCCGATGAGGTAGTCTTTGCCTGTGAGTATTTTCTCGAGCCTGTCGAGCGACTCGAAGAGTGGAATGACGGCAGCTTCATACGCGGCCTGCGTACGAGCGAAGCCAGCTTTGTACACACCGCCTACATAGCAACAGCACATCAGCTGTGTCCTCAAAGGTTAAAGACGACTACGCGCGACGCACTGTTCACGGTGGTGAGCACCCACGAATTCACCTCATCGATCTCCCCCCTCAACTTTCCCGGGTAGAAATCCAGCTGCGCCTTCTCCGCCGGCAACAGTTCGTTGAACGCGCTGTTGAAGATCCTGATGATCTCGCTGCTCTCGTTGTTCACGACCGTGTCCGTCTTCTTGTCCCAGAGCATAGGGACGGTGAACCGCCCCCCATATTCGGGCTCTGCGCGAAAGTAGAGTTCCTTGATGTGTGCGGAGTCGTGGATGGGATCGGATGTCGCGCCGGGGAAGGGGTCCGCTTTGGCGAAGGGCCATCCCTCGTGGCCCATGCGCGGGGACACGACGCTGATGTCGACGATGTCCTCGAGGCCCTTCAGCTGGCGCATGATGAGGGTGCGCGTAGCCCATGCTGGTAAACGCGCCATTAAGTACGACCACAACTTCCGCAATGCTCTTCCACTCACGGCACGAATACGCGACATAGAGGTGGTATCGCCCTGCAGCAACGGAGCGCACCAACCATCAACCTCCCGTCAGAATTTCTGTCTCGCGAGCGATCGCGTACCTTTCTCGGGTTCAAACTTGCCTCCCTTTTCGATAAAGTTGTGGAAGGACGTGACCTTGCGCTTGGGCGCGCCGTTGCTGTCAGACATCGTTTCTCTTGACGTCGCTCTCGTTGCAGACGTGTTTGGTGCTTATCGCACGCGTCCCTGCCGTGGTTCGGTGTTAGGTCAAAGAATTCGGACCACGGAGGTTCAAGAACGGGTGAGAATGGCGAACAGGCAGGAACATCTATCTCACGTTTATAAACAGTCATCTGGGAGTAGCACTATCGTGAGCGGCCAAGATGATTACAAACGAGATGAGAGCATAGGAATAGGCGAAGGCGTCATCGCCGAAGAGGTGAGTACAGCAGGAATTCTTGAAGTCATGGGTGGGCCACCACCGGCAAGCGTGACCTCGGGGAGCTTGGTAATTCGGCTCGGTTATCCTAAACTCGATAGTACCTTATACGCGCATGCTGGTGTGCTGCTCGAGCAGACCTCAATTGAGAGCGGAATCTTGTTAGAGTCACAGTTCATCATGAGAGGTCGATATACCTGTAGTCTAATAGAACACAGCATGAATAAATCTTTGTACAAAATAACCAAATCCATCCTACTGTTCCGCAAGAAGACGCTCCGAGAAAACAATCCCAGTCCAAGTCCACAATTTAGTAGAACAGTTTTGCTCCCTCGACCGGCCAGTACAAGCAGTCATCGACGTGGCTCCACCGGCCGAGCGTCCAGATGTATCCCACAATCCCGAGGAGATACGCAATTCTGATCGCTATGAATCCCAATGAGCCTCGCTCGCTTCAGTTGGTTAAGACTTCTTACCGTATCTTCTAGCGGGAAAGCGTGCCAGCTCTACGTTCGGCTGTGGGAGGCCCATGAAGTTGCAGAAGATGTGCGCGGACAGAGGCGCGAGCAGCGAGCCCGTGCGCAGGAAGAGAAACGTCGTGTGGAATCCAAACAGCGACGTGTACGTTAGCTGCACGGCTGCGTGTCGGGGAAAGTCAGTGTTCTGCGTGCGAGAGAGCGCGACGGGACTCACTCGTGGCAAGGAGGGCGCGCTTTGCAGCAGCCTTTCCACGACCGTAGCGGTTGAAGATCTCCCATGCATGGTGTACGTGCGCTGCCGCAGGGGTAAGTAGGAGCGACAGCCGCAGTAAAGGTGAACACACCGAATCCAAAGAGCAGCGGAGTAAGGAAAATCATCTTGCGCCTCGAAGCGCCCGCCATGTGGTATACGGCAAGCGTACATGCGCGGAATACGACCTCCTCCGTCAGCGGGCCCTGCGCACATGAGTGAGCATTGAGAACATCTAACTCAATTAGGCACGCACGAAGATGTAGTTACGCAGGCCTTGCCATGTCGAAAAGACCGGAAGCGCGTTCCAGCGCCAGCTCCAGTTGCGCTGCAGCGGCAACGTGCCCGCAAGCCAAGCTCCATAAAGGGGGCCGAGAAAGAGGACGGGCGTGATGAGACAGGGAACGACGTTCTGGGCGAGCGTAGGGGCACGGTCGATTCCGAGGCGCATCACCGTCGTCTCAAGGGCAGTAGGAAGATCCTTGTTGGGAGGGCATGTCATCAACCACGCTTGTCCCATCGGCACAGTGAGCAAACCAACGTACATTCCATTGCCATTTGAGGCGTCTCCACACTACACAGAGCACGACCGTGCAGTTGGCCACGGTGCTCAGGCAGGCCGCGACGACCCTCGCGCGAATGACGTCCGGGTCATCGCGCCACCGCTCGTCATCCTCCTTTGCACGTTGTTGACCATTCTGTAGTCCTTTTGTGCTCACGTTCTTGAATACGAGACGCGCGTTCTTTGATATGTACAGCGAACCGACGTATGAGCATGCGAAGAACGCGGCGAGTGCGTGCGCGGTAGAGATGGAGATCGGCGGGCTAAGGAAGACCAGCGGCATGAGTTATTGCTTGGTCCTTAGAGGATGTGAGTCTAGAGTGGCCGACGCAGTGATGCTGGATCCCCACAATATATAGCCAAGTCGGTGAGTGAAACCTTAGACCACCTTGAGGCCACGGCATGATTGGCGTGGATGCAAAACAGGCCACATACTTAGTTCTACTGCCTCGTTCGCGCTGTGACGTACAATTCCTCACTGGCCGCCGTGTCAAACTCAGACAATAAAGAGAAGGTTGACAGGACTTACCGAGTTGTTGTTTGTATCCCCTTCACAAGCCTCGAAGTTCCTGACCGCAAGGCAACAAAGAACACGCTCAGGTACTGGCAGTCACCAGCCACTAGCGATTGTTGGATGGACTGGATGAATGTGGTTCTGCCGTCGACGTCGTAGTGGCTGGTGGTGAAGTCGCCTGTGGGCGCGTCGTCACGTTCGACGTTCATGATCAAGCGCGTTCGACACAGCCCCTCCATCTGTTTCTGATGCGCAGTATATGAGCATGTCAGACAGTTCGTGTCGTGGAACAGAGGATGATAATCGACACCAGCCAAGTCTCTGGTACGCAGCGGGTTTTCAATCCGAGTGCTCGACGTGCCTGCAACTCACGCCCTCATACAGATCCGTTCAGCGATGAGCACTCTCCTACTGAAACGGTCGAGACGCTTCCCGAGTGAGTGCAATGTAAACAGGCTTTGTCGGTTCAAGATGGTCGGTGCGATTGAGGATGTGCATCAGCTACAGGGCCAATGCTGGTACGTCCAGCGTCCGAGCGGTTTCCCTTGCATCAAGGACTCCAACAGTCTCTCGTCCACCACGGTGCGCACCTGTGCAATTCATATCGTTGAGTGCTCTGCTGACTTTTCGTCATGATCAGGTATCTCCATATCGAGCGACCCACGCAGCCATTGATCTACACCTTCATCTCATGGAACTCCGAGTCTATGCTCCTCGTGCCCCCGCGTTCCGTCGACCCCGGCCGTGGCGCGCTCTACTTCATCTCCGTGAAGCTCAACCTGAATCCGTTTTCCCCACTGTCCTACATCACTTCAGTGCACCGAGGATCTGATGCGGAGGGCGAGCTGATTGGCGAGTTTGAGTGAGTCGCGAGTTTGTGCGGGGTTCGACTTGATGCGAGCGTATCTCATCTAGCTCGTGCTCGGTAGGATGGGCATCACACACAAGCGCGCGACGGTGACGATAGGGCATTATTCGACGAGGCTCAAGAATATGCTCTCGAGCGATCCTCGTTCTCCTGTGAGCGACACAGTGGCACCTCCCCATTGGGATCCCGCTCACCTTGTTAATGTTCCAGCGACAATTCAGGTGGCGACATGAGAATGTCGAGCTTCGGTGGGACTGTCGCACGATACTGGACGACGGCTCGCCAATGTGTGTCGTGCGTCCTCTTCCATAGTACCGCTACGTAAACGATCTCATACGCGTGGTTTCTCAGTGTTCCGATCGTTCCTCCTCGCAGCTGGCGTCATTCGTCCCTCCCCCACTCGATGCGTCACCACCACTGCCAAATGCCACTCTTACTGTCTTCCCGGACGGCCACCGACTCTTTGACCAAATTCTCCTCTCGGCATTGGTGGTTGAACGGAAGCTGATGTTGGCCGCATGAAATAGGGCACATACTAGACCTAATATACCAGTTCCACAGAAAACCAGAGAGTCGTGAAAGTCGCTTCACTGTTCGAGTATTCATTGACAGTAGGATGTGCGCAATCTTACCTTGAGCCAAAGCTTCAGTTCATCACGGTAGTCAGCAACTGTCACCGTGGCAATCAGTGGACTCAAGCATTCGAGGTATCAGTTGCCACAAAAGCTTCTTGCTCATCGAACATGGTGTCGCCAGTTCAACTTGTCATTTGTATCATGAGCATGAGCAACGATTGGTACACGTATATACATCGAGCGAAGCAACAGGATCGTCACAATCTCTGCATAGCAATTCGTACAAGCAACAAGAGCACCTGAAATCAACTTACAGACTGGTTTTACACATTGCCATCCAGGCAGGGAACATTGAAACATGAACGTTTGAACCCTATTTCCTCAGGGCGATGAGCTCACGAACGGTAGATAACCAAGAACAAAGGGCGTATCGCCTCGTTCTAGCCAAAGTCATCAGTATGCATCGGTACAGCATGTATGCGGTGCATCACCTTATACACTGCAGACACACACTGTCAGCATCACAGAACAGTGAGCTCAACAAGCCAGAACTCACCAATGCTCTCATCGTAGTTTAAATCGCCCCCGGGTTCGCCCACGACCGAATCATATCCGCGCGGTGGCTGAACCGAGTCAAATCAATCATGGCCAACGAAGCCGGCTCAGTTGCTCACCTCTCTCAGGCTCGTATTGCCGGTCGTGAGCTTGATAGTCTTCCCCAACACGACATCGCTCAGAAGAACGGCCCTGTACGGCGATCCTCCATGCTCAGCTACGTAATCGTTCGACTATCGATACATGCAATGATGAGCCACCAATCGATCTTGTCATTCAGTGAAAACGAACCTTGGATGACGTCGCCGAGGTGTAGATTCCATGACCAAATCGGCCAAAGTTCGTCCTTTTGTAAGCCTGCGCAAGGGAGAACGATGACTGCGGACAAAGTAGACTTTATCAACCTGCTTGAAATGAAAATAGAAAGATATCTACGCGGATTATGCTGCAAAGTGAACAGCCTCCGATCGAGCAGAGCATCAAGTCGTTGTCGCTGTCTCCCAGCCGGCACTCTCGGACAGTACCGTGCCAGCGACGCTTGCTATTCCCACCTGGCAGACCTGTGCGTCTTTCCACAGATTGCCTAATCCGCCCGGTCCGCTTCAGTCATCCATGTGCATAAGAGGGTGGTGAATATTTACCGGTAGCGCATGAAGTTGTTGTTGTGGTTCTGGTCACTGTAGATCTTATAGACCTGTTGCTACGCGTCAGTGGGTTACGCTGCCATAAGAAGTGTGTACGCTTGCTTTTACAACGGTAGGTTTTGCCGTAGGATGTTTCCATCCATCCAAAAACTGTTTCTTAACTGCACGCAACGTCAACAAGTCAGAACCGCTTCCACAACCAACTTCATACCGTCTTTGAAAGAGATCTGGCTCATTGGAACACTCAAGATGACTGGAGCTGGAGGTTTTTCACGTTACTTTCCAACGAGTCGGAACAACGCTATATGCCTTTACCGTTGAGGATTGCGTCTTGTCCACATTTCTTCGAGCAAAAATCGGACAATGTACCCTCGATGGTGGCCTTCGGCCACTTGTAGCAACTAGCAGCATATAGTCGGCTTGAGATGTGCTTGATATCAAGGACGAGAGTGCTTACAACAGACAGGCTTCCGCTCTGCCGGTCTTGACGGCCTCGCTGTGATATTACATCTAAGTCGTCACTATCAAAAATGGCCATCGCGACACAGAGACGTACAGCCGATGTTTGTTCGAGCAGTAACCACTCGATGTCCCGTCCGCACCTACAAACGCAGGGCTGCGGCACTTCGGGAACTTACAGGGAACCTGTGATTTGTTGGCGGCCGGGGACAGTGCAAGACGCTCGAATTGATCGTGAAGCTCGTCAGAGACCATATGAAAGCTCGTCGCACAGCGCTTGCCACAAAAGTCGTGAGCTGTGCGGATGTTCAGTCCCCCACCGGGGCACTCAAACGCTCAGAAGGTATCCTAGCGGTAGAGACGTACCACGGCCATTCTCAACATAAACGGGTCGGGAATTGCAATTCTGTTACGATCGCCACTTGTCTCGTCAGTGAGGCTCCCATAACATATGTATTTATGGACTATACAACCTTGCAGTAACGAATCCCAGAGCGATTGCGAGCCATGGCGTCCCGATGGGTGTTACTACAGTACAACGAGATTGAGCCGCTGGAATCCTGCCATGCGGTCCTTGTGCAGCCTGGATAGCTGCATAATATGTTCTGACTGTTCATCGCCGTCAGAGCACACCAAAAGCTATTCAGACCGCTACCGATATCAGGAGAAAGATATGTCGGACTCGCTGCTGGGGGAAGTGAGCTGCTGGGTCGTGGGAGAAGCGCGTTCCCTTGAGCTAGTATGGCTCGCGATCAAACTGCCGCATGGCGACGGTTCACAATTTCACTTCACTTAGTCACTTATCCCTTACAAAAGTTACTTTTGGTTCACTTGAACCTTATTTTGGCAGCACAAGTGAAATTGTCGACGTCGGGCGCTTATTCTCGCTTGTCTTCACTTATGCTCACTTGACACTTCCTGCATGTTGCCCACTGAGCAAGTGAGTACAAGTGACCAAAAGTGAACCCAAAGTGAACCCCTGCAAGTCTCAGTGGCCCCAGCAAGGCCCCTGCCGGGCAAAATAGGCATCAGCAGTCGCGGTAAATCCTCTAGATTTGTTCCTCTCCGACCCTTCTGTTAACTGGCTGATTCATTATGCATCGGCCACATTGAAGTCAGACAGCTACTATGTAAATACTCCAAGGCTGTGTTATGCACCTACCTAGCCCGCCATCACCGTCAAACCGCCCAGTTTTCTGCTCGCCGCCTCGGCATGTTCACATGGCTCGTGATGCGCTGACGCTGATGTACAGTTACGTAGCCTTTGGCGACGATTCGTCTCGCGGTGGCCTGACTGTAATGTGAGTGTTCGTGACCCATCGCAGTGATAACTCACATCGCGAGCTAGACTGGTGACTGGAGCGAGGTCGAAAGGGCGGCAGGGCTGGAAGCGCCAGCAGAAGAAGCCTTGAACAAGCCGGTGCATTTGTGTCTGCATGGTGAGCTACAGGAGAATAAGTGCTCAATATAGAGGATAATTCCAACTCTATGCAGCCATAAGTGAACGTACGCGCTGTCAAGTGAGTGTAAGTGACGATACGTGCAGGATACGCGAGCATAAGTGACGATAAGTGAGAGAACGTGAGGGAAGCTAAATGAGCGAAAGCGAATGGAATCGCCACATGTACTATATAGTAGTGTTGCCGGTGGCATGTGGACCTCAATGAGAGATGGCGCGAGCTGACATTGATCGGATGGAGGGTGATAGGATGGTGATGCCAATCGCGAGAAGATGCTCAGGAACACTGACTTGCGTTTCGGTGGCGCGGGTGTTAAGGCGATAGGCAAGGAGGACATCTTGAAGTCTGGGTATGAATCGCGCAGCTTACCGTGCAGCTAGACAATCTCAACCACCATATGAGTCAAGGTGATATGTCACTACAATGATGGCTTGATGTAATGGAAAGCCCTGATGTGACAGAGTGGAGGACAGCTGAAAATGCACATAAATGCTGCCTCGAGGCTGTGTGTGTCATACTCGCGATGGGTCTGCTGCCATAATGGACGACGAGGAATCGAGAACGAAGCGAGGGAGGGCAACATGTAGCAAGGAAGAGCGGTGCGAGGAGCAGCGAGGTACAACAAGCTACAAAGGAACGAGTGAAGCGTGGGAAAAACCTCAAGTGGACCCAAGTGAGCCCTCTACGAGTTTGGTGGCAGCAAGCTACGATAAGTGAACAAAGTGAGCCAAATAAGTAACTTTATATTGCCTCCCGCATGGCCCTGATCAGCCCTCGGCCCAACCGTGCTACTCTTCGAGCTCAACTTTCACGGCCCACTTTTAATTCTTCATTCAATAAACGTCCGGTTTTCGACATATATTTGACTTTGATCATCTAGTGTGAGAGCTCATCATATAATCATAATCACCGCTCGCATGTTTGCCGTTGTCTTTGCTCTTCTTGCAATCATGACCTGTGTGTTCGCTTGGTGCATCATTCCCGTCCGGTCGTGGAGGAGGCCCATGACCTACTCATATCATGGTCAAGACTCGGTTCCTATGGACGTGGACGAAGAGCCCAATGGTATAACAGTGCACACACACTAGGATCTGACTTTTGCGCTGACCACCTACTCTCAGCGGGACCCCAAAGATATGGCAATTTACATGCTCGGGATGTTCCTCAGACCGACTATGAGATGCACGATTTGTCCAGTCCGCGTATGCGCAGTCATCGGCCTGTGAAACCCATTCTGTTCTACCACCGTGATCAACCGTATTATGAGTGAGTGGCACCGTGTTCTGGCTATGCTCACTCGCAACCAACGTGTATACACAGATTCACGAATTTCTCTCCTCATCCTGTCGAGTTTGCTGGGAAGGTTTATCCAACAGCAGAACATCGTACGTTTCAATGCGAGCCTCCATCTTCCTCACGGATGCTGAGAGTGGCTCCCAATCCCAGTGTTCCAGGCGCACAAGTTCCTAGACACAGATCCAGCACTCGCGGAGCGGATACGTCGGCTCCCTTCCGCACGCGCCGCCCTGGAGGAAGCCGCGCGGTCGCGCAGGCTGCAGCGCTCCGACTGGTTCGACGTCAACGTGGGCATCATGGACATGATCCTCGAGGCCAAGTTTACTCAACACTCACACCTTCGCCGCATGCTCCTTGACACGGGTGAGAGCCAATTGATCGAGGATAGTCCGGTGAGTAATCGCGATTCTGGCGACCATCGACTCGTATCGATTGACTATGTCGTGAGGCCGTGATGTTCATCATATATTTTTACAGGTCGACTCATTCTGGGGAGTTGGTCGGGACGGAAATGGCAGGAACGAGCTCGGCAAGGCGCTCATGCGGGTCAGAGACAGATGGAACAAGTCGCGCTTGTGACGTCCCTCCGGAGGTATGCATTCTATCGGAGCACATTCTCATCCTTACGCTGATAGTCATGTTTAGCGTATGCTTTGGGGCTTGTTTGCACATAAGCGTCGCAGCGCAGTCTGCATCTGGCTCTTGGTACTTGTGCCTTTGATACCAGTCCTCGGAGGCCCAATGGTGTACCAATGCTGCGGACTCGTTGGCGGGAGTTTCCAGCGAGTTTGCTCCTGCCCGCAAGACTTGGTGTTCTACGACCTAGGTGTTGCTGCGCGCACGATTGCACTTTTCTCTACTACATTTTATGTACCACATACATGGACCATACATACTATTGAGCTCTTCCTAGCGATTGTAGCGGATCTGCATCAAGCCCGTGTCGTCCTCCGTAGCAATAGCAATATCCATATCCAATACATCCCTAAAACTCAGCACCAAACATTGAAGCGTACAAGAAACAAGATCACAATTCACCATCAAACCCTGTACTTCCTCGATTCCGTAAAGAAGGGCGCTTTAGCATTTCCGCCCTAATTCATTCGATAAATGAGAAGGAAAAGGGGACGTATGGCTTCGTTCTGTTCAGTGATGTAAACATGGATTCGAATTCGTGCATTCGAAGCGTGTGAGAACCGCACCTTGTACACTGCCAACCATAAGTCCAGATCAGCTCACGCACTGTTGTCGGACAAAAGATGCTTACCAATACACTCATCATAGTTCAAGGATCCTCCAGGCTCGCCAGTCACAGAGTCGTGGTCGCCAGGCGGCTGGACGTCAGACATTGGATAAGCTCATTCAGCAGGCAGCATTGGAACGCACCGCCTTGAGATCTTCGTTATCCTGCATCAACTTGATTGTCTTACCAATAACTACGTCATTGAGGAGCATAGTCCTGTAAGGCGAACCTCCTAGCTCGTCATTATAATCGTTCGCCTAACGTAAGAACAAACAATAGGATATCAGCATCAATAGGATGTCGCAAGAATCATAGCTTACCTTGGAGGACGTGGCGGAAGTGTAGATGCCTTCTCCAAAGCGACCGAAGTTGGTTTTGGCGCCGAACTTCGCGAGCCGGAACGACGACTGTGCCGTCAATTGCAGTCAGTATTAGGTGGTCAAATGACAACCTGTGCCATGTACTGACTCGAATGATGCAGCACAGCGAACACTCGTCGTCGTTGCACATACGCAGGTTCAAGTTCTCGTTGTCTCCCAATTGGCAGGTACGAACCGTTCCATGCCAGCGCCGCTTGCTGTTGCCGTCGTCTAATCCACGTTTGCGCTCTACCGACAATCTGACGGGATCCTACATTAATTCGGAGAACTATTTTGTCAGGGCATTGCAGAGAACATACCTATACCGACAGAAATGTTCATTGTGATCCTTATCGCTGTAGATGCGGTAAATCTACGCGACCACATCAGATGATAGTTTTCACGATGGCGGAGTGCCTTACCTTCATGATGGTTGGCTTCGTCGAAGTCGGATGCTTCCACCCATCAAGGAATTGCTTCTCGACTGATCACACTGTCAATCTCAATGTCAGCTGACCTCGCATCGAAGACATACCCTCATTGTAAATCTTGTGAGCACTTGGAACATGCAAAATCCGCGGAGCTGTAAACAATATGTTGAGAAAAATGCCATCCTTGACATCGCTATTATCTTAGTCACCATCAGCCACTGCATCTTGTCCACACTTCCTCGAGCAGAAATCGGACAATTTTCCATTCAGTACCGATTTAGGGTATTTATCACAGCTGTGAAGTGATGTTGTGAGCTGTCTTAAGGGCAGGCTGCTGCACGACGAATACATACAGCAGACAAGCTTCGGCGAAACATTTGGTGACCGCCATCCTGTCAGAGCACGTCGTAAATAACGACGTGTATAGGGCAGCATCATCATACTCACGACCGATGTCCGTTAGAACAATACTGGCTGAATGTCTGATCTGGATTTTTGAAGGCCGGCTTGACACACCCAGGGATCTGGCATCGGCCATTGTTGGTCGGTAAGACGGCAGGCACTCTGGTCAAGGAATTCGAACGGCGTCGTCCGCCATTGCCATAAGACCTGGCACACCGAAGACCGCAGAAGTCGTGCTCTGCAAACGCGATAACACATATTCAACATCGACTACGTGGCAGTCATGCCTGCTAGACCTACTACGCCCGTTCTCTACGTAGACTGGCCGAACATTGCAGCTCTAGCAGGGCATTGGCTCACACGATCGCCAAATGGGAGACAACAGCGAGCACAGACCTTGCAGTTGGGGATGTCCTTGTTCGTGATCTGCGCCATCGCATCGCGATGAGTCAGTCCACAGTACGACGAATACGAACCGTCCGGGTCCTTCCAGACGGTGTTCTCGCATCCTGGATACTTGCATGGTGTATTCTGGTTCCTGCTCCTGTCGGGACACATGTTGAATCTGCTGTTGACTGTAGTGATTGTCGTGGGCAGAAGAAAACGAGGGTAGGGGCGCCTGGGAATATATATATACCCAAACGGAGCTGAACCGGTTACAGCTGCCTCGAACAACCGAGCCGCCTGGATTCAATGGTATCGAGAGCTCAGCCTGATGAGCTCGGGACAGAGCTTTTGTACATCAGCTTGATGCAAACTATACCACTCTCACAGATTGTCGTTTGTGTCTCATCATGTTCACTCGCTCTGATTCGAGATAGCGTTGCCAAATCCCCGAAAGTAACTTAAGATGTTCAACCTGATGCAGACACAGACGACAATGCCTAAGATCCACCCTCAAACGCTTGATCCCCACTTGGGACCGATTCCTGAGTCTCGGCGTCCTCTATGCGAATACTACAGGACTGCCACAAAAAGGAGTGCTCGAGAAGCTCAGTACAACTGCCGCGATGAATAAGCAGAAAACGTCTGATATTGCAGCGTTCGGTGGAAATTGATTCTCCGGACGTTGCATTGAGCAGACAGATTCTGACATTGTCCATCTTGCACTTTCAATCGAGTAAAGTCCCAAAAGAAAGCGCAACGCTCGATGTGAATGGGCACACATGATCTCTTCTGTCTCCAAAGAATACAACGCGGCAGAATGTGTTATAAGACCGAATGGGATCAGCAACAGATTGAAACAATCGCACGCACGGTCCTGTGGCATGCTGACGTTACGAGTAGTAAAGCTCTATTAGATCAGATCGGCTTTGCACGAAAGACACTAAAAGGAAATACTTGACATCTTTCAAATGTATCTTTACATACAATGTGCCTTCCAGAGTCAAAGGGTCGGGTGCATTTCCCGCATCATCCGACCTGCTGCATGAGACGAAGCAGTGGAGAGATGCGCAGACCCTATCAGGCGATGAGTGGCCAGTTCAATCGAGTGCAATTCAGAAATAGCCTACTAAAGGTTGCAGTCGCAGGAGCACTACACGCAATCGAGCCTATCCATGCACCACGAGAATCGGATGCGATCAGTCGCTCTCGTTTCACGCAATCAAGCGGTTTCTATTGTCTCTGGTAGCGGAAGGCGGCGAGCGGAAGGACCTGCGTTGAAAAAGCCCGAGCCAGGTAGAACCTCTCATTAAGCGCAGGCCTAGAGAAAAGCCACTGTAGGAAGCAGTTTATGATGGAACGACAACGGTGCGCATGGCAGCGAGAGAGTCAGGACGAAGCGTGACCATCCATAGAGGCTCCCACGCCACATCCCGCAATGCGCCTGTCATATCCCCGCCCTCTGCTTTAGTTACTTCTGGCCTTCCAACTGAAAGAGCTACAAGCTTCCTATAACATGCGCATACACGTTGAACATTGACGCATGATGTGCGGCGACATCCTTCGTGCACTATGTATTTGCCTTCTGCGCATGCAGGTATCATTACGGACTGGCAGCTGATGCGATCCTACTAGCGGAAAGTGCCACCCTTGCTGTCGCAGATCAGGGCGAGACGATGCTCACAAAACGACTCCTCTCCTAGTGAGCGTAAGATATATGCGTTGTAAAATACTTTGATAAACTGAAGACCTGGACAAAGGCTGGCGGTGACAGCGTGAACCGCGCTAATATGCCCCGCTTGACGTCATGTTCTCCGAACGCTCTCTCCGTACAACACATCGGCATTCTGTGTACAAAATCTAAACTATTTTGAATCTCGAGCTTGCTGCCTCCAGACACTCGCTTGAATCATCATGTTATCGACAAGTCCCCTCGCACAGATCCTCTCACAGACACTCGCCTACTCTACTGACTCGGCAGGCATGCACCCATCACATATCCTCCCGGACAAACTGCGCGCTATTGCTGCTGCAGGCTTTCTTTTCGCCGAAGTGGCATTCCCGGATCTCGAGATGTACGCGTCGCAGCTCCATCCAGACTACAAAAAGCTCGACGATGGAGGGCAGAGAGACCTCGACAAGTTGATTGGTGCTGCAAACGAGATCTCGAAGCTCTGCAATTCGTTAGGAGTGAAGCTATTGGCAGTGCATCCGTGCGTGATCTTCATTCAGGTGTTCTTTCGGTAGTAAATTGAGGGGCTGACGCCAACTAGCTTCTCCGAGCTCGAAGGATACGCAGACGAAGCGAAGCGGGCTCATGGAATGGAACGTGCGCATGCATGGTTCAAGGTGCTAAAGGTGCATAATCACACGAGTATACATTTGCATAAATGCGGCTATAAATTCCACCTCCTCGCTAGGCACTGAACTGTGAAATACTCCAAGTCAGCTCTTCAGACGACCCGTCCAGTAGCAAAGACCGCAACCTGATCGCGCGCGATTTGCGTGACTTGGCAGATGCTGCAGCAAAGGAACAGCCTCCCATTAAGATGTACGTGTTTCTTCTTCGTTGAATGTCCTGCGCGCACGCATCTACACGCTACCTGCTCCAAGAATTTCGCACATCATGCCGGCTCTAACTGCTGGATATTCGGTCCGCTGCGTGTCTCACTACATATGCGCATATACGTTACAGCGAAGTACATATCTGCGCCTAAACGTGGTCCTATCATGCGCGCATCTGACTGGATCCTTCTCGTTGCTTGTGAGACGTCTTCGTTAAGAGAGCATCCCATACACAATCCGGGATGCTTACCGTGACTGACATCATTCTGGGTCATCCTCAGTGCATACGAGATGTGGGCATGGGGTTGTCACATGTAAGCACCGATTCGGATTATATTCATATCTGATAGAGTGTAATGCAGTAACACTTGGGAGGATACCTGGGACATCTGCAAGCGAGTTGACCGCCCAAACTTCGGGCTCTGTCTTGATACCTTCCAGATTTGTGGTGAGTAGCACTACATCTTCCTATTTGACGTAAATTCCTATGCACCACCTCAGCCCGTGCTTTCGCCTCTCCCACTTCACCCACTGGCCTCCTTCAGCCGCTTTTCTCTGCATCCAACCCCTCCGCGAACCCGTTCAGTACCGAGTACGCCTCGCAGTTACTGCGCAACTCGCTCTCCAGGCTCGCCGACACTCTCCCGCCCGAGAAGATCTTTTACTTCCAGATCTCTGACGGCGCCCATCCGGGCGGGGCGAATGGCGGGAAGAGGGGTATCGAGGAGCTGAAGCAGAGCGCGCGCAAGAAGGGCATCGACCCATTGTACGCGTGGTCGAACGCGTGGCGGCCGCTGCCGTATATGGACGAGCTCGTGGGGAGGAAGTATGGCGGGTATTTGCCGGTCGTGGACGTTTGTGAGGCGGTGTTGAAGACGGGGTGGAGAGGCCCTTTCTCATTTGAGGTACGATGTATGCGGCTGTATGTTGAGATGAGGTATTTGAATGCCTTTTGCAGGTGTTTTACGAGCGCGACATGTCGATTGAAGACCCGACAGTGCCGGAGCGTTGGACGCGTGCGGCACAAGGAAGCTTTGAGCGAATCATGCAGGAGTTGAAGGCGAGAGGCATCGAAGTCTGATATGCAGAAGCCTACATTGGAGGCTAGTGAGGTGAGAGAGAGAGGCGCAGAGGCGCAGATCTGATGCTTAGAAATTGTTAGAATTAAATGGCCAGCATGAAGTTGCACCGTGTCAGACAGGCGAGGTGTTTCAACGATAAATATAGGTCGAGCAAACGTCGAGGACAGGATTATTTGTGAACTGCGCCCAATCTGGAACTGAGACGGAACCCGCGCTTGCTATGCCCCGTCCATGATCCTTGCGTCACCATCTCGCCTGAGGGCTCCCTGCTCAGCTCAATCCCTCCGGGGTCCGCTTTCAACACAGCTGCATCCAAATGTTACATGTTTCGTCGGCAATGCGTCATCTGAGGTCTTCTGGTGTTCACGAACTCACGAACCCGTATCCACCTCATTCTCGAGATGACGTCGCAAGATCGTTGTGCGATTGATGTGCGTATTGTGAGCGCACTGCGCGGAACATTTTTCGCTGCAAGAGCGTGTCATAGGGACGAACTGTCTATCTCTGAACGATGACCGAAGAAGGAAATTTACCCGTTGCTCTTCACGCGTTGTTCCCGGCCACATCAATTCGGGATGTTAGCTCATTCGCTGCATCAATGAACCTTATAACATCTTGTGAGTACATCGCTTCAATGATCTTTTCTTCCTGTTCACCTCACAACTGCCGTTATCACAGTAATATCGAATGACACTTTTGGCCGCAACCGTTGAGGAAGCATCGATACGCGTTAACACACTGCCGGAATGCTGAAATATGACTTAGTACTGGTGATATTGAAGCCATGCTAACACTCTCACAAGAGATTGAAGTTGTTGAAAGCAACAGAAAGACCAGCGTATCTGTGGTGTCACTTGCTCATCACTATGCAATGCTTTTATGGACGCTGTCGTGCTTCCGGTGAGTGAGAATTTCGCCGAATTTTCGAGTGAGTTGCCGTTATCCCAGCGTGATAAGAAAACTCGTTCTATTTGAATGATGTGGCACTAGGTGGCATGCTCTCCATTAGCAACAGCGAATGGAGATTACTATTTTTAATTCTACAGCTGTAAAGTGGAGGAGATCGCGTAGGAAATTGCTGTGGGATTACTGTTGCTGGTGGCAACGGGTGAGTTATTCGTAATTGAGTTGCAACCGTCGCCTGAGACGAAGTCATTTGGCCTTCTCACTGCTCAGCCGTCCCAGCCTTCACTGTGAGCGATCGGAGCTGGACACCGATGGCTTTGACGCTAGCATGCGATTTCGTCCCGAATTAATGTTACAGATATTGCGTGCAGCAGCTTCTTAGTGCTACACAATGCTATATGCAATAGTACATACTGCGTCAGCCCGGGAAGTATTGACGTTGAAGGTTTGACATTCACAATCGATGCTGGTTGATTGTCGTCTCTCACTATTCATCACCTTCACGTAGACGACAGGATGACGACGAGGAAGATGATGTCGTTCCAGACGCTATTACCGATGGTTCTTCTCGTTTGGAGATAGCTGCCGAAGGCACGATCCTCATGTCCCGACAGCTGTATGCTTAACCTTCTGATGATTGTGATGGGTGGTTGAGCGGGCCCTACGTTTTTCTTACGTACCAATACCATGCTCCTTATTCGCAACGTTGTCCGGAAGCTTCGTGTGACATCTCTTCGCCGTCGAACCCGACATTATACCGTGTCTGGATGATATTCGGACTTCGCTTGAACTTCCAGCATACAAGTGAAACATCACTTCACACTTCCTCTGGTGGACCAGCACGACATAAGTGAATCCTGCGCATTGCTGATATTATACGGCCGCATGTCAGCCCAGAATGTGAACCTTGTTCAGCCAGAATGAAATTGGGAAGTGAATCGCTCGATAAGATGCATTCTTCAGCCTTGAGTACGACAAGCAAGTCGGATTCGATATCTGTGCCTATTTGTGATGATCTGGGAGGTGTTGCGCGGTAGGCTTGCGAGGTGCTCGATGAACGCGATATGTCGATAGGACCCAGCGATGCCAGAGGGGGCTAGCTTAGAGCATATCCGCAGTAGCCAAGCGTTGAAGCTTGTTACATTGCCAATGCAGAGACTCAAGGTTTGTAGGAGTGAGAGAACTTTGTTGCTGGAATTTGCTTTGCGTGACATCCGACGACGGTCCTCGTGCAGGAATCATCCTCCCAAGGACAATGCCCTACTTGATGTTCCCGAACGCAATGCAGGTGTGAATATCGTGCATCAAGACTTCTGTTTCCGAGCGATATCGGGATAAGGCGATTCGTCGGACCCGTTATTGAATTGAATCTATCGGGCATTTGCGCACTCTGTCAGTCCATCTCCAGGCAGCAAACAGCCTTACAGATGCCATCCTTAGGCCCGAGTGCCTCGGATGGAAAATCGCATCCTTATCTAAATGGAGATGCGCAAACATCAAAGTTTCCGATACCCGTATCTCGAAGTCCCATCAACGCGGTAGCCACGCGCTATCAAAGGTAGGATGGCGAGGCAAACGCTATTGGCGACGTGGCCGTCCATCACGCGTCGAGGCACGTACATCAGGGGAAATGAAAGATACAATGAACGTGTCGCCATTAAGTGTTGGTGCGTGCATAACGGATGGCTGCGAGTGTCTGGACCGTCTCCCATCGTGCCGGAAGATTGTACTCGATGTTAAATGATGGGACGTCATCATCGCACCTGCTGCAAAGAAGTCGTTCATCTCGCTACTCGGCGATAACCTCCATTGCGTAGGCTTCGCAGTTGAAGGGCGCAGCATGCCTGATATTGACCGCGTTGCCAGAGGACGTCACGACGCTCATAAGCATGTGTGCGAAACGATCACGGGTGAGTACGGACTATATCTAAGGTTGCGGCGGGATACATCCGATGGAGTACGTACTCGGAGTTCGGATGTGCGCCGCATGGTGGGTTGAGACAGAAAGGCAACAGAAGCGAAGCCTGAGCTGACAGTGCGTTACGATTGCCGCCAAGACGATGTCGGTCACAGGGAGAGCGGCGTCGACACAGCAATTGAGCAGCCTTGAGGCATTCGGCGGACGCACAGGAGAGGAGACCGTCGCGACAGGTCGGTTGATGCCTCGCCACGACGCAATCCGTGCGGAAGATTGAGAGAAGCAACACTGCACTTCCACGCGTGGGAATGTCCAAAAGTCCGTTGGCTTTGTATTTCAGAGGGCTGCGAGGATGCATAACCCAGAGCCAGTATGTATTGTGCCAAAAACGTATCATCGTCGATCACTAAGTAGCGTTTCTCCCTCGTATCGCATGAGAACACTTACCATGACTTCGTGCCGGATGTCTTGCCACGTTGTACATCAGAAGGAGGCCCGAGAAGTGCAACGAGAGGGAAATCGATACGGAACGCATTCGGCTGTCTGTAGCACCGGAGCGTCCATACCGGTGTGGCACAGCATGTTGAGAACACATCAGGGTCGCGACCGAAGCGCGGCAGCAGTCCTGCCACCCATCGCATCTGGCGAACAATCAGCACACCCGCCATTCAGCGACAGGAGTCGTTCCCGGGCCTCTGCCGAGACGCACCCATGGATGCTGATCGGAGCAGCCGAACCTGCTAGAGTTATCCTAGCAAGAAATCGCAAGGCTTCTCTGGCTCTTCCTTGCACGAGTTTCGAGTCATATGCGATGCTGCAGACGTGTTCAGGTGCCAGGAGTGATCAGATAGCGGGATTTGAACGGACGGAAACGGTAAATGAATGGTCAGAAGCCAGGGAAATTAACAGGTCTCGGTGACCTCGTCCCTTTGCAGTGTTTGCACGCCCCCGGCAGAAGCGCTATTTAATTGATAACGACAGTTGCTGGTGCAGTTTGTAGGGCGCGCTGGTTGATGTGTCATTCTGCTGTAATGAGCGCAGCGAGTCGGCACAATGTCCTTACTACTGTGAACGTAAGCATCATTCCTGAATTGCGAACGAACGTGAGCGCCACGCTCACAGTTCACAGCGTTTGCGTTACGGGCACACAGCCTCATGAAGACCATAGCCTCCGTGATGGTACCTGCTGAGAATGGCGCAAGGATAGACTAGGGAGGCCGAGGACGAGCCTCGCCGGCGGATAGCTTCACGGCATGCGCTCGGCCGTCTCACACGGTCTGTCTGCAATCATGATAGTGGCATATGTTCGAGGATGAAACACACCATGACGAGCGCAGTCGTCAGGTGTCTTGAAGTCTGTTAAGGTGTAATTTTGACTAACTCAAGAAGGCTGAAGGTCGAGAAGTGCCTTGTCCGCAGGCTCTGAAGCATCGTATCAACGAATCATTGCACTGTAATTATAGTCTTGCCAAGCCGGTGATTGGGCGTTCCTGCGGTTTGAGCGACCGGGAGACGAGTATGCGAGCATATGGACTCGGAGCAGGCTGGAATCTTCCGAGCAAGCAAGCGCGGTGTAGCAGCAGACGAGATGCTTCGTGGTCGCAGGTTGCAAAGAGCGCGCGGTTGGGAGAATTGGGCGCGTGAGAGAGGGAATCAAACCTCTGACCATCATTCCTTTGCCTCGCCTCCAACACGTTGTTTTCCGCGATAACCTGGATCTCCCCGCCGGGATCTTTCTCACATTTAGCGCATATCTCAGCCCAATACACGTCATGCTAGGTTTTTCTGTATTTTTCTCAGGTCTTCCGATGACTACCGCCATGGTAATCCCCGTTCCAGATGGCCGTCGCGGTCCGTTTGCTGTGAACAATATAAGAGTACCTTGCGAAGCTGATGCCCTCTTCTCTTCTGTCTGTTGACATCGCCCAACCGCCGGGACCACTCCCAGTGTGCTCGCTGCCATGACCGAATACACCACTTCCTCAGACGCTGTTCGGGAGTACCTGACTGCCCAGGAACGCACCGCTCGATGGGTCAATGCACACTTGCCAAACGGTGCGAGTGCAGAGTTCCTTTCACCGTCGCATCCACCGTCTATCCTCGATGACTCGGACGCGCCTAGCTATGGCCCGGATTCTGACAACGAAAGCAGCCATTCGCTGCCACCACGGATGGTCTTACACTACGGGGGCGGCAAGCCAGATATACCCATATCTACGGATTACGGGGGCTCTCACTCGCGGACAGGATCAAAGACGCATGTTGCCACACATAGGCGTTCGAAATCGGGATCGCATGTGCAGGACCGCCAGAGCAAAACGTCCAAGACCCAGGTACCCTTCACGCAATCCGTTTCGTACGACCCGAGTCACCCTACCAATTCGCCGCCAGTAGAGGATCCCTATACGCCTCCTCACTCTCCAGAAAATATTATAATTCTCCCGTCCCGTCAGGAGAGCGAGGCCCAGCAGCCCACTCGCGAAGGCTCACAGGCAGCGCAAAGCCCGTCTCATAACTCCCCATCTGACTCTAGATCGCATTCGCAATCTCCATTAGGTGCACCAGGGTCTTTGTCGCTGCAAGGCGAACTCCCTCCTCTGCCACAGCAAATTCCGAATGCGGCCGAACGGGCGTCGCATTCGCCGTCTTACAATGGCTCCCAGCAAGATGTGGTTGCGCCATCGCCAATGCGCGCTTTCGACCAGACACGGGTCCCTCTCCCGGTTGGTCTGCCACCGATGGTCTATTCTCACTCGCGTTCTCCCTCCCACCCACATGCCCCGCCAACCTCCTATGTCTCTAGCGCACGCTCTGCAACAGCACAATCTCAGTTGCCCTATGCATACCACCCGCCAGCAATTGTCTATGCCCCTTCATCGAAGCATTCCAAGTCGCACTACAGCCCTCCTGCGATCGTGTACTCTCCGTCGGCCACCCAGGCCCCTCGCTCTCGTGAGGCGCCTACAATTGCATACAGTCATTCTGCACCTGTTCCCCAGCTATCTCACCGGCCTCGGTATGGCAGCACCCCTTACCATTCCATGCACTCTTCCCCGACTATCGCCGAGGAGCCCGCGCTAGTTCCATACGGCAGAAGCTACAGCAGCGGCCGTAGCGCGAGCCGTGACGCTCGCACCCCTGCGACGAGCGTCATGTACGTGCCCGCAGATCCGCGTCCGCGCTCACGGCCATCGCGCGACTCGTCACCCAGCGACGATGAAAGCGAGCGCGGGAGTCGCACCTCAGGAAGCACATACTACGTTTTGCCGACTCCAGGCCAGAAAGTCAAAATCGTCGTGAGTGTCCTGGTCCCATGATGTGCTGCGAGCCCACGGTCGGCAAAGGGCTCGCCCATTTGATATGTGCACGCGCTCACACGTTCTTCTGACTCAGGTGCCTCATGCGGCTTCTATCTACACAGCGACGTCGACGACCAAATCGGCCCATTCTCCGCAGTCCGCACATTCAGGGTCCAAACGGCCTTTCTTCCAGCGAATCTTCAGCATCCCGAAGCTGCCGGGCTCTTTGGTGAGCACGGAGTCGAGGGGGGGCATGGGTAAGAGGATGTCCCGGAGACACACCGTTAGCGAAGCTCACCTGCAAGCAAGCATGGGCGTTCCTCACCGGTAGGCTCCGCAGCTGGCGATTACCCTTGTGGCGTAATTGGAAGCAGCGGTCAGTGTGTTCTCATGCGCGTGACGCTGCCTGGTGGCTGATCGGTTATGTGAATTTTAGCTGTCGCACGAAGTGAAAATTGATTACGGTTTGGGTCGGTGAGAATTGTCGGCGTCCAGTTTTGCTTGAGATCATCGTCCACCTTTACCGCATGAGGTTAGTTTGCCGTCTATGACGATCACTCATTCCTGCATGATCCCCATTCGCAACGCTTCACACTAGAGTACTGTCGTCACAGACAGCATCATGTAGCCAGTTTTGATACCTAGGAGACACGAGATATCCATGGACAATTTTTGTCGCTTGTTCGAACTGATAGTCGGGACGACAATCAAAGTACACAAGTCCACAACTTTTGCAGTGCGGAACATCAATGAGCAGGAGTCATATCTCTAAACTAATGTTCAAGCGTTCTCCGTGCGAGGCCAAGTAAGACGTGCAGTCCGATTCAACGTTGCAACTGTCGCTAGCTTGAGGAAATTGTGGCCCAATAATTATTTCCATTTCGGGCAACCATCCTTGATCAACCGCCACCACGAACGTCGCTCGACCGCGGACCGCGATCTGCACATCGTCTTCGGCTGCCTTTAGCTCTTCCTGTCGGTCTATTCGGCCTGGTCATGAGACGCGTTGCTCATCGCGTGTTCAGGCGTTCACTATGCACCGTTTAGGAGGAGTCGGGCTGGCCGCCTTTGAGCGGCAGAAGCAACACGAACGCTCTTTCGCTGAACTATCGACGGAGATCTCACAGGGACAAGTCGACCTCCTTCATGCGCAGCTTGCCCAATTTCGCAGTTCGCTCTCCCACTACGCTACCTCGCACCGCGACTCCATAAGGAACGACCCGCAATTCCGACATGCCTTCCAGCGCATGTGCACGTCGATCGGCGTCGACCCGCTCGCGGGCCCACGCAAGGGCGGCTGGTGGGCGGAGATGCTCAACCTCGGCGACTGGCAGTACGAGCTCGGCGTGCAGATCGTGGACGTGTGCGTGAGCACTCGCGAACGTAACGGCGGGCTCATCGAGATGGGCGAGCTTGTGCGCCTCGTGAGCAAGCTGCGCGGCGTGAGCGGCGGCGAGATTACGGAGGAGGACATCGTAAGGAGCATCAAGACGCTGAAGCCCCTTGGCGCGGGGTACGAGGTCATCGATGTCGGAGGGGGGAAGAAGATGGTGCGGAGCGTGCCGAAGCAGCTGGATGCTGACCAGGCGGTCGTGCTGGCCGTTGCTCAGGAAGAAGGTGGGCGGGTGTCGGATGAGCTCCTGGTCAAGCGTAAAGGCTGGACAGTGGAGCGTGCTCGGACTGCATTAGACAATATGCTGCTCCGTGATGGTCTCTGCTGGCTCGATGAGCAAGATGAAGTCGATGGGGTTGCCTACTGGGTACCATCAGCGATGCATTGGGACGAATGATCGCTAGAATATGTCGTAGGTGAGTTGTCTATATCTTTTTACTCAGTATATGCGTTCATCACCGCTAATCGTCCCTCCCAGAATTGTATCACCATGCACATGTAGCTATGGATCGCATATATCTTCATCATCAAATTTCTTCCTGCATGTCTACTTCAGACACGTCGCGACATACCAGTGCGTATCGCACAGCCTGCAGGTTCTGACATCCAGCGATCCCACTCATGTGGTGGTGGTGCTGATTGGTCTTCCGCTGTCGTCGAGAATGTCACAATGGAAGGACACCCGCTATCAACCTATAGCTGGACATGCTGATCGCCTGTCCATAAGAAAGACGGGAGGTCGGATTCTAGCAAACCAAACAGTTCGAAGTGTGTATATTTTGCATCAAAGTGGCTGATTGCGTTGAGTCTGCCGTTATATTCCGTCATGGTAATCAATACCAGAATGCGCTTGCGCCACATAGTAATGCAGTGTAGATAGACTCATTTTGGTCGAATCAGCGATATTTTGGAGGGGGATGTCATCTCGCCAAGTCGCGACGGAGGTTATGGCCTCTGCAATGCCAATGCGTAGTGGTGGCGTGAGAACCATTTTAATGAATTCTAGATATTGTCCTCTTTGCTGGATTGCAATGTAGCCCTCCCGCAAGTTGTGTTCCATACTCCGTTCCACCTGTTCTTTCAATCGCTCTTTCGAACTCATGCCGCATAAGCGGGCAAAATACTCCGAGAGGGAGAAGAAACGCGCGCAATCGTACGTTGTCTTCCAACGCGCCTGTCTTGCAACTTATCTGATCCTGTGAAGCCTGGTAGTGGGCTGAACTTGCCCCCAGCAGGAAAGCATGCTATAGACAATGAGGACATACCCAAAGGAGCTGCTCGAGTATTGAATGCGGCAAAGATACAAGAAGAGTACAGACAGAAGCGGAAACGCGAGCAGGAGGAGAAAGACGACCTGCACGGAGGTGCTCCGCGGAAGAAGACAAAGCGCAAGGGCTCGCATGCTGCTGTGAAGGAGGAGATGAAGATTATGCCTGGAGAATCCATAGCACATTTCAACCGGTGCGTTTCCAGAAGGCCTCGAACTGGTCTTCTGCTGACCGTCGTAGACGAGTGGAGGATTCCATGCGCTCGGCGGTGCGTACTGCCGTGAAGCAGTCGTCTACCATCGTACGGAAGACGAAGAAGGAAGAAGAAATGTCGAAGTCTCAAAGCAGATCCAACGCGAAGGGTAAAGCCGCAAAGCCTGATGCCTCCCTTGCGCAAGCGGACTCTCCGTCAAAGCCTAGCGCACCAGTCGTTGAGAAGCAACAGAAGCTGAAAGACTTCGAGCGTCTGTCCACTGCTGCTCCGAAGCGACTGAACGATATCGTCCAGGCACCGCCGGAGATCAAGAAGCTACCGCGGGGAGCGAAGGCGCGTCCAGCCAACCAACCCGGGGTGGATAGTGGGACCACATTACGACAGGGAGCGCTGTCTATGGCGCAGAGGGCTATGCTAGAGGAGGAACGAGTGCGGGCTGTGAGGATGTACAGAGAGATGAAAAGGGCGAAAGCAAGTGGCTAAATTGTCCGTCCACGCATAGTATGACTATCATGACTGCTATGTAGGTACTTTTCGCCTGGATTCTATGCCTTATATTGTAGATAGAAAACGAGACTATACCTTCGCGAGCCCCGCCTACCTGAATCCCATCCTGCGCGCATAATCGCGCTCCTCTTCCTGCGTGAGCTGGTCCGTGCCAGTCCAGTTCGCCGAGCTCGTGCGCGCTCTGAAGCGGCTCTGGCGTGTGCGGAAAATGTCCTCCATGCGTAGTGGTTCAATGGCTCCGAAGATGTCATCCGGGTTCATCGTGCTTTGCTGTTGGAGTGCCTGGCGCAGCTCGGGTGACTGCGCCCACTCGGGTCGCTCGAACGACCGCGGGCGGTCTTCGTCTTCCGAGTCTGAGTACTCGCTGTTGATGTCCGGCAGCTCGATACTCTCGCTCGCAACGGGCGGCGGGGGACGCTGTGGGGTCTGCATCGGAGCCTTTGCACGGTTGGACGCCTGGCTCTGTGTGGGCTGCCGCTCATCCTCATCTTTGTTCGGCGCTCTGACCTTGGCCTTCGCTGTCGAGGTCGTCGCCGAGGGTTGCTTAAGACTGCTGGATGACGGAGTTGATTTGATCGTCTTTAAAATTTTAGCATCAGTGGCAGGAGCCGCCTTGTGCGGGCCGTCTTGCTTTGAGGAGGTAGCCGCCGCAGTGCCTCCTGTGTGTTTCACTGGGGCACTAGGCTGCTTCAACGCCGATTTCGGCGGAGGTCCTATCTTCATCGCTGAACCTGGGGCACTGCTGGTCCCAGGCTTCGCAACAACGCGTGGTAACGGAATGGCATCCTTCTTATCTTTCGACGGTGGCTTCTTGGCCTCAGGCTTCTTCTCATTGTCGGCGACAAATTTGCGTTTCTTCGTGTTGTCTTCATCACCCTGCAAAGGCAACGCGCTTTGTCAGCGCTCAGCACCTTCATTTCTTACATCGTTAACCTAACCTTTCTGATGAAGCCTTTGAGGGGCCGCTTTTCAGTGTGCTCTTCACGTTCCCTCTTGCGTCTCTCTGTTTCCTCCTTGAATCGCCTTTCTTCCTCTAAGGCCCGTGCTTTATCTTCCTCTGCCTTTTTCTGCTGCACCTGCAGACGGCGAGTCTCCATTTCCTTTAACCTTGTAGCCTTCTTATCGTCTTCCTCTTGTTGCTGTATACAGAACGCATAAATAAATCAGCATTTCCAGTGTTTACATGTAACCACGGACCTTCTTGGCGGCCTGTGCGGCGAGCTGAAGACTCTTGAGCGGCTCCGCTTTGCCCTTCTTGCTACCGCCCAGCACACTGCTGACCAGCTTCGATGCGTGACCAAAGAAGCCCAGCTGTGTCTGAGACGACGATGCCGTCGATGCGAGTGATTGTTGACTCTGGCTCCGAGGCCTGTTCGGAACAGCTTTGGGCTATGCGCATAGGAATGAATATCATGAGAGTGAAAACGATGAAACACTGCCATCTCACCTTAGTGGGGCCAGCGATTGGCTGGCTAGCCGGGATGTCTTCCTTCGGCTCACTGTCAGCCTCTTCAGCACCTTCAATGTCAAACGGATCGGCCTCCATAGCTACATCGGCAACGGCTGTGTCTTTCTCCTCCCGCACAGGTCTCGCACCAGTGTCGACAGGAACGGGAGGCGCCGTCATGGGCTCGACATGCTGCTTACTCGGACCACTGCCCTCCTGCACACCCTCGTCCTTGAAGAGGAACGTCCTGGTGAAATTCTGCGTGACTGGACCCGTGTCACCGCCCTTCTGGCTAGTGCTTTTTGTCGTCATCGTGCTCCACGTGTCATCCTTGTCCCCGGGCGGGAACGTGAACGGCGTCCACACTTCGTTCGGCGCAAGCTGCTCGTCAATACGCCAGCTGTCGTCGTCCTCGAGGTCATTAAGGTGCGTCAGCGCTGTGGAGTACTCGGTGTCCTGCGTCGCGGGCATCCACGCGGGGATGTTGTCTGCCTTGTCGAAGATCGCGTCGGAGAGCACACTTGCCTTGCTGGACTGTGCCGAGAGCGCGGGCGGTTCATGTTCCAATTGCTTGGAAGGGGCGGGCCCACTGCCTACCTTCGGGGGCGGCAGGAAGAAAGGATGCGCCGTAGGTGGCTTGAAGGAGAACTCGCTGGCTGGACCAGCATTTGTGGCTGTGCGTGGGTGCGGAGGCTTCGACGATGCCGCGGAAGGAGCAGTGAAGACGATCGGCGGCTTGCTGAACACTGGAGGTGGGGCCTGATGTGCCACGGGGACAGAGATATGCGGGGGTGTGCTGGGCGGCGTCGTGGACGTACTTGCATTTGCTGGTTGTGCTGCAACAGGCTTCGTTGAGTCCACAGGAGGAGCCGTTGATGGTGGTGCAGTCGCGTTCTCCAAGGTAGTCTTCTTTTCCTTCTCCTTCGAGGTCGTCAAAGCAGACACACTCAGGCTTCTGTCATTATCCTCCGAGCGCGATCCGTTCGATGGAGCCGAAGGCGCCTCGACAATAACCGGAGCAGGCGCTGCAGCTTCTTGAGGAGCATTTAGCTCGTTCGGCGTCGACGGCTCCTCCGCATCATCATCGCTACCCTTGACTTTGTTCCTCTCAGCGACGCGCGCTTCTGCGTCCGCGCGGGCCTGTGCGAGCGCCGCAGCTGCATTGCCGCCCAGAGACTTGCCCATGCTCTTGCCAGAGCGGGCGCCAAGGCCTTCCACTTTGCGGCGGAGCTGGTGCAGCACTTCGTCGTCATCGTCTGAGGCACGCAGCGGGACGGTGAAGTCTTCTGAAGGCTTGTGAGCAAAGATGAGGGGGGACTGTCGGGGAGGGGTGGACGGCGCGCGGGTCGGTCGCGGGGATGGGTGAGGTTCTTCCGTAGGTGCTGAGGCTGCCTTCTGTAGTGTCGGATGGCCTTCAGACATCATACTTGTTACCTTCTGCTTGTGCAAGAAGCTATCGCCATCGTCTTTGGCAACCTTGGCCACTTTCTGCAGCCTCTCGTCGTCCTCTGTAGCCCGACTGCTTGGTCCTGCTTCCGCACCAGAGGCCGTTGATGGCCCATCCGACGTACCGGCACTAAGCATCTCCCCACTCTTCCTCTTTGTGCCGATTGCGAACGGCCGAGCAACGTCAGCGCCCGATCCCGATCCAAGCGCGTTGCTCATCCGCTTCCCCGTCATCTCTGCCGCTTTCACCTCCCGTGCCCTGACGAGCCACGAGCCGCGCTTGCTGCCAATTGAGGGCATTGGCCCAAGCGCAGCACTCGTCGATGATTCGTGCGTGAGCCGAGTCGACTTGTGCGGCGGCAACGGCGCAGGCAAACCGATTTGTGAGAGGCTTGGCTTGCGTGACAGTACTGGTGCAGAATGAGCCGTAGGCAGACCGTCTCGAGCGGGAGCGGCGAGCTCGTTGGCGTGCTGATCCTTTGCAGGTCGTAGAATGGTGGGAAGCGGTGCGGTAAAAGCATGCGTCTCGTCTTGTGGGAGCGGCTCGCGATCGACGCGCGGTAGAGGCTCCGTGTAATAATCTTCCAAGAGATAATTTGGCGGCGCAGACGTGGAGGGTCGAAGTGTGGACGGACCGCGGGGAGAATCGAGCGGTATGGAGTTAAAGGTGTGTGAGGAGGTGATGGTGATGTCGCTGCGCACCACCTCGTCAAGATCCATATCTGCCGCGTCATCTTCGTCGTGGTGTGTGTCTTGTTCCGGTGGTGAATCGTGAGGACGAGATATCGGGGCGGGTAGAGATGCGCGACTGCGCTCGGCGGACTCGTCATCCTCTGCGATCACCGATAACTCCTTGTTAATGGCGTCGGAGTGCAATGCGTAGGCTGAGATGGTAGAAGAAATCAGTCCTTGATCTGAAGGACTAGTAATCGAGGGATTTGACAGCGAAGTAGACATTGGTGCTACTGGATCGAGAGAATCAAAGCTGCGTTTCGGCGCAGACATGTTCAGCAGCTTTGCAATCTGCGTGGTTCCTGAGAGTTTGAGGTCATCAAATACTTCGACGGGATCATCTTCCTCTGCCTTTGCTTGGAGCAACGCCCGGTGGAAGCCGTTAATCGAGGGTTGTTTCTCTTGTTCAGGCCCATTCTCCTGCTACCACACGGTCTGCCTAGAAGTCTACGATGGAGATGTCTCGCGTACCTTGACATCCACCCCTAACATTGGCTTCATCTTCATCGTGCCAGTTGTTCCTACTCGCACCTTGGAAGGAGCAGTCCTCTTCCTCCCCGGCGTCTTGAGTAGGTCCGCAACACTTCTGCAAGACTTGTCATGCAACAGATAGACAAAACAAGTGAAGAACTCACTCAATCTTCGACCCAGATCGAACATTGTCCAAGTAGCTGTCGAGATACTCCACGGTATTCTGTACCTGCTCGCCGAGAAACTGCCTTCCGCGATCCTGTGCCATACTGAGGCGAATGCTGTTGCACCATGCTAGCACCCCATCTTCACCAGAGTGAGGAGTCTCCATGAGGAGCAATCCAGTAGTCAGAGGCCCTCTTCTCGGTGGATAGGCCTGAGCGATGGTGAGCGGAGGAACGTTGACGGTGGCGAAAGCGCGACGGCTCCTGCCCATGCACGTGATCGTGACATTTCTTGCCATTGAATTTGCATTGAATTGTTCAGTGATCTAGCTACCGCCGTTGAGATAGATCTGCCAGGGCCCAGGAGGACCCTCTGATATCTGCAGCTGTTCAATCATACCAAGGGACTCAGGGTAGACTATCTATTATTCCGAGTGATAGACAACACGGCTTCAGGATTCAAAGTGGCCAACCCGGCTTTTAGCGCGAGCGCGTGTACCAGTGGTTGAACCGCGCAAATGCCTTAATTCAGATGGCTGCCGAGTAATAAGTGCATATATACGTATGAATTTTCCTGAAGCAGTTTAGCGAAGCGAAGTTCTGATAAGTACTCTGTCATCCGTAGGTTTGTTTGCTCCACGCGAATGCGCGAGATCTTGGGGCGTATATGCATGGAGGCGAACATGCTTGCCATTTCTGCTATGCTTTGCCGCCGTCGGTCACTGGGAGATTTCCATCGCGATCCCTCGTCCAAACTACAGTTCGGTTGTGCCACAAACATATCGTTATGTGCTCTCATTGTGCTTTCCTGGAATGCTGTAAGCTGTATAGACTTGTCGATGGACGCGTGGCTGTCGCGACCTTGGCGGTTCGGTCAAGGCCTGCCTTGTCCTTGTCTGCCTTCGCCGCGAGATCCGCCTTCTTTTTGCGGCACTTGTCTTCCATATTCCTCTTCTTCTTGCACGCCGCGGCAGCGTACGTGCATCTGACATTCTTCTTCGCGTCATTCTTGTTTTTGGACTTTGACTTCATCTTGCCAGCCTTCGCGAGCAGCGCGACTTGTGTGTTAGGTTCCTGAAGAGATTTCTCGAGTCAATCAGGACCTGGTTGAAGATGGTGTCGTCGAGAGCCTGTCTTGCGACGATATCAAAGTCGTGCAAAGTACGGAGTATGAAAGGGGAAGCGAGATGACCATAGCAACTGCGACCAACGAATCTTGAAGAAGCTGACCCGATGATGACAGGATGTACACCTTCTGGCGCATCGCATTGAGCTGCGCTCGAGAGGCGCTTCGTCGGATAGTGTGCCGTGGAAAAGTCAGCGATCAGGTAAGCCATTGTTTATTTACCCTCGCCCTCGTAGCACTCATGAAGCTTGTTCCAGGCCTCCTAGGCGGTGATGATGTAGAGCACTCCATTGAGAGGCTCATCTTCAACGTGAGAGTGATCTGAACGTGAGCCTCCTTGTTGCGTTGCACCCAGTCCGACCGTAATGGGTCTGATTCGCCGGGGTCCTTTTCTGAGCCATCGACAAGTGGCTAGAGTCCGCAAATATCTAGTACCATCTTGACGTCTGATCTGGAAAGCGAATCTGGGCAAGGCACAAGAAGCACGTTGTGACCGTTACAATTGGGCGCTTAGAGGGCGCTTAGCGGAAGGGGGGGCCCGTGTCCCTATCGAACTGCCCCAGACCTCTTTTCTATCGGAAAGAGGTTTGGGTACGAGACCAGGATCCATCGTCTTTGAGGAAGGGGACGTTGTAGAGGCGGTTGGACCCGAAATTACACTTCTGCGGCGGATAGATCGACATGATGGTGCGGCGTGCAGCGGATGTGTGCGAGAAGCGAGCGAAGAGGCGTTAGCGACTCCAGTAAGTCCCTTCTTGGCTTAGTGTGAGTGGCAGAGGCTCATAACCTTTTGAAGGGTTGCGGCGCTCGCATGTGTATCAGAAGGCTGTAAGGTACAAAGCCTCTCCGGTGAAGAGGGGATTGTTGCCTAGATACGCGGCAGCGTTCGGTGGGTCGTCGACGTAGAAACCGCGCTGGTCGAGTAGAGTACAGAGTAGTACATCAGCAAAAATGTCGAACACCGATCTGGGCCGATAACACAGACTTAGGTAGGCAATTCCCCCCGCAATATGACAATGCCAGACAATGTCAGATAATGTCAGGCAATGTCTCATAGTGTCCGGCTAATTATCCCAGACAGGTATGCATTGCCTGACTCTGTCTGGCATTATCTGACTAGTATTCAACAGGTATCCACAGATAATGGCACGGTATATATCGGGTTTTCCACTCGTTCTCTATCATGTCCGGAGTCTTTTCAGATAGTCTCAGCAGTGTAGATGTCCTTGTACTGATGCGAATAAAACTACGAGCATAAGATAATATTATTAAGATTTACTGGCCTAGTGTGACTCTCGTGCAAACACACAAGGACGTAGTACATGTACTACCATCAGGTCCCAAAAAGAGCAAACCGCCACTAAGAAATGATTACTTACTATAGTGCCGCAAAAGGGATGTCATTATCATCATCCTCATCATCCAACACAAGGTCCTCGCCATCTTCGGGTTCAATGTCTCCCACTATCGCTGCCTCGAGACCATCGTCGTCGTCATCTTCGTCAAGCATGTAGCCATAGTCGAGCTCCTCATCTTCGAGTTCCTCCTCCATCCCATCTTCTTCGCTAACACTGCGGCCCTCCGAGTCATCTTGCACAGCCGATGTATCATTGGAACCCGCGGTTGATCTATCCATTTCATTGTCTTCGACTTCATCGGATGCTTCTGTGGGACATACAGGTATGTGCACGACAGTACCTTTGTGTCCTATACCACCGCCTAGATAGCGCATGAACATGTCGCGATCAACAAACCTATCAAACAGATAAAACAGACGAGTAAAATATAGATCATAGCATAGAAAATGAGCAACTCACATATTCACGTAATAAAATTCATAGTCCATATCTTCTTCCTCCGGCAGTCTTGCACAGGGCGACGCTGGTAGCAAGTCTGCTGTCCTTCCATAAGCGAATGCTGGGATGATGTGTGCAGCTCGTATGATGACTGCAGGATTGAGAAACCTGAATGCGTTAGGATCGCTGCCGTCAGCGAATCCAATGCGATGCAGACGCCGTGTCTCGAAGCCTCCTAGAGCATCAACGTCTCGTCCGTACCAGCGAACCCAGAGAACCTCCATTCGTTGTACTTCATCTGATGTTCGGAATGGTCCAGTATGCCTTACGTTGACATGGAAGATACCGATGATGCGAGCATACCAGTATGGATGCTTGCTTGCCTCAGGATTATCGTCGTCGTCTTCTTCGTGTGCAGCAACCATAATATTTGGGTGGGTGCGTGGATTGATGGAATCTTGCATGCGGCGCATATCATATGTAGTGTAGTTGACTCGCAATACCTTATGGAAATACATTCGGTTTTTCTCGAAGATCATCGTGTGGTGATCCTGGTGAGAAAAACCTCTTTCATCGCCATCATATGGACGCCCACGCAAGCGACCAAGGATGTGGTCCTTGAGGAGCGGAAGGAAATTCTGTGAAAATGTCAGCATTTAGAACCCATGACAGATGAAATGCTTACTGCGCAGGCAGGGTCGTTTCTGTTTGATTGAAGCCATGAGGTAATATCTTCGGAATACCTCTGTGAGTCGGAAATGTGAAAGTGTGCTTCAGGAGATGTAAAAGGAAGTGGCTCGTCAACTGCAAAATCGAGTGTTGCTCCACGTAGCACAGCGGTGCCTAGCGAACTTCCTTTGTTCCTCGAATCTGAGGAATTCCATTCCTTATCGCAGTTGACCTTCTTCTTGGCTCGCAGTAGTTTTTTCTTCTTCTCATGGGATAGTCTATCGTCACTTCGCTGGATTCGGTGCAATGCCATCTTATGATGCTGCCGTCTTGCTATCTGACCTGTGGCATTGTTCTTGTTCGTCCTATTGTAGTCCGTCTTGACTGTCCGATGTTCCTCCTCACCCTATCAAGTTAGATAACCATGTCATTCATTTGAATATTACGCAAAAAATGATGGTACATACGATTTGAGATGTGTAGTTGTCTGTAGTTCCATATCGTTCGATGGTTGGTGGATAGTCAGGCAGTGCGTGCCACTTGTAAGTCTGCAGATTGAGTTTCTTCACTTTGGGACCCCTCGGTGCAGCTGCGTTTTGCTTCCGAGTCGCAGACAACTTCACGTTAGCACTCATCGCAGCTTCTCGACGTCCACGTGCAGCCTCTTCCTTTGGCAGCTCCATGGTGTGATATGCGTCGCATGTTGTATCGCGGAACTGGCGTACAACCATACCAAGACGTTTTGTTGACTGGCGGAACAGCAGAAGACTTTTTGACGTGTGTAAACGGAGCTTCGCATGGGCATGCCATGTAGCTAGTTCGAAGAGAACATCAATTATCATCTCATTGTGAGGAGCTGGCAGGAGCTTTTCAATAACCGGAATTATGCACTGCAACATAAACAATCATATTTAGAGCCTTGCTGAGCGCAGAATGGAGAGAAATATACCTGAAGGATGTCTTCATAGTCACGCGCAGCAAGCTTTTTCAAGCCTGACACATTGTTGCCTAAGCGACGAACTGTGTCTCGTCCAAACGTTGGAACCTTGCGAAACCTAGTGAAAAGTGAGAAGCCAGTCAGCAAGGGAGAACAGTCAATACGTGCCTCTTGTTGAATCTCTGAATTGTGTTGTTACCCTCGGCATAGAGGATCTGCAGCAGATGTGTGAGGATCGCTTTCCAAACACCAAGCTCGAATTCATGCATGAGGTCGACTACGAACATTGGGTAGAAGTCAAACTCTGATAAACGAATAGAGAATGCGCTCTAGAACAAATAATAAAACAATCAATGTCGAAGATCGTATAATAGACATGCATTAAACGTACCCTGCTTGGCACCAATGAGTAGCGATCTAAGACATTTGCGATGTGTTTGCTTCCGGGGCCATAGCCCTTCTCGAATATCCAACGTCGCGTCTTCATAATATCATACTGTACAGGGTGTGAATCTGCACGAAACTTTGCCCGTCGGAGCATGTCCATATGCGAACCCATATCTGGAATGTCAGCCTTCTTGATGAGACAGCGTGGGCACGGGCATTGTGCAAGATAGCGGATGCATGCAAGAAGTATCCTTGTGAGAAGTCAGTACAATAAATAATGAAAATAAACCCTATATCACTTACTTCTCAGGATAATCTGCAGAATATGTAAAGAACCTCAGAAATAGTCGACGAAGGACTCCATCTCCACAACGAAGAAGAATTCCATGTTCATAGGCATGCATAAACTCAGGATCCAGCTGAAGTAGCCAGATCACATGATACAGCTCACGTCTGCAAAAGCGAAGGACATCTGCACTTGCAGGCTCCCCATATGTCTCCTCGTACCAGTCTTGAAAGTCGTCAGGTAACTATAGGTGACGATAAGCTTTTTCAATCAGACGACATGAGAAACAAGTATGACGTACTTTAGGTATATAGGCAAGATGGTGTGATGAACGCGAGTGTCGCTGGGCACGCTGATACTTTGACTGAAAGCCAAAGTAAGCATAGATGGGCCAGAGGGAAGCTGTGCCAAAGTTGGCAAGATGTGTAGCATCTGACTACAGCATGATTGGAACAACAGCAGGCTCCACGTCATCTGGATCTCCAGGTTCACGAGGTTGTGCATGAATCTTTGCGTCTTCCTCGAGCATCACATCCGAATTGTAGAGCTCACTATAGATGCGTACATTCTCTGTCTCAGCTGGCATCTGGTCTACTGAGGATCCTCTTGAAGTGCAGCCGTCATCCTTCGGACATTGCCAGAACTCCTTGAATGGCCGCCAGTTGTACGTCTTTGCATCAGGATCCTCACAGACCTCCCGAATGATATCGATAAGACGACGCATATGAATATCTCCCACTTCGAATGTAGGAGCATTTTCCTCAGGTAGCTTGACCTTCTCTTTTGGCACGGGTATCTTGACGGAGTACTTTCTCCAGCCTGCAGAAGCAGAGAAGAAACTGTCACCGGAGTCTGTAGAATCCAAGCGAGAGAGTTCTTTTGAAGCTCGAAAGCCATGAAGATCGTCAGGGTTAAAGTCGTCAGCCAGAATGACATCATGCACAAGTCGATTGAGCTCTTTGTTGGACTTCAGGTTGGAACCTGTGTTCCCCCACATGACAACACGAGCGATAGTGGGGTTCTGGAAGGGGTGGTACCATTCTCACGCTCGCTCTTTGCCTTTGTTCTTGGCCAGATGAGGAGAGTCACAAGTGTCATCGAGAGATGTGATGTCACAAGCCATACTGGTCGGCTTGGATGCATAGCGACGGAATACACCAAACACGTTTGGCATCATATCGTGCTCAAGTACTGTGACTGGAGGCATCTGTGAGATGTCGGATTCATCGGGAACCTCCTCCACAGTGACAGCATGAGTTTGTTTCAGGTGAGAAGGAGCAGCAGTTGGAGGTCGTGCTATATGAGCTGGTAGACCGCATGTGGTGGATGGAAGAAAGTCCTCAAGGGCACGAGGTGCACGTCTTCTGCGACCACTGCGGCTGAGAGAAATGGGTGGATCTTCATGAGACACTATTCCTGTAGATGAGCCTTCAAGAAATTCCAAAGGAGGCTCATCCGGCTACTAAGGTCATTAAGGATTCACGCTTCAATCTTAGCTATAACTCACAATGTTCACTTGCTCTTCCATTACCACTCTATCCTGCTCTACATCTGCTAGCCTTGGAACCTTGGATGCCCTGTCTGCCTCCTTCTTTGCTACGCGCTTCTTTACGGAGGCAACAGTAGCTGCCTTGATTGCTTTGCAGACCTTGTAGTGCAGTGTGAGTCCACGGGCATCTTTACAGGCCTTATTGCAGGCATAGCAGATAGAATTAGGCATCGTCTCAGCTTCTAGAGTATGTGGATGAAGCAGCAAAGAGAATGAATAGCGGAGTGAGTGAGTAGCGGAGAGCTCAGAATTGAATTGATGACTTCAAGACGCGTGTCGCGACGTGGAGGCTTAGATCACGTGATCGCATCCAATGCCCTTGACACGGACATGGCGGGTGATGTCCATTGTCAGGAGCGAAATAAATGATTTTGACAGAGTGATGGATGCCACATGAAAGGGTTGAAAGCTTTTTGAAGTGATTTCGATTGACGGTAAACACCCTACAATTCGTTGTGTACGGGCGCTTACTCATAGGCGCTAAGTTCGCTTGCAGGTGAAGTGATCCCTCTGACGCGTTCAATCACTGCTCTTGTGTGCGCGTCCCCGCTGAAACGGCCTCTGCCCCTTCCCGCCGTCGACTCGATGTACTCTCGAATAACCGCTCGCGCGCCGCTGCGACTTTCTCATGCACGCTTTCGCTCCATCACTCGGTCCTGACGCTCACGGCCACGTCTGACGCTCGCGGTCAATCGCCAAGTTGCTCTACGTGAACCACGCATCTCTACTTGAGCTCTTACAGTCGACGTTCATCGCTCACGCTCGCGCACGTACTCGCTGACATCTCCAAGTCGAACTCACGTTTCATGGAAAGGCTAAGCCCAGACGCGCACTGACCTCATGGTGCGACGACGACGTACTCCCGTGCCCTTCCTCCCTGCAAGCAGCACGGTCGGCAGCTCGTGAGATGAGAACAGGCCGAGGCGCACCGCACCGGATGCTCTATGTGGGAGAGGATTCGGCAGGCAGGGCGAAAAGGCGGCGATGGCGCTAGGTGCGTAGCCTTCACATAGATGTTCCTCTTGTGCACGAATACAGCGCTCGCGTGCCGTTGCGACTTTCCTGTGCGCGCACTCGCTCCATCGCTCGATCCTGACGCTCGCGATGCTCGCGGTGAGTCGCCAAGTTGCTCTACGTGAACCACGCATCTCTACTTGAGCTCTTACAGTCGACGTTCATCGCTCACGCTCGCGCACCCTACTCACTCGCATCTCCAACTCCGACTCGCGTCTCATGGAAAGGCTAAGCCTGGACGCGTACTGACCTCGTGTCGCGACGACGACATACTCCCGTGCCCTTCCTCTCTCAAGCAGCACGCACCGCACTGGATGCTCTATCAGCAGGCTTAGCGGAAAGGGGTTCAGCAGGCAAGGAGAGAAGGCGGCGATGGCGCTAGCTGCGTAGCCTTCACATAGATGTCCTTCTAACACACGAACCCAGATGCGATAGCGGTTTTGCCGGCAGGCGGCTCAGCTATGCGTGCATTGCGTTTAGTACTCATCTCTCAACTCTGCGAGCTCGCTCCCGTGCATCGTCGGTCCTTCGTGGCTACACGCTCTGTTGTAGGGTGTCGGGAACGCGGTTCACGTATGCCCCCATCGGTCCAAGGTACGTCATCGCAAGCTATTTAACCTCATTCACATTCCCTTCGTCCACGAAATATATTTCCTCCTTCCATCTTTCGATATGGCCTGAAAACATTCATATGCGTCTCGCGACGTGAGGTCACGCTGTGCCCGTCGGTCCATAACGTACCTTGGGATTGCGAAACGTCTGCGCGAACGTCTGCGCAGGCTGGCGTGAGTGCGTTGTGCAGCGAATGCGCGGACGAGACTTACAGGGCGATGTCCTCAGCGCGCGGAGGTTCTTGAAGTCCGATGGTGCGCGTCGGTCGCGGTTGGTTTTGCAGCGGGTGATCTTCGTTTCAGTGATCGGACGGGGCGACCACGGTGTGCGACGTACGAAGCCAGCGTGAAATGAAAGGGTTGAAAGCTTTTTGAAGTGATTTCGATTGACGGTAACGCCCTACAATTCGTTGTGTACGGGCGCTTACTCATAGGCGCTAAGTTCGCTTGCAGGTGAAGTGATCGTCAAATCCAGTACTATAAGGCGAGATCAATGAGACAATTACAAGCAGTAATTACAAAGAACACTAGTGTAAGACGAGATGTACGCATTAAACATGGCCAATGGACTTCAAATACTTGACAGCCTCCTCCATTGGCATCTTGCCCACCGGATGATCGTGCCTCCCATGACCTGCAAAGCCGGATGGTCCGAATATACTTCCAGGTGGAAATACAGGCATCGAGCGTGGCTTGAGGTGGCATGAACACTGACACTCTTTGTAGATACGGATGTTATCGCTCCTACTGCCATGAGACTTCTAATTGCTTAAGTACTCATTATGAATGCTTACCTTGGCCCGGAAAGAAAGTCCTCTGGAATAGGAATATATCCTTCCCTCTCAGCCTCATACTCCAGTTTATCCACATCTTCTACGGCACTCTCCAGGTCCTGCAAGATGCGCTGATAGCGTCCAATGCACTCGCTTGTATCAAGATTGCCCTTTGCATGGCGAACCAAAGAGAGTGCAAGGATTATAGAGGCAGAGGCCAGCCGAATAAGAGTGCGTGAAGCTGAGCAGATGCGAGGATGGGCAATTGAGCGGTGAGCACCTCGAGTGATCTTCGTGACGACGTTAGAAAAGGTTCCGATCTTGCCCAGTGCGAAGTGTAGTCGGGATGAAACTCGCTGAAGGTCGGTGATGGCAGTTGGAACAGCAGACATAGCAGAAATTGTCTCGATATCAAGTGCAGAGAGGTGTTGCATGATGGGCTCAGTAATCTGGGTGACGCGTGCATTGAGAGGCGCATATAGTCTGCTCACGGCAAATGCCAGAATGAAGTATAAATGCGTTCAGGCACTGATGCGATCTCATTTCACTCTCTATCTCGAAGAAATATCTCTCAGCTCAATCTCAGCCAAGCCTCCTCGGCATCAACATATGGCCAACTCTTCTCACGCAGCGAAGCATTCCAGCAAGTCCAAAAATCACTCAAAGGGTGCAAAAGCGTTGCAAAAGCGCCCCATGCCTCAGCTCCATGACGATCGTCCACCACCCAAGAAGGCACGAGCAAGAATCTACAGCGATGAAGAGGAAGACATTCGACGTGATCGTACTAGACCACAAACGAGCACTCGCTTAGTTGAACATCTCTTCGATGACGATGTCCCATGTAGGCCGCGTTCGCACAGCACTGGACAAGATAACCAGCAAGATGAAGATGATCAACAGGAAGACGAGGAGCAGGAGGATGATGGCATCGAGCCGAGGCATTTCGAGAAGCTCATCCGTGAGATGCACTATAGCAAGGCAGACAAGTAAGTCATTTGTTGTTGCGAGTTCAGTACTAATGTCCCACGCAGGAGCAAGCTTGACGTATGGAGTGATGCAGCCCGTTTCATCCCTCGAGCCATGGGGCCTTTCATTGACATTCTCCAGACTCTGCAAGTCGGCATAGCATGTCATGGTGTAGCTAAGGATGCATGGGATCTCACCGACTGGCCTTATCTGTGAGTCTATCACATTATAACTTATTTCCTGCACTCCAGAGCGCATATATATGCATATATGCAGTGCTTACAAAGTGTTTAGTGATGATGAGAGTGCTTCGAAGCTCATAGAGCATTACAGCACTCTCCTGAGGATCATACCTGGCCTGGCGAAGCTTGTTCCGCACTTTGAGAACGAGCCAGAAGACCTTGTTCACTTCGCCACCTTCGTGAGTCGCTGCAGCTTATGAATTTAATTACTCACAATACACATCTTTCTTCTCAAGCTGTCTCGCAAGGCCCGTTCGGCGCGCACGGACGACCTCAGCAATGTAAAGAAGAACATATTAAGATTTGTTCCGACAATCAGAAACGTTCCGTACATCGACTCTGAGCATCCGAAGGAAGCACGAGGATTCCATCACTTCGCGACTGCACGTCTTTTATGCCCTCGTCGAATACGCGAACACTTCGATGAGGACCCCGAGAAGTTACTCACCTTTCTGCCAATGTTATCTTATCTGAGTGTGAGGTTTTCAGGTTCTGCAAGGATGTCCTCGAGGGCCAGATTCCCATTGCATCCACAGACCTCCCATCGATGGTCTATCCTGAGAATGGTTACAATCCGTGTGCTGTCGATGAAAATGCCTTGAAGAGTGACCTGCTGGCTTCGGTAAGTGATAGGTTTATCTGTATTGCCACACTTATCGCTATCTAGTGCTTTCGAGCGCTGTTCACGAGACCTCGCAGTGGCAAACTGCCGAGGAACAAGGTCCCTGGTGAGCACAAGAAGGGAGGTGGACATAACCCTATCGCCTACAATTACCGCATGAAAGAATGCAACGAATACAACATTGCGTATCTTGTAACTTTGGTACACGATTTCGATTTCTAGTATCCTGATCTCATTCCACTTTCATTGCAGGCTCGCTTTGCAGCAAACTCCCAGTCCGAATGGACTGAGGCAGACGACGACTTCTGCAGCGAAGAATTCTTCAATTTCATCCTCGCTCTCTTTGAAGACCCCGAGTGGCGTGAGAAGACACTTGCTTGGTACAATGCGTAAGTTCGCCCATTATTAGCTTCGCCTGTTACTGACATATTTTCTTTATAGTGAAGTATTTGGAAAGGGACCTCGCGCAAGCAGCGAGGACTCAGCTCAACTATATGTGGGCCCATCTTCGCTGGATCTCCTCACGCAGCAGCGTGCTGCGAGGCGTGCCATGACGCAGGTTGCCACTCCTCCTCTGTCAAGCGAGGATGGTAGATCAGAGATTGAAGAGCCCGTCGATGCGAGTACAAGCCTCAGAGCTTGAGGAACTGGATTAAAATCGTACGTGTTGTCTGTCTTTCCCCGTCGAGTCTGTGGGCTCACTGTTATGTTACTAGTGTCGATTTCACCGTCAGTCCTTTGTACTTTCTTTATTGCATGCTCACAGGTCCGCTTTCTCACTCGTTTGTGAATCTTTTGCTCGGTACTGCATATCATACCCTTTCATTCCAATACCTCTGTTTTGTAACAGATTGCAAATTTCTTTCCATGCATGTATGACTGCTGCATTCACTGTAATAATTATGAATAAAATATGTATTAAATCGAGTTTATTCTAATGGAAGCTGTATGGTGAATAATGTATCTATCTGGACAATGGGTTTCCTGCATTACCTGAGCTGATGGAAATCGCCCGGCATTCCCTGGGCCTCACCTGGCATTACCTGACATTGCCTGACAGGAGAGGGAATTGCCTGTCATAGCCTGACTGGCTGGCAGTAGTCCTGGCCCGATGGTGGTAGCCCTGGCCCGATGAGGGTAGTCAAACCCCAAAGGGTTACAGATAAGCATGGGCATTATGTAGTCTGTCAGACGAGGTAGATATTGCGAGAATTGCGCAGATTTGGGTAGGTATGTACAGATCCGCCTTCGACATTTTTGCTGATGTACGTCGCCTAGAGATACGATGCGAGAATACGATAAGGATGTTCGATGAGAGAGCTAATTCGCGTGGCTTATCCGAAGACGTAGCGCGTGACCAGCCGAAATACTGATCCGAGTGCGCAAGTCTTGGTTCAAGGGGGATAAACTGCTCCATTCGTGGGCGGGAGGGCGCCCTAATATACATGTACATGACAGCGGATCGCGTAGCAAAGAAGATGTGGGGTTTTCTGGTTATGGGGATGCAATCGCGTGAGACATTACTATCTATGGTAACTGTCCAGACATAAAAGGAAACTTTGAAATACCGAATCATTGGGGCCTTGTCCTCGGCGACAGACTTCGTTCGCGGTACGTCCAGATGGTTGGCACTGGGGAGCGCTGTCTCGGCGAGTTCGGACCCTGTGGGAGATCGAATTTACGAGTCGCAGCCCGCCACCCTCGGACGCGCGATCGTCACCGCGGGCCTCTCCTCGCCTACGTCTCCCTGACCTCTCGTCCGTTCGCCCGCGTCGGAAGCTGGTAGAGTCGATGGATACACAAATCATATGCATGCACTAGAAGAATCGTCTCAAATGAAAGAAAAGGATGAATTACGGTACCGGCACCTGTCTCCTCCACAAGAGGGGTCGACTTCGCGTCTTGTCCCCAAGACTACCACAGCGGCTCATAATATTGCGCGATGAGTGATGCGAGTTCGGCGACATTGGTATCAAGAGAGAGGTGACGACCACGAAGACGAAGATGGAGGGGTTTTGAAGTTGCTGCGTTGAGGTCGATGGTCGGTGAAGTCGTCAGTAGTACGTCGTCCGGAATGGATCGAGTATCGGTTGACTGAGGATAGATGCAAGAGTGGAAGGTCTGGTGCATTTTCCTGTAATAAAAAAGCTTGACACGATTAGCTGCGACTGCCTCTTTGAGCACGGTGCCGTCGAGCTCCTTCAGACAATAGGAACCTGAGGCGTATCGTTCGTGGACGACATATGGGCCCGACCAGCGAAGCGCGCCTTTGTTTCCGTGTTGCGCGTCCAACCAGGTCTCGTGGACGAGTACCCAAGTGCCCGGTGAGTAATCGCCTGCAGTGATCGTCCGCTCGTGTACGCGCATGTAGTCATCGATTGCGCATTGTTGGCTCTGGCGTAGATGCTCGATAGCGATGCCGATATGCTCTTCTTTTCAAGCGAGTTGTTGAAGCTGAAGCATGATGAGATCTTCGGTAGAATTGACTTGATCCCAATCTAGAGCATACCAAGTGCGATCAGTGAGGTCAAACAGAAATAAGAAATGTCTTCCGTATAGCAGAAAGTAGGGCGTATAACCAGTTGCGCGCGATACGGTGGTCCGCATGGATTGCAGCCCAGCATGAACGAAGAGCAGCCACTTCGTTGAGGACTGTCCACAGCATCGCAAGATCGCGCAGGTAAGTGTTTGGCCATCGCGTTCTGCAATACCGTTCCCCTGAGGATGATACGGTGAGCTCATAACGACCGCGACACCATGCTTCTCGAGTAGGAGACGAGTGGCGCCTTTGAATTCCGGACCACCGTCACAAATGCAAACCGGAATGCACCCGAAACGACATAATACATCCTCCCACAGAAACTTGGCCCAGTTCTGCGCTGTGTTCTTAGCAACGGCGCGTGCTTCTGGCCAGCGGGAGACATCATCTGAAGCATGAAGAAGATACCGCTGTCCTCCATAGCCCTTCGGCATGTGGACAGTGTCCAGCACGGATCACCGAAGGATGCTGGGTGATATAGTAAGCGTTAGCGGCGTCTTGTTTTGTGTGCGCGCGCGATATTGGCAGCCATTGCAAGAGCGAATGAAATACGCGATCTGCAGGTACATGTTCAGCCAGTAATATCGGTCCGCGAGTTTTCGATAGGTTGGATCGCGTCCACGATGGCCGCAATCGTCATGTGCTTGCTTGAGAAGATCCAAGCGTCGAGAATTGTCAGCAATCACAAGACGAGGAAGAGCTTTGCGGTGGATTTTCCACAACCGCCCATCATGTATAACGAAGCCCGCTGCCCGACGAATGAACGTTCTCGAGGCGCTAGGGTCATCGTGCACTCGTGGCGGCATCTCGTCGAATTTGAGATACTGTTGGATCTCGCAGAAATATACCTCACCATCGTCATCATAGACGCGATGTTGATGGGGAAGATTCTGCATGTCCACAATAGAGGACTGACAGTAATAAAAATACCTGGAGTCTTGCATTCGCGCGACAACATGCGAGGTCCTCGAGGCACTGTAAGCCTTCGGGACAGCTGTGACGGCATAGTGGATCGCATCCTGTTGCTCCGCAGGTTCCATGAGATCATTTGTGATGAACGCGGCGCGATAGTGGGTGATGGGCAGAGGCGAAGATACTCCTTCAAGAGAAAAGATGTTAGTAGTCGTTTGCGCACATTTTCGCACCATGAACTCGTTCCCAATATACGAGATGTCATCCATGTTCTGCAGGAACGAGGCATGGAATGGTGATGGAATAGTTCTGGGTGATGCGCCCGTTTCGATATGCGCTTCATGCACCGACCACCAGCGTGGTCGAGATCCGAACAGGTTTGCATCAATCCCGTGATACCCAGGACCAGCAGCCACATGCAGGAGTTCGCCCTTCGCTGATGGGAAGTCTCCAAAGCTAGTAGGTGCGTCTGCCCATTAATGGAATGTGGGTGCACTGTGTGGTCACCTCGCGCACTGCCGATGATCCTATCAAGCTGCTCCTCGCCGTCCGATTCTTCGGAGTCATCTGATGATGGTCTTCGACGAGACAGCCCGTCCACAGCGATATGCTTGCCCACAGGTACATGTTCGAGTTCGAAGCTGAAGAGCTTGAGATAGGCAACCCAACGCGTCATCGGCGCATTCGGTAAGTTTGGGTTGCTAATCATTTGATGCAAGTACTTCGCGTCGACCTCGAGACGAAAGAATATTCCCCAGATGCGGTGACGCAACTCCTTCATTGCCCAGAATACACCATAGAGTTCGACCTTCGGCTGCGAATAGCGTGATTCGGTCGCGTTGAACGTACAGGAACCGAATAGCACCGGACGTTTCACGGTCTCTTCGTATTGGAAGAGTACCCAGCCAGCGCCATGGATAAAGGAATCGACCGCCAAGATGACCAGTCCATCGGTAGACTCACGAGTTCTGGGTTGTATGAGCACGGCCAGCTGATAGTCGAGTTTCTTGAGCACAGGTGCGTCCGAGATAAGCCGCTTCAACTCGTCCATGGATGCCTTCTGGTCCTCTCCGAAGATGAAATCTTCGCCTGTATCTCGTAGTAAAATAGTTAGCGGCTTCGCAATGAGAGAGAAACCTTTAATCCATCGTCTTGCAACCCCCGCGGTCCCAAGGAATCCGCGAACCTCTGAGACGTTCTCGCATTCTGGCCACTTGCGGACTTTACTCGCGAGTCCATGATCGACCTCCCATCCTCTGAGTGACACCACTGTGCCCACCACTTTGAGCTTCGGCGTAGCCAATACTAACTTCATCCTTCTTTTTCCCGTACCACCATGTCCGCTATAAGCGCTCAACAGGCGACTGCCAGCGAATTGACCATGGAGGGCATAGGTGTAGAGCGAACTCCTCCGGGAGGGTCTCCACCGCCAGCGAGCGTGACGACGTCGGCCTCAGCGCTGACGCCCCCGCGCCCGCCGGTCCACAATAATATGCGCGACACCATTAGGTCTCTGCGCAACAATCTGAGCGACCTTGCTGTCGGCGTGCAGTGCATTATCGAAGGCCCCTACGAGACCGAGGCATACTCCGACGAGTTCGAGAACTGCGCTGTCGCGCTCTCTACCTGCCTTCGCGACTTCCACAACGCTCTCATGCGTGACCCCCTCATCATCGACACCGAGGCTGGTGCCCGGATCATGTAACTCTACCAGGCTCGCTTCCATTGGCAGCTCGCCAGTGCAGCCGTCCTTCTCGACGACGATGCACTCATGGACGAGGCTCCGCGCACCCGCCTGCGCACGGAAGGCGCCCTCCCTGTCGGCATCGACATGCAGGCTGCCCTGACTAAGGCTGTCGAGGACGGCGTTCGCATGGCCACGTCAGCCATCAACACGCGGCTGTCGGCTATCGAGGCCCAGCTAGTACGCGGGCGTCCGCTGCCACACCCTCCTCAGGCCCCGAGGGACTGCGACCCCAACCGCCAGTCCGTACTGGTCGTCAACGTGCCCCGCCGCCAACTCCAGTGCTGCTGCCCCTGCAGCACAGCCTACAACGCAGCCTGAGACGCAGGCCCCGAATGCCCCAACCATGGCACAGGTGGCCGCCAAGAACCGCGAGAAGTGCTACGTCCTTCTCATTACCCCCGAGCAGCATGCCGCCATCGAGGCAGGGGGTACCATGCCCCAATGGTATGCTAAGGTCCATACACGCCTGCGCGAGACCCCCGCATGGGCCAAGGTACGTTTTCTCGGTCTCCGCTTCGCTGGACCAACCAAGGTCCAAGCAGTTTTCTCGCACGAATCCCCTGACTCGCTCATATGCGAGTGTCTCCGGCCCATACGGCACATGTTGGGAGTCATCCCGCATGCTGCCTCCCCTGCGCCAGACCCGCATGAGCGTGCATCCGCACCACAGGACTTCTGCCCTCTCGTTCCTGTTACGAAACTGTTCATCCCGAGCTGCCCGCTGCGTCATCCCGACATGGGATTGTTACTCACTGAGGAGGAAATCATGGCGGAACTATGCCGTAATGCTATGTTTTCGTCTGTTCACTTCAACGGTCTACCCGGTTTCGTTGTGCCTAAGGAACATCGCGAGCAGCTCAGGAAGTCCTCGATTATCGTCTCCATTGAGGATGCCCATCACGACTACTGTGCGCGTAACCTCCTTGGACGTGACAACTGCGGTGATGCTGCCGCTTTCCTTTGGTTCTTTGGCTCCCGCATCACTGTAAAGAAGTCGAAAGATCATCCCGTTTTCCGTCAGTGCACTCGTTGCTGGCGCCTCACGCATCTCGAAAGTCACTGCAAGAAGCGGGCGCCTGTGTGCCGCTTCTGTGGAAAGACTGACCACACGTCCGATGTGCATCGGCAGGCATGCCTTGTCTGCAATCATGAGGCTCACCCGGCTGACCAGCCTTGCGAGTCTGACCACTATTTCTGTGTGGTCTGTGGCATCAACAGTCACAGTGCCGCCGACACCACCTGCCCTGCGTGGAAAGATTACCGCATTCCCATCTCACGCACCAACCCCTCATTATGAATATCACAACCACTCATTTGAATGTGCCCGGTCCAATCCGCGCATCCACGGCTTCATTTCTTCCACTTCCTACGATATCTATTGTCTTCAAGAACCGTGGTGGGGGCAAATCGGCATCGATACCCCCCATGGCTCTGAGTCAGGCACTACTGTTTTTGGTCACGTCAATGTCCGGCCCTACGGCCTGGACGCCTATCATTACCCCTCCACCTCTGCGCTGCCGTGACCTCGAGCCAGCATCCTGGTCCAGCGCGTGCTCTTAAACACTTATCACATATCCATGCGTACCGACCTGGTGTCGGACCCGGATGTGGTCGTTCTTCATTTTGTTTCACGCTCTGATCCCACCCATGATTTCTTCGTGGTCAACTGCTATAACGAAGGCTCGCGAGCCCAACACCGCGTTCTGCCCTCTCTCTATGATATCCCTTTCCCGCCACGAGCGAACCTCCTTGTCACCGGAGATTTTAATCTCCACCACCCCCTATGGTCATGGACCAGACGGGCCTCCCGCTCTGCTTCCACTGCCTCCACCGCTTTCGCTGGGTGGCTAGAGCGCGAGTTGCTCGAAATTCTTAATGACCTCGATCAACCCACCCACATGGTGAATGGTGACCTGCTCTCGGGCACCATCATCGATCTGGTCTGCGCGACCTCCAGTGCGCACTTTCACGTTCACGGAGTCGCTGCTACCCCCACATCCTTTGAATCTGATCACGCTCTACTAACCTCTACTCTCTCTCACATTGCTCATCCCGTAGACGTTGACCTTGGCTTTCGAGTCGATGTGTCCAAACGGGACGACTGGAACACGTGCCTTGCCCGCGAGCTGGCGCTGTCCCCACCACCGGCTACCTATACCACCAATGACGACCTTGAAGCGGGTGCTCAGGCTCTGCTGCGAGCAATGTCCGTGGCCTGCAACGAAGTCTTCCCCTGACGCACACATGCTCACCGGGCCTCCCAGCTCTGGTGGAACGATGCATGCGACACTGCCCGCGCAGATGTCCAGGCGGCTCATACTCGTGAGGAGAGGCGAGAAGCCAAAGTCACACTCTCGGCCATCATCCGACAAGCTCGGAAGGACTGGACTCAGGAGGCAGTCGCGCGACTCCAGCACACCAACCCCTGGCAGCTCGCCTCCTGGACCAAAGGAGTGAGGGCACCCCCACTACCTGTCACCCGAACGGACGGGGAGACTGGCTCTTTCCCTGCTGACGCGGGTCGTCTACTCACACGTTTCTATTTTCCGGCGTCTCCGCCCTTGCCTGATCTGCCTCCTCTCTTTACCTCTACGCCTCCAGCAGCGCACCCAGACCACCCCCTCCTTATCACTGAAGTAACTGCTGCCATCGAGGCTGCATCTAACTATTCAGCACCTGGCATCTCCAGAGTGTCATGGCGGCTCCTAAAATGGGTCTGGCGGTCTGGTGCGCATCATGCTCTTTTTCTTTTTCTATCCTCTTCTTTGCACCTGGGTTACCTCCCCGCCCCACTTCGGGCTGTGGCAGTTGTGTACCTGCCCAAACCGGGCAAGGCGGATTACACCGCACCCAAGTTCCACCGACCAATAGCGCTCTTAGAAACCCTGAGCAAGGTCCTAGAAAAAGTGGTTGCTGCCCGTTTCAACTTTCAAATTGGTGCTCACAATCTTGTGCCCAGCTCGCAGTTTGGTGGGTGGGGCCAACACTCCGTCGTGGATGCGGGAGTCACTCTGATGCACCATGTACGCACCGCATGGGAAAACGGTTTCTCCGCTACCTTACTGTGTATGGACGTCGAAGGCTATTACAATAACATTCACCACGACGTCCTTCACTCTGCTCTCCTTTCTTTGGGCTTTCCCACAAACGAGGTCCTTTGGACCATGTCATTCCTTTCCTCGTGCACCATGCGGCCCAAGCTCAATTCCGAGCTGGGACCATCTTACCACGTCGCTGCACTCGGCATCCCACAGGGATCGCCTCTGTCGCCAGTCCTTTCTACTATATACTCTTCCCCGCTGTATGCGAACCTTGATCCGTTCGTGCACCCCCAGCAGTCTACGGTGGGCTACGTAGACGATTTTGCCCTCCTTATTGTTTCTCCCTCGCTGAACGAGAACACTGCCATCATCCAACGCACTCTACCTAGTGTGGGCACCACGCTTCACCAGCTTGGGCTGACCATTGGCATGGCAAAAACTGAGCTTATGCACTTTACCTCCCCGAGACGCTCCCTTGACGTCAACCCCCCCTGCGGGTTCAGTGGGATGGGCGGGATATCACCATTCAACCTGCTTCATATTTGCACTGGCTCGGCATCTGGTATGACCGACGCCTAACCTTCACCCACCACATTCGGGTCATGGCAGCCCGGGCTTCATCCCACGTTGCCGCTTTCCGCATGCTCACCAACACACAGCGAGGCATGATAATCGCGCAAGCCCGTTTGCTATACCTTACCACCATCCTTCCCGTTCTCACCTTTGGTAGCCCCGTGTGGTATAACCCGCGGGGCCCACGCTCACTTTTTCAACCTTTGCAACAGGTACAAAATGATGCACTGCGGTGGTTTACGGGAGCATGGCGGTCTACCCCCCACCACGTCCTCAACCTAATATCCAGCGTCCTGCCGATGAAACACCAGCTCGACAAACTCAACGGCCTTGCCGCAGCTCGCCTTCTCACCCTCTCGGCGTCCCACCCAGTGACCCACTGCCTGGCGGCCAACCGCGCTGCCCACCCGCCCAATTTCTCACTCCTCAACCCCACCATCCCTATCTGCCACGGCACCAGTGCGGTGGATGTGCTCGAACAAACCCTGCCCCAGCGGGCGGTGCGCCTTCTTCCCTGGTTGCAGCCGCCCTGGGATCCTGCGCATCCGTGGGACGAGAGGGTTCACGTCTGCATCCCTCCGCCTACCAAAGACACCTCCAAGGAGTACCTACATTCATTCTTTTTCCCTCTTTTGCACTCTTCCATTCCTCTCCCCGATGCCCTATGGGTCTTCACCGACAGCTCCCAGATCACCCAGCCCGACCCCACCCCGCGGAACTGACGAGCAGGTGCAGGTGCGTGTATCATTCACCAGGGTGCTATAAAGTACGAGCGGGCTTGGGGCATGGGTCACCAGGCCGAGGTGTATGACGCAGAACTCTTCGCAATGGCGGCGGTCGCCAGCCGCTTTGCCGGTTTTCTGGCGACCTACCCCATGATTACCCACATTTACCTCTGCACGGACAACCACGCTGCCCTGTCCAATGTCCTGTCGCTGCGCCCACACAGTGGCCAGCCCTTTTCCCTTCGCTTTCGGGCACTTCTCGCTCCTCTCATGGAGCAATACCCACTTTTGAACATTTCGCTGCTATGGGTTTCCGGGCATACTGTCACAGATTTTCGCCACAAAGTCTGCACGTGACTTTTCCCACACCACAGATCACGTGCTTCACCAATATCTCACGCCACTCAGCCACAGACGTGACGCGTAGAGATCAGGTGATAGTTCACATCACATGTTATGGTCCAGACCCGTGGATGATACGGTCGGACCTGTCTATTCCAGGATACAATAGAGGCACCCATTTGGGAACAAAGGGAACAAGGACTATTGTTATGCGTCGGCCTTCCGCTTCCTATTAGTTTAGCCAGAAGCCTAGATAGGTACGATGTTCACACCGGAGAACAAAAGGAAAACCAAGATAGGCACGATGCGCACACGCATTACTGCGGCAACCATCGATCTTCCCACTTATTGTTCTACTTCCGGACATCCTATTGTTTCATGTACGGCCATTTGCTTATACCCGTAGATAGGTAGCTTAGGTAAGATAGCCCGCTGTACGTGTATATAAGACCAGCCATGTAGGGGACGAAACCTCAGATTGTTTCTCCTCGTCTACTACCTGTAGCACTCACTGAGCTCACCAGCTCCTTCATATATCTCTCACCCTTTCCTGTGTCTGCCAACATTGACCAGTAAGTCAACAGGCTCTTGTGCCACATAGGGTTCAGGGGAATACCTTTGGGATCAGGGGGATCAGGGCGGCACGTTCCACGTGACTGTCCCTTTTTAGTCTTTTTGATCTCTTGTCCGGTGTTACCGTGACATTAGAAACAATCTGACATTTTCTGCACCCCTGCTTAGTGTTTAACACAAGTGGCCGCATATTTTCAGCGCAAGCAGTTTCAGCCGTAGCGCGCGGCTTTTTTGACATACATTCCAATCCGATCTCTACCCGGCGTGAGCCTCAGCAAGACTCTGAGCTGCCCAAAGCCTCAAAGCGCAAGGCCACCCCCAGGATCGACCTCGACGCCCACTACAAGCATCAGGAAACCAACAAGGAGCGTGAAAGGCTCCTCACACTTGCGTCACTAGGCGCATCGTCCACAGACAGGCAGCGAGCAGCAGCTAGGGTTGTAGATACCACACACATCATAAAGCGCGGAATCATCCGCAAGCCACGCGATCACACCCCACCGCTTGAATGCTACAAGCCCAGAAAGGGGCATCTTACCACTGGTAGTTGCAAGCCGGCACCACCCCCAGAGCTTATCACCTCCAACGCCGTTCCCCCCACCATTGTTGCTCCACAGCCAGTGCGACCCCTTCCCAACTTCGTTAAGGTCAACACACACGCACGACCCATTCGCCCTCTTCTGTCCAAAGTCAGGCCCACCCTCCACATCGAAACACTCAAGAAGCAGGTCTCCGCTACCCGCTTCAGACTACAACCGATATTAGGAGCGTTCTGGGAGAGAATTGATCAGGACAAACGAAAGAAGGTACAACTCCTCGCATCGGAGTTAGACAAAGTCTGCGCAGATCTCTACACGGGAACTCGTGAATACACCTTCGTCGACAAACAGGTCGTCAACACGTGCTGCCTAGAAATAGGAAGGATCAACTTCAAGGAGATAGGAAAGCAGCAGAGGTTAGACGAGATCGTCAGGGAGATTGGGAAAGTTAAGGACAAGCAGTACCTAGGCTTCATCTTCAATTAGTTTAACTACATCTATATCACAATGGAAGGAGCCGATCGTGCATACGCATCCACGTTCAGGCAAAGAATGGATGACATTCTGCATACAAACGTCGAGTCAGCACACGACGGAAGCACCCCACGCGCCTCGCAGCGCAATTCACCAGAACCTGCACTAGGACCGCAGGAATCTGCATCACAAGTCGGAGGACCAGCATCCCCGACACCATCACTTGTACCAGCCTACGTCCCACCCATCTGGGAGTTTGATGGACACCAATTCGAGCACCTGGAAGATGCTCTCAGACAATCCGCTCCTGGAGAAGTCCCAGACCACATCCGTGAATGGGTAATTGTCGCAATGAAGCTCACGGTCACTACTGAGATCGCCAAGGTATACAATGTGCTCGGAAACAAGATGTACGAGCACAAGAAAGCCTTTGAATCAACGATCCAAAACAACAAGAGTGAACACCGACTCAAGGAGGGAATGCTCCAGACGGAGATCGAGAAGCTCAAGGATAGAATCCTTGTGCAAGATGCGCATATGACAGTTTTGAACGACGAGCTCACAGGAACCCAGGCGGCAATGCTCGATACAGGCAAAGAAATGATGGAAATCAAGGCAGCTAACGTCAAGCTGCGACATGAGCTAGCTTCGCTCAAAGCAAGCGGCGTCACTACGATGCAAGGTCAAACATCCGGCACGGTCCAATCGCACAAGCCACGCATCAAAATTGCTGAACCTCCACACTACTCGGGCAAAGGAAGTCTGGAGGACTGGCTCCAACAACTCGGTATATGGATGCGGTGGAACGAGATCAACGATGATGAACACAAGATTACCACGGCCTTACTGCACTTGGAAGGTGGCGCGTTCACATACATGTCTGAATATGCGACCAGAGCAGCAGCACGGCAGGCACTTGGCACATGGGAAGACTTCGTCAACATTCTCAAAGTGAACTACAGGACCCT